AAAAACTAAAAAAAAAAAAAATTTGAAATTCAAATAATTTAATGAGGTTGGCTAATAATGTCAAAGGTCGATAGGGTCAACATCTCTCTTGTAGAGTTCAAAAAGGCTTCTTGAAGGTGCAAAATCACTGTCAAGGCACAAGCTTTTCCCAAAGCAAACAACCTACCCCATTCATTCTTTTCCATTTTCTTAATGATGGTGATTTGGTGATAAGGAATCTCCACCCAAATCCCTATTTTGAAAATTTTCTGATTATTCAAACAGAAAAACATACCTATCAATCTATACCAAATCAGATGGGAATCATCACTTAAAATTATACAAGAAAAAATTATGCACCTATCTTTTCTCCCATCACAAGATTGCCAGCAAGATTACGTTGATGCTTTAAATTGTCGGAAGATGTTTTCAAAATAGAATTTTATCTGCATCACACAAAAAATAAGTATTTTATTACAAAAGGCAAAAGGTGTTCATTAAAATAAGCAATAATCTTGTTTTCCATCATATCTAGCTTTGCTATCTTGTATTTGAATTCTGATAATAGCAAATCAATTTTCCATGATTCTATCTAACGGTTTTTTCTTCCACTCATCACTGGCTAGTAGGATGAAATTCAATCTGTTAATGGATCATTTTTCTTTTGGTCATTCTATTTACGAAAATTTACATAAATATAACCTGAATTTTTAGGCACGTGCGTTATTATCACCTAAATTAATAATTTTTATTTATAATCATCCAAACTTTGTAAAGTGTTGTAATTCACAATCTAGGTCTAATTCCGTTAGTTTCCGTTAAGTTTAAGGGTATTTCCATAATTAATTATAACTAAAAATAATTTATTTTTTTTAAAATAAAATAAATTATACCATACTTCTTCTATGCCTTTCTAAGGTTAATTGTCGCCCACCCTCTTTAGATACATTATACTTCATGTTGGTCTTTTTTTTCTTCCAATTACATGTCAATTTTCTTAGAAGATGCTATAATAAATAGTCCCCAAAAAGTAGCAGGACTCATCAACTCAAACCCTGCAGCCCAAGATGGCACATAGGTTGATTGTTTATAGCCTGCACTTTCCGACCCAATTTGACAACAAGGAGCCATCTGCTGCAGACCATCAAGAATTCAAGAAGACGAAGAGTTTGCAAAATACATCCTTGTTAATTTGGTGACTGTAATTACTAAGAAATTATGAATCTTAAAAAATAATAGTAATCCAAAACTTACCTAAGGAAGTCTCTGGTTAACAAGGTGGTGTAATCCATGCTAATTAGGTTAAATTTCATTCGGTTTTTTCCTTTTTAAAATTATTTTTAGTTACAATTAATTGAAAAAATGCATTTAAACTTAACAAAAACTTTAACGGAATTAGACATAGGTGATGGATTGTAACACTTTACAAAGTTCAAGTGGTTACAAATAAAAATTAAAAGTTTAGGTGGTAATGGCACACGTGCCTAAAAATTCAGGTGCTATTTATTCAAATTTTCCTTCTATTTAAATTATAATAAAAAAAACTAATATGTTAATCATTACGAATTTACTAACTAATTAGCGTTTGAGTGCTTCTACAAAAAGTAAAAAAAATTTCAAAACATAACTACTTTATTTTAAAAGAATAAATGCATAAAACAAATAGTTTATTAAAATACAAATAATTTAAAACAAATGAAACAATATTTGTGTCCAATAAATTTTTTCTCTAAATAAGGTTAAATAAAAAATATTATCGACAGATGCATAAATATAGATTGAGAAGTTTAATACGATGAAGCATTTAGCAACGCCACTAATCCATAGGCCGGATATTACTTTGTACTTAGAAAAAATAAAAAAGTAATTTAGCCTTCATATCCTTAACATTTTAAAAAGTTCTAATATATTACCTGTTATCTGTGCTTGTATAAACATTTTGGGCCCAATTTTAACTTTCGGGCTATGTGTCGGCCCGATAGGACCTTGTGTAAGAAATTATATCGATAAATAATAAAAATTTGCAGACCATAAACTATATTTGCATACTTTATTTCAACAAAATAATCTTATGATTTAAGCTTCGTTAGGATGGTGTAAGGATTTAATAGGTTCTAGTTAAAATATCATCTAAAAAATAATTTTCTTTTAGCTAAATTAACGAGGGAGCCAATGGCTTGCACATAGATATGGAAGATCTTAGGCCGCAAATCTTTTTTAAAGATTACGCTCTTGTTCCTACTTCTCACATTTGGGTTTCGGATAGTTTTGCTATATTTTGTACTATTTTATGGTGCTTCTATTTTATAGAAGCATTTGCTCCAACAACAAAAAAAATGTAAGATCTTTTAGGAAGGGTCTAGACTTAGTCTATTTGTTATAGGGCTCGCCCTACCCAGGGCCGGCCCTGACTTTTGGGTGGCCCTAGGTGATAAACTAAATGAGGCCCCTTCCCTTAGTATACAATTGCGAAAAAACAACTAATAAAATAATTTTACGTAGCGCGTAGTGCGCATGAATAAAAAAAGGTAGTATGCATTATAATAGGACATATCTCTGTAAAAAAAAATAAAATAATAAGATTAGATATTTGATATTATGAAGGAAATTACAAATTTACACATCAACATTCCATCAACCAATAATGGGAACATATCCCTGATATTGGTAATTTGTATTCTTAAAAGATACATTAAAACTAAGTATTTGTTCAAAATACTAAACACTTTCTCTTAAGATTGGCTTCAGGCTTCAGGCTTCATCACATGAGTTTAAGTACATTTGCAACGATAAGATACATGCAATTCAATCAAGTATTCATAAATCTGATTACCACTCCGCATCTCTATGTGTTTGGTTCCTATTGGAAATTGAAACAATAGTTTGCTGGGTAGGAACAAATATAAAGAAAAAATTATAAATCTGATTACCTTTTCAATTTCTCATGCTCCTACCCTCTTGGTCACAATCAATCTCAAAGACAATTTGGGAGCTTTTTAGTGTGAGATTGATTCTTGGGGTTGTTGAGACCCAAAAAATACATGGTTGGGGCCCCGAATAAATTATCAGCCTAAAACGACGATCCATTAGGAAAAAGCGTAAAGCAGTGCACCGAAACCTACCACATGCGAATTACAGTGCACGTGCCATGCTAAATAAATAAATTCGCTCGGGGTTGAGATAAAATATACCGTGTTTACAGGCCCATGCAAAAATAAGCATCGCAGGACGATAAATTAAAACATGCCAAGCAATGTGCCATGCCAAGCACGAAATCATTATCGCACACCCAATCACGCTACAAGCCTAAGTGGGCCCAAGCCACTCAAAAAAACTTGGGCTTGCTTGAGTGAGTTGTGGTATGGACAGTAATAAATCAACATGAGGCCCATTGATGGGCCAGAAAAATGGAAAGTCTCGGGTTGCTTGGGAGCCTCGAGATTCAAGCCCATTTCTCAGGCCCAAACACGTGGGTAAGCACAAGAGAGAAAAGTAGCCCAAAAGCCCAAGCAAAATAACCTAACCAAGAAATAACCCAACCAAAAATAATAATAAGCCCAATCAAGAGGCCCAATATTTCACAAAAAGCCCATTTGCTTAGGAAACCACTTTGGCCCTTATAAAATCCCAAAATAGCCCACAAAAGCTTCAGTTCTTTTGAAAAACAGAGAACACGTGAAGGAGGAGGTTGGCAGACTCATTAAGCAAAGCTGCTAGGAGCAAGTTCCAAGCCAGAGACGCCCAAAGAACCAAGGAATGCTGGCCTGTACGCTGTCAAAAGCACCCCTTGGACCAGCATATATTTTCAATTCCTTTCCTTCATCAGATTTAGCCAAGGCAGGGGGAAGGAAAGAAGAAAAAACAGTAACCAAGAAGGGAAGCTCCCACTGCACAGCTGCGGGAAAGGGGGACATTGAGCTCCCAAATCTCCTAAATTCGAGCAAATAAACAGAGGCAATTTTTGCCAAGATAGGGAAGTCAGAGAAGAGGAGGAGAAAGGAGGAAAAATCTTAGCCAAAATAAGTAGAAGCCATTAGGGTTTCTTGAAGAATGGTGATTTCCAGCAGCTATAAATTGAGGCTTCCCCTACCCAACAGAGGCAACTCAAATCTAGGGAGCAAGCTTTCTCTCTAACTTGCAAAAATCTAACTACCTTGTGCATTGTTCACCTTATTCTCCAATTTGTTTTTCTGGCAGCTGCCAGAAGAACTCTGCCTTTCTTTTTCCTCTTTCTCCAGTCAAAATTCCTCACAAAACACCTCATTCATTACCTTAATACTTTCTTGTCTCATAAACCAAGCCTAACCTCTCTCTTAGTGCTAAACTTATGTTGGCTTTGCTCCCATGCCACATGCCACTCATGCTGAGCTAAAAGACTATCTGAAAGCATGCCAAAATTATCTGCAAGTCACCATTATTTTGATAAGTGAAGATAGCCAAAATATCTCCTAAGGTTTGGCTACCCTTTCGAGGTATTTTGTGGCTTAATTTTCGAACTCAGGCAAAAGGGGACAGTCTCCTCAGTCCGCCCTTTTACAGCAGCCCAGCCCATTAGCTGCAGGAAGAAAAAGTCCCCCATATAAATTGGCGACTCTGCTGGGGATTAAGCCATCATCTTCATCAATGCCTCCAAGAAAGAAGACCAGAAGCAACAACATAACTTCCCAGGATGGGCCAAGCCATGCTGACTCAGAATCAAGGCAACATGCCTTTTCTAGAGAAGAAGAACGTGCAAGTGAGGGAACTTTTACCCTCACAGACCTTGTTGCAGCCATACATGCTATGGGTGAAACCCAGAGGGAGATGGCAGAGATGAATATATATCGTATGTAGATTTGGGATCCCGTATAAGATTGTCACCGACAATGGCACCCCGTTTGTTAATAAGCAAGTAAGCTCGACGCTTAGTGGTTATGGCATCAAGCATCGTCGCTCCACGCCCTATTACCCACAAGGAAATGGTCAAGCGGAAGCCACGAACAAAACTTTATTAAGAATCCCAAGCAAAATGTTTTATGAATATGAAGGAGGTTGGAGTGTTCACCTGCCGGATGCTTTATAGGCCTACCGCACCTCTTCAAGAAGTGCCACAGGTTTCTCACCCTATTCGCTTGTGTATGGGTCCGATGTCATTTCACCAGTAGAGATTACCATCCCCACTGCCAGAATAACAGATGTTAACGACCTCGAATGGGATACAAAGTCATGCTCGGAATAGCGCCTGCTGGACCTTGAAGCTTTGGATGAAAAAAGAGCGGAAGCCGAAAAGAGGACAGCGCTGTACCACAGAACCGTAGCTCAAGCCTATAACAGGACAGTCAAGCCTCGCGCCTTCAAGCAGGGAGACCTCGTGCTAAAAGTCGTGGAGCATGTGAGAAGACAAGTGTTGGGACCTTCCAAGTTTGCGCCACAATGGGAAGGACCGTTTGCAGTCAAAGAAGTTTACAGCAGCGGCTATTATCGCTTGGTCTCTGTCAAAGAAGGCACGCTGACGGATCCCATCAACGGGAAATGGCTCAAGTTCTACTACTGCTAAGATAATTTTATGCCCCGTATTGTTATATTTTCATTCTGTAAAAAAAAATAAAAAAATAAACAAACTCTTTCTGTCTTATTTTCATGTTTTGAAAAAAGACACTTTTGTATGATGCACCATTATGGTAGCAAGCGCTTTGCAATGAGAATGAAGGAATGTTTTGAAAAAAAAAATTGTGTCTCTAAAAGTTTTACTGTTATTTACACTTTTTTCAAATTTTCTTCATATAATAAATAAATAAAAACAACAAAACATGCCACTTAGTAGTGAGACACGCTGGGCAAAGTCACTTAGATGGGGTCCCAAAGCATCGCGCTTAAGCAAAAAAAAAAAGATAGCATAAAGTGTATTGCAAAGAAACATGCAATTTTGAGGTGCTGGAACAGCATGATGCGCACAACACCGGGAAGCTTTATAGAGCCCGAGTAGAAATCATGCACATATTAGCTTGACCCTTTGGGAAAGGTGGGAAGCTGTTTTGTCAAGCTTAAAATCTAGATAAACCATGCAAAAGAAACTTTCGAAAAAAAAAAAAAAAAACAAAGTAGTAATAAGTAATAACAAGTAGTATTTGAACCTGTCGGAAAACTTTCGAGCAGTCCACCAAAGACAAGTCTTGCCAACAAAAGCAGTACATATATATATGTAGGAAACATGCAACATGCCTCAAGCATTCAGAAATCCATACAAACTTCAATAGTTTAATATCAAATTATAAAGGCATAACGTACGTAGTCGTAAATAAAAAAAAAAAAAAAAAAAAAAAAAAAAAAAAAAAAAAAACAAAATAAAACTACAAAATGCTGAAGGTTCATGCGGTCCTTAAGTCATAAAGAAAGCAGGGTCATGTGCTAAGATAACTGGTTACCAAGCCAAGGATGGACAATCTGCAAAAAAGAGAGGATGTGTGTCGAAACTAGCTGATGCTAGAAGACGTAACGTGATAAAAAAAATGATGAATGAGCTGAGTACCTTGAGGCTATGAGGAATGTCCGAAAAGAACGAAGGAAGCCCCAGGAGATAATCTAGCCGCTGCCTCCATCACGCACTCAGCGCTGTCAACAGAAATACCCTTAGCAAGAAGAAGGGCATGCATCTCTCGGCGCTGGTTCTCCAATTCCTGATGTTTAATATTCAAGGCATCTGCAGCAGCTTTTACTTCATTAGAATCATGTGACAATTGCATACTATGAATGGCCCGTGCTCCGAAGACGGCACGTGCTAGGTTCTTCACAAGTTTGAGAAGAAATTCCACGCGAAAGCCCAGAATCATGGCCTCACATATTGCATCTCGCCAACAAAGTAGTTTGTGGTCCGTAATATCAAGGAGTTGCATGGTGTCCATCCCATGAAGTACTAGGCGAAGGGCTCGGAAGGCAGTGCACCTTGAGAAAGAGGAGGTGACATCTGTAGCTTCCATCAAATCTCCGTATTTGTCTATAAACCTTTTCAAGGCCTCAACCGTCTCTGGATACACAAGGGCACCTTGAAATGTCACATAACCATGAAATCTGTAGCAAAGCAGGAGAAGCTCATCAATGGATATAAGAATGGTGATACCGCCGTAAAAAAAAGATTTGAATGCCGTGTAGGAGTTTTCCCAATCTTGCCGAGACATGCCTTTCTCGGATAAATACCCTATAGAGGAACCTGCGATAAAAGCATCACCATTCCTATGACTGTTGTCAACAATATCAACAAAGGGCTGTGCTGCTGGAAGTAGCGGAGAGGCGCCGGCAGCCATGACAGGTGTACCCAAGGTAGGAGGAGTAGAAGGAAGAACTGCTGGAAATGGCGGAGAGGTGCTGGTAGCTATGTCAGGTATGCTCAGGATTGGAGAAGTAGGGGGAATGGCTGCTGGAAGCGGCGGAGAGGTGCTGGCAGCTATGTCAGGTATGCTCAGGATTGGAGAAGTAGGGGGAAGAACTGCTGGAAGCGGCGAAGAGGTGCTAGCAGCTATGTCAGGTGTGCTCAGGATTGGAGAAATAGGAGGAGGAACGGCTGGAAGTGGTGGAGAGGCGTTAGTAGCCATGTCAGGAGTGTCCAGGTTAGGAGAAGAATGAAGTTGCGCTGCCGGAAGGCTCAGGACAACATCAGCAACAGTAGCGGAAAAGGCAAAATCGGCCTCCGATGAGGCACCTGTTGTGTCCTCAATGGTAGGCACGACCTGCAGGGAAAAAAAAAACAAAGTATGAACTATGGGACACAATGGGCAGTATGCAATGTCAGTATGCCAAGTAAAACGAGCAAGAGGGTCATCTGATACCAATTCAATGTCAACACGCTGCCCATGGTCACTAGCCAAAGCAGGAGGTATATCTGAGGCGTCAGACTCCTCTAAGTTAGTGCCGAAGTCCGGATATGTGTCTTCGTTATGACTATAGTATTGATCTTCATCAAGGTCGTCATCCATACCACTTGTATTATGAGTGCTCTCTTGCTTGTGGGTGCTAATCTCAGTCTCTGCAGCACCACTTTCATCGCTACCATCATCACTATTATCATCAACCGTTACCACTACTTTGGGTCCCGCATCTTCGCCTTTGTTCTTGCGGGTATTGGCAAACCGTGTTTCAAGAATGCGCATGCTTCGACGCTTCGGGATCACAGGAACTTCCTTACCCTTGCCTTTGTTTTGGGGAGTACCTGTAAAATAAAATAAAAGGAATACTTATATATATATATATATATATATATATATAAAGAGGGGAAAACAAAAGAGAGCAAACAAATGGCAAGACTTACTACGAGGAGACAAAGCCTTTGGTGCTGCTTGCCTGTTGTTGCCGGAAGCTACAGGCTGCTGCTGCGGTAAAGGCTCTGGCAAGGCAACTTTTCTTGAGCTAGGAGGACCGCTTGCTGCTACCTTAGGGATGAATTTTTTTTGGTCATTTTACAGCTTGCCTTTTCTCGACGCTGCAGCTTTCCTCTCGCTTCTGTTTCCCATGTGCAACATTTTTCCTGGTGCTATGAGAACCCGATTTCTCTAACTTCCGCTTTAGCTTCGAGAAATCACCAACAATTTCTCCGCTTTTGGAAGTAAAAGACAGATTCCGTTTCTCACTCAAGGAAATTGCTTTCTCTTCCGACACTAAGCGGGCATAATGGACTTTGGTAGGCTTTTGAGAGACTGCCAGCCCGTCCTCTGTTGGCTAAAGCAAGGGCGAAAGGTCTGCCATCTCCTGGTACATGGTCCTCAGTCCAAAAGATTCTGTGCAAGGAATGCTTGCCTGTACGCTGTCAAAAGCATCCCTTGAACCAGCATATATTTTCAATTCTTTTCCTTCATCAGATTTAGCCAAGGCAGGGGGAAGGAAAGAAGAAAAAACAGTAACCAAGAAGGGAAGCTCCCACTGCACAGCTGCGGGAAAGGGGGACATTGAGCTCCCAAATCTCCTGAATTCGAGCAAATAAACAGAGGCAATTTTTGCCAAGATAGGGAAGTCAGAGAAGAGGAGGAGAAAGGAGGAAAAATCTTAGCCAAAATAAGTAGAAGCCATTAGGGTTTCTTGAAGAATAGTGATTTCCAGCAGTTATAAATTGAGGCTTCCCCTACCCAACAGAGGCAACTCAAATCCAGGGAGCAAGCTTTCTCTCTAACTTGCAAAATCCTAACTACCTCGTGCACTGTTCACCTTCTTCTCCAATTTGTTTTTCTGGCAGCTGCCAGAAGAACTCTGCCTTTCTTTTTCCTCTTTCTCCAGTCAAAATTCCTCACAAAACACCTCATTCCTTACCTTAATACTTTCTTTTCTCATAAACCAAGCCTAACCTCTCTCTTAGTGCTAAACTTATGTTGGCTTTGCTCCCATGCCACATGCCACTCATGCTGAGCTAAAAGACTATCTGAAAGCATGCCAAAATTATCTGCAAGTCACCATTATTCTGATCAGTGAAGATAGCCAAAATATCTCCTAAGGTTTTGCTACCCTTTCGAGGTATTTTGGGGCTTAATTTTCGAACCCAGGCAAAAGGAGACAGTCTCCTCAGTCCGCCCTTTTACAGCAGCCCAGTCCATTAGCTGTAGGAAGAAAAAGTCCCCCACAGGGGTTACAATACGATATTAGAAAAGAAGGATGAGAGAAATTGAAAATAATGGATATGGATTGAAGGGAGATGGGGAAAACAGAGAAAAATATGGTGGTGAATTATTAAGAGATCGGTGGATTAAATAGAGTTCAATGGAGAAACGAACTAGGAGAGGCACTGCTACTGGCTGCGTGGGAAACGAAGAACTTATGGGAACAGGAATTGCCTTCCTCATTTAATTTCATTGCTGACTTTTTTTTAATTTTTTTATATAAATAAAAGTTGGACAATAATATAAAAATTTGGGGCCCCTTTGATTGGAGGCCCATGGCCAAGGCCCTTCTCGCCTACCCCCAAGGCCGGCCCTGGCCCTGCCTGACCCGTACAATACTTAGGGCCATAATTGCCCGTCATTGAGTAGGTTTTGGGCTCCATTAGACCCTACTTAATCCCTTTTACAAGTGGTAAAGTATCTCACTTGTTTACTATCATATAGGAGAATTCTTAGTAATGGGTTTGAACTTTGGTGCTATCAAGTAGCTCAAATTCTACATTATTCAAGGGGCCTTACAAACCTTCTTAACCTTCCACACCACTCTTCTTACAAGTCCCGTGAATTTATGCGGTTTGGGCCCATTTGAGTTTGTTGAGTGGTTTGGTACAAAGGAAGCTGCTTGGCATTTCAAGGATGCATGTAGAAAGTGTTTTTCATGCCTAGGCAACATAACATCGGTCAAAATCACTAATTGGAAGCTTGTCTCTTTATGCTTGGTGAAAGAGTGGGCTTGAAGGCCATTAGCTTGATACGACTTTGTTCGCCACCTAGAAAATGAGTAGATTGCATGTGCTTGGTGTGATCTTCCCAAGTGCTAAATTAGATTCAGACAAAAAAAAAATTGCTAAGTTAGACTTTCGCTCATCATGGTACGAATATTGTTAATAATTAATTGTTTTTAATCCTTGTTGCCATGTGTCGTGTTTGATACATTGCACATGTTAGGGCCAGGCTTTTGTTGTGAGCGGGCATGGGATTTGTTGGCCCTTGAGCACGATTGGCCTCTGAACCTTTTGGGCCTCAACACCATTTATAGACTCTGTGACGGAATGTGGCGGGATTAGTGTGTGCTGCAAATAAAGGCATTCGTGCTTACGGTTTTAGCAAATTTGGGACCATATTTGGCATTTGCGCTGGGGATGTTGTGTTCTAACTTTTTTTTTGTCGTAATAAATTTTTCTTGTGTGTTATAACTTGTGTAGTGCTTTGTAGCAAATCCTCAAAGGTTTGGATTTGAGTCCAAACATCCGAGTAGGAAAGGTTTAAAAAAAAAGTAATTTGCCACTTAGACCCAAATTTGCCTCCCATATAAGATATAACGGACACTGAAACTCAGCAACAGTAATAAAGTTCACACCCGATTTTGGGGACATTTATGGGTACATACACAACGTCGCAAAAAATTACAGATCGCCCCCCTCCGTTAGCGAATCCGTCAGGAAATCCGTTATCTGCCTACGTGGCATTTGTGGGACCCATTTTTAATTGATGTGGACTTCCACGTGGACAAATAAATAATATAAAAATTATTTTAAAAAATTAAACATATTAAATTATTTATCATTTATTTATTTATTTTTTTTAAAACCTCTACCCAAATTCTCTCTCTCTCTCTGTCTCCCGATCTCCTCTCCTCCTAGCCCACAACCACTCAAACCCTAAATTGAAACGAAGTACTCCGGGTATTCAATGGCGTCGCCGTCTTCGTCGCTCTCTACCTCCTCAGCTACGACTTCATCCACGTGCAGCCGGCAGTGGTCTCCAAGAGATCCAGCTCCGAAGACCTTCGGGGCTTCAAGATGGAGAAAGTCACGATCTTGAGGCGCGGCGAGTCGCCGGATTCGAAGACGAAAGGAAATAACGATGCTGAAGCAGGTGCGGATCGTGGATCTGAAGCCTCCGGTGGAGGGAAAGACTGACATGTACGCTGGATCGGCATTCGCGTTTTCGCCGGAGCCCAATGCGCTCCCGCTGCCGTCGTTTTCGAAGAAGAAGCAGGTATCGAAGGTCGCCGACGGTGACTCGGCGACTCGAGACCTGCGGCAGTTGCTCCGGTTGGATTGAAAAGAGAAGATCCGGATCCGAGGACCCGAAGAAGGCCCCGACTGGATCTGGATCCGAAAAACGATTCTGTCCATTGTCGTCTCAGTTTTCGAGTTTGTCACTTGGTTGGTGTAGCTAATCTTATCAGCTTGTTATGGGAAATATTGTGGGGTTGATGCATTATGTGAATACTGATATTTTGGTTGCATTTCATTGTGATCGTCAAGTATCGTACAAGTATGTTTTAAATATGACTTTCGAACATTACATCCACCGCACCACTTCTAGTTTCTTAATTGTGTTGGTTCTGACCCTCTCCAATCATCACTATATGTTTGAGTTATATGGGGTTGAAGAAATCTGGGTGGAGGAAAGAAATCTGGGGTTGAAGAAATTTGGGATGGGAAGAAATTGGGAGGAAGATGGAAGAAATCGGGAGAGAGAGAGAGAGAGAGAGAGAGAGAGAGAGAGAGAGAGAGAGAGAGAATTTGGGTTGAAGAAATCGGGAGAGAGAGAGAGAGAGTTGGGTTTGGAGGTGGGTGACGGAAGGGGGAGAGATGAGATTTTTTTTCTTTTCATTTTTTAATGATTTTAATATGATTTAAAAATAATTTAAACAGTAAAATAATTAAACGGGTCGTGTCAACCCGTGTAAGACATGCCAACCCGCGAAAAAATATAGGGAAATAGAGACTTCAAAACACACATATGGAGTTTTGAACCCCCTCCATCCTCATTACTCTTCAACACCTTATACACCATGCTAGATACAACTTTGTGATTATATACTATGTCTTTTGATATTTATAATGTTTCTTTTTTTCTTTTGTTTTTTTTTCTTTTCCGTCTATCTTCTCCTCTCTATTTTTTAATTTCTTTTCCTTCTCTCTTTTCTCCCCTCTTTTTGTACTTCTCTTTAGTTTTCTCTGATCTCTTATTTTTTTTTCTTTCTTTTCATTCTCTTTAGTTTTCTCTCCTCTCTTTTTTATTTTTATTTCTTTCCTTCTCTCTTCTCTCTCTCTCTCTCTCTCTCAATTTTTTTTTGTTTTCCTTCTCTCTTCTCTCCTCTCTCCTCTCTCTATTTTTTTTTGTTTTCATTCTCTCTTCTCTCCTCTCTATATCCTTTTTTTTCTTTCTTTTCCTTATATTTTCTCTCCTCTCTCTGTTTTTTTTATTTAAATTTTTTCAGTTGTGACTTTTGTAACATGCATGTTATTATTTATCAACCCGTTACACGACTCGAAACCCGCACGATAAAAGACGACCCGAACCCGACACGACACGTTTATTAAATGGGTTGGGTTCGGGTTGAGCATTCTTGACACGTTTAATATCCCGACACGACACGAACCCGACACGACCCGACCCATTGCCAGCCCTAAGTCTAAGTCATTAAAAAAAGGGGTCCCACTTTTGACACGTCGGCACATAACGGATTTCATGACGGAATCGCTAACGGAGGGGGCGATCTGTAATTTTTTGCGACGTTGTGTATGTACCCATAAATGTCCCCAAAATCGAGTATGAACTCGTAAATGACCCTATAAGTTGGGGAGTTTACTGTAGTTTGTCCTAAATTTTTCTTGTGTGTTATAACTTGTGTAGTGCTTTGTAGCAAATCCTCAAAGGTTTGGATTTGAGTCCAAACATCCGAGTAGGAAAGGTTTAAAAAAAAAGTAATTTGCCACTTAGACCCAAATTCGCCTCCTATATAAGATATAACGGAAACTGAAACTCAGCAACAGTAATAAAGTTCACTCACAGAGTCACAGTCATAGTGATTCTTCTCCGACGTCGTTTAAAGTTCTCCGATACCCATTGAGTCCCGCCGGAGCTCTGACGCAGGAAACATAACTGGGACTCTAATCCGATTAAGGTCTCTCTCTGTCTCTCTCTATGATCTATCGTACATGTATATAAACCCTAGATGTTGAAAATGAATTAGCGCCGTTTGGTTGCTGAGAAATGATGGGGAAGTAGGGTTCGGTTGATATATTCAGGTTTTTTTATTCGGCTTTTAAAATTAGCTATGAATGAAGATTCTATTGTTGGAGGACAAAAGACAATGCAAAGAAATGTTTCTCTTCAATTGTGTGTAAAGGAAGTTGCAGTCTGTAAAAAAAAATAAAAGAAGAAGAAGAAAAAAAGAGCCTAGGAACTAGCCTATTGTTACTGTGCATAAGTTCAACAACAGGGAATGTGAAATTTGGCACCAAAGGTAACTGGTAACTTGAAGGTTCAATAGAATTTGATATGTATTTGGTTTGTAATTTTCCTTATTTGTTTTTTTAGATTAAAATTTAATGTGTTGGGTAATATTTTTTAAAAATAATTGAAGGTTCAATGATTCATATCTTTGTTTATTGGGATTTTGCATATTATTTAAGCAAAATTGTTCCATTGGCAGAAAAAAAGGCAGAATTGTTCTTCATAAATCTGTTATGAATGAAGAATTATGGCTCATACAAAATCTAACCCGTAAAGCACTTTCCCAAAACTTTTATCAACAGGTTCAGGGTAAGCTTTCCTTGACATATATACCTCTGTCAGCTTGCTATGGCAGCCTCTGAAACTGCCCCGCCTCTGGATATCTTAGGTACTTAAATCATATATTTCATTCAGAATTAGTTAGTTAGCTATATCCTATATGTTCTTTCTGTCTCTCTTATTTTTCTTTCACCTCTCTCCCAGTTCGTGGCCCAGAAGGGTTCTCGCTCTGGAATGGGCCCCCATTTAGCAATGGGCAACCTGGTATCAAGCTTGAAAACATTTCCTGCACAAGTACAAAATTCAGTGAAGATGGATCGAGGCTGATGGTGATGAAATCTGATTCAGTAATTAGCATATATGATTGCAGCAGCTACAGGGAGATCAGATCTTTTCAAATCCCCAATGTTGCTGCAGCTGCCTTGTCCCCACGTGGGACTTATCTGCAAACTTTTCAGAAATCATCAACGCCACAGGAGAAGAATGTCATCTTATGGAACACCGAGACTGGTGATCCTGTTTATCAACAATTCCAAAAGAACATGACAAAAGCTACATGGTATGGCAACCATATTGTACAATGTCTTATATTTCATGTCTTGTTTGCTATGTGAAATGTATTTCGATTGTAAAATTCCATGCTCTTCAGGCCCTCAATTAGATTCAGCTCTGATGAAGCTGTTGCATGTCGACTGGCAACAAATGAGATACAATTTTTGGATGCTGGAGATTTCTCTAAACCATTTATATATCGGCTAAGAGTTCCTGGAGTGGCTGCATTTGAGCTTTCTAAGGCACCTGGCTCCCATGTGGCAGCATTTGTTCCAGAATCCAAGGTTTGTACTCGTGCCTGTGGTTAATAACTTGATTGTAGAGACTTCTTTATGAATGATATCTAGTATGGGAATCATGTGAACTTTAAAAGCAGTATTGGAATTATACTAAATATTGTTGGACATTCTGAACTTCAACTCAAAGTATTCAACTCTTTTGGAGTTTCAAACATGGAAGGATGTAGTGTCAGGAAATTGTGAAACTATGCAGTGTTTTGGACTTGGCACATTGAATGGGTGGAATTTCATCCACTTAGTAGCAGATATAATCTCAACATTTTTGACAATGGGGCTGATTTTTCACATTATTATCTCATGCTAATTTTGTTCTTTCGCTTTTTTGTTCATTTATCAAGTTCAATTTTCTTTCAATTTAGGGGATTCCTGCCAGTGTCCAGATATTTTCTTGTGCAAAAGCTGTACAGAGTCAACCTCTTGCTCGACGGAGTTTCTTCCGATGTTCATCAGTGCAACTGCATTGGAATAATGGCTCAACCGGGCTTTTAGTTGTGGTACAGTCAGATGTTGATAAAACCAATCAGAGTTACTATGGGGAATCAAAGCTCAACTACTTGACAACAGATGGGACCCATGAAGGACTTGTACCTCTTCGTATGTTCCAACTTCAATAGTAAATCAAAATTAACATTTAACTGCATGCAGCCTAATTATCCTTAGATATTTGCCAGGTAAAGAGGGGCCTGTTCATGATGTTCAGTGGGCATATTCTGGATCGGAATTTGCTGTAGTTTATGGCTGTATCCTTTTATTATGTTTTGAAGAGACAACTTAACAGGAGCAGTATATAAGACTCGGAATGTTTAGTGAGTATTGTTTGTGATGAAATTAAGCTTACTCTTGACTGTATATCAAGAATCTTAGTACCACACACACACAGACACACGCACACACACATATATATATAGGCAGCTGCACTTTGGGACTCTAGTTATCAGAATATTGAGGTGATTTTCACTCCAGGGTTTAAATTATTTGGACAGGGCAATATTATCTGGAGATGCAAGTGATCTTTTGAGTAGGGGTCTCTATGGTCCATCCCCTTTTCTAAACATATTACATTCAACTTATATGGGTTCTTCAGAATCATTGTAAGAGTATTCGGGTCTGAATGCTAATTTCTATGTGTGCATCTTTTATATTAGGATTTTTTATTTTTGTGATTTTCAGCTTGTCATGTATATATCCTTCTTGAAAATGTTCAGAATTTGTTCTTTTCCTTGAACTGTATTAGTTATGCCTTCAAAAGCGACTGTGTTTGACAAGAAGTGCAATCCTCTTCTTGAGCTTGGAACGGGTCCGTACAATACTATCCGATGGAATCCAAAGGGAAAATGTATCCTTGAGAATTGCCACTTACTTCTTGAGAACATTAACTTTGTTTACTTGAAACGGCTAATTCATCTCCCTAATACTTTATAAGATGGCTCCTCTATTATTTTTGGTTTATCAAAATTATTTAGTGGGCATTATTTTTTTAATGGTGGTTGCCTTTAAAATCAAGTACTCATTTGTTATTTGGTAGCTTTGAGCAAGCTTAGTAACTTGTAGACATGCTGAAAAGAAAATTAGTGAATGGAAGGGGGGCCAAAAGTGACTACCAACCTGGGAGCATAATGAAACATAATATAATATAATATGGTATAAAAAAGATAATACTTATTTATTTCTCAGAGAAGACAAAAAGATCTATATATATTGTGGCCTTAATTATCTGGTTTGCAGTTCTGTGTTTGGCAGGCTTTGGTAACTTACCTGGTGATATGGTATGTTATTAAGTTATGTGTACATTTTCTCCTCCGGTCTATTTTCTGTATAGCCATTATTTTCTCCTCAATCATATAAAATTTTATGCAAGAAATTCGTCATATGTTATTTTTACTGGTTTTCACATACGCATGCACTTTGATGGTCTCATGATAAATACCTTTATTCGGGCTTGCAAAAGATGATAAAGATCATATATGTGCATTATGATTTCTAAAGTCAATTTGTCATTTTTTATTTATTACCATTTAGGCATTTTGGGACTATGTGGAGAAAAAACAGCTTGGGACAACTAGGGCTGAATTGTCTGTGACAAGCGAATGGTCTCCAGATGGATGCTATTTCATGACTGCGACAACTGCACCAAGACTTCAAGTCGACAATGGGTATGTTAACATTTGGTAGTGCACTTCATTTGGGTATATTATGGAAAGTTTCTGGGTTAACAAAAGGGTCGAGTATATGGTAGTGCACTTCATTGAACTAATAAGTGCACTAGAGCTGTGCTTACCATGTGCCTATCTAGAATTTCTATGTCACTTGTGGCCTTTGAAAAAGAAATGATTATCAATCTTCCAAATGAGTTGTTTATTGAACCTTCATCATGAGAGTAGTTTATTCTATCCATGGGCACAAAATTTGTTCATCTTCATGTTAACTATTCACACTTTTATATTGATTTTAACTGTTCATTTAAAAGGTGCAAAGGCACTCTGAGCATATTTACTCAGCTCTTGCATATTTGTTGGTGTGTGTGTGTGCACATTCTTTCATATGGGATGGATTGGATACATAGTCTGGTGGTCTGGTTCAAAGAAGTTTATTCACCAGTAAACCACTTCATGTTTCTTCTCTCTGTATTGAAGGATTAAGATTTTCCACCACAACGGGTCATTATTCTTCAAGAAGATGTTTGACAAGTTGTACCAGGTCAGTGTTGATGGTGAAACCGTCTTTAAACTGCCTAAAAACAAATCTTTATGTTGTTCACATCTCCCTAATTTGGTTTCTTTCCTGGCCCCAACTATTTGTTCAGGCTGATTGGAAACCAGAGTCACCAGATAGGTTTGGTGACATTGCCGAACTTGTCAAGTCCATAGGATCATTAAAAGTTGTCGAAACAAAACCTCAAGGTTGCTCTCGTTTAAAATTTTCAAGTGCAGTTGACTGTGGATTTGGATTTTAGACGTATATTTTTTTGGTTCACTGAAGAACTTGGATAATTTTTCAGGAGACAGGTCCAAAATTTCTCAGACCTCTGCAAAAGCTAGCGCTAGCAACCCTCCTGCCCAAAAGCCTGCTGCTTATCGGCCCCCACATGCTAAGAGTGCTGCTGCTGTTCAGGCTCAGGTATACAGGATATATGTTGGTTTCATTTTTTTTGTTGGTTCGTCAAATTCATGGATGAGTTCATCCTACAGATACTATTGACAATCATTTTTGGAAAACCTTTTACTAATTTGTATCGGAATGAAACAATTGCTTGATGTGATGCTGATGGTTTCAATGACTTTGTAATGGCAGCTGTTTGGAGAGAGCTCTACAGAGTAAGTACATGCCTATTTTGTTTGTTTCCTCTTTACATTAGGCTCTAATTTTTTTTACAGTTTATTCTTACAAATTCTTGTCCGTGTTAATTAATGAAGGACGGTGAGCAAGAATGCATTGAAAAACAAGAAGAAAAGGGAGAAGCAAAGGGAGAAAAAGGCTGCTGAGGCTACCAGTGGTACTTGATTGGAAGCAGGGTTTCTGAGTGAGTGATTCCTTTATACCTAGAGGTTGATTTCTAGGCTTGAGGGGTGGATTTTACAATTACCATCCTTACTCAGATCTGAGTGTAGATTTATTCCTTAAGCGGGATTTTTTGTTTCTTCTCTGAAAAAATTTGAGCTCGGCATAGTTATCTGCAATATGAGCATATGTTTTGTTAAAATGGGAGATGAAATAAAAGTGATGACAGGAGCTGGGTCTCTGTTTTACTTGATGTGTAAAATTATGATGGTCTGGTTGAAAATGATGATGATATTAAAGTTCGAGGATTGATTTTTATTTATGTATATTGTCCGTATATTAGTTAATTGAAAACAAAAAAGATTATATGTTGATATGCCTAGATTTAATTATTTTGCACTGTGAACTTGCTAAACCATGTTGAAAAGAAAAAAAAAAGAAAAGCATGTCATTATCCGGCTGTTGAATGGTGTGGCTCTGCTGGTAGAAACCCTCTCTAGCTTTAAGATTGTTTTCCAATATGGTAAGTAGAAACACATTCCACAGTAACCATTTCTTAGGCTCCTTGTTTAAAATTCAGAAATACGTTTCTATTCAAAAAAATGTATATCGGAAATAACACATTCTACACTGCACATTTCTTTTGCGCGCAACTTTTTTGTTTTTGTTTTGTTGTAAATACCCAAGTCTTATTCTTCGATGGTTTCCATTTGCATGGTCATCATATCGGGGTTGTTATCAAGGATGAAAATATTGGTCGTGCAGAAGGCATCAATGTTGGTTTTATATTAGGCCTCTGAAATCTAACATATCGGTGTATTGGCTGATATTTTCGTCCAACGTTGTTATAAATGTCATTTTTACAAAATAATATCACACGAAGGTGAAATATTTGATCCCAAAAAATACAAACAAAAACAAAGAAAGTCACATTCTCATAGAGCACTGGTTGACCATTATATTATTTGACCAGGAACATCATACCGTATTCAGAATCAAGCAATTGATAAAGCACAAAACTGAAAACCAATTTGAACAATAGTCTTCAAACTAGGAGCTAAGATTACTTCAGACTCGTTGGGATTGTTTCACGTGCATCAAAATTTCACGTCTGTTGTCCAGGTACCTTGCACGCTAGGATGTTTGGTTACATGTCTAGTCTTCAGTTTCACCACTTTTCTTCCCAGTGAATTTCTTAGCCTGGTTGCATATTGAAGAACCTCTTCTGGATCCATATTCTTCACACATACCACCCTCTCACTTTTGTTCTCTGTGCATTGACAAAGGAAACTCTTACAAAAGAATTTCTAAGCCTCAAGCTACTCATAAGAGTGCAACTATTTGTATGAGAGAGACTCTTACTTTTGTTCAATGTGCATTGACAAAGGAAACTCTTACGAAAGAATTTCAAAGCCTCATGCTACTCACAAGAGTGTAACTATTTGTATGAGAGAGAGGTGACTTACTGTATAAGCCCTTCAAATGTGGATGCTGACCCCGGATGAGTTCAGTAACCACCTCCAGCTGAGGATTCTTCTCCTTAAATACTGGTAGATATGACTCCATAAATGACCTACCATGTCAAAGGTTAAATTTATTAAAATTTGAAAATGAAAGTGCTAAAATTTGAAGTTCTAATATTTACCCATGATATACCATGTACTGTATTTTATTATTCAGGACAGCGCTATACAACACTATCCAGCTCCTTAGTCCAGCACCATACCTAACATAGCCAGGACTAAGTCCAAGCCAATCCTATCCAGCACAGTTCATAAAAATAGTCCAGTCCAATCCGATCTGGGCTAACAAACCCCACCATAGATTATTCCCTAAGGATAGGATTAGAAATACATGAACCAAAAAGTGCAAACCAATCAAAATATCACAACAATACCAAAAGAGAAATTTCAGACATATACATATATATTAAGCTTTAACAAAACACTATAGGCTTAAAGCTTATAATGATGCTCCTCCTCCAGTAACTGAACCACCAATGCATTATCAACTTCGCTTCAGTTCTAAAGAAGAAAGGGCAAGCATGAGCAAGCCTACTTTTACTTAATTAAGCTACAACCTAACAGGTAATGCAAAATACCAAAGCAATTCCTAACATATAAAACCCAATCTGTTAACCCCAGCCTCATTCCCAAGTCATCTCCTAAAAGTGCAGTGAATTAAGCTAAGTTACGGAGTCTAAGCTCTACGGTCCAATTTCAAACTGCATCTAGAGTGGCGTTCCTTGCCTATACTTCAAACATTGTGAGGAATTACCACCCAAGTATATATTATGATGAAAACAAAAGCCCAAAAGCAAAAATAAATAATCTTGCTATATCAAATTGCATCTAACAAAAACAAGTGGGCAAATTCATCATGAATACTATGGTTTGTTTTTAATACATAACAACATCCTAGCAAATGATCTTGCGATAAATTATAACTGTATCTTTCAAGCCACAGTTCCACTAGGAAGTGTCAATCAATATTTTAAAACAACAATAAAAGTTTTATCCTTGCATTTAAAACATTTATTTCCTTTATGAAATCAGATATCTAACTTGACAAAATACTCCCGCAATGCTCGGTTTACAAATACTGGTGATTTGAGCAATCTACCTGATTCCCCTACTGCTTCCTCCCCAATCAGAAAAGCTCACAATCAGCTTTTGCAATTGCCACGCACCTCTCAAAGCCATCTGACATTAGCAAATTAATATATCAACGAGAAATTTTACAAGATACAATGAATAGAAATTCTGTTAAAGCTATGCAACATTCTTATGAAGCATAAAAAATACATCAAACCTCTTATATCATTCTGATAATAAGTTCTCAGTTATCCAATTTTCTGTTACCATACACACTAAAAGTTTCTCCTTCACCACCCATACAGCATCCATTTCCGCCATAATGATATAAAATGCACTCAAGAATTTATCACTTTGATGAAGCCTAAAATTTTAAATAAAAAGGAAAAAACTGGGAAAAAAAAAGGAAACCGTCGAGCAGCAGAGAAGAAGAAGAAACCTGGAGTCGCTGGACCTGGTGGTGCTGCGCGCGGTGTTCCTTCGAGAAGAAGGTTAGGTTGGGTTGGATTCTTCTTTCTTCTTCCTCTTCTTCCTTTTTCTTCTCTCTTTTTTCCTTGTGCCGCCGAAACCAAAGTATCAATCGTCTTGTTCTCATAAAGTTCAATGTTCTGTTCACATAATATAAATAATTCTAAAAAATTGAGATAAATAAAATCTTACAGTAAAAGGAAGAAAGACCGATGATGCTTTGAAGAACGAAGATGGATTTGCTTTGAAGAAATGATGCTTCTCACTCCTTGCGGCTGGAGTTCCAGAGAAAGGGTGAGGGTCTCAAATTTCAATCTTTCTATTTTGTATGATTTTGCAAAAATTAATATTATATTAACTTACCTACAATGTTACATGTATATAAATATCAATCGAAATCACAAGAATAAAAAATATGTATGCAGCTCAGTGGGAATTTCTAGTGTTTATTAATAAAAGTGGGTCGGGGTTCGACTCCCCTGCCCAGCAATCAATTTCTCATTTTTCACAGATTTATTCTTGTGAAATTACAAAAATACCCCTACTCTTAACGGGTGACTAACGGGCTGGTTCTGGTTGTATACAATATTGACCAGAAATCCGTCTGATTGGCCTCTGCTTGCTGGCCAAGCTAGGATAGTCATAGGTGATATTTCTTTCAAAAGAAAGGGGTTGTATGGTATCACAACAAGATTGGTTATTTTCTCTTTGCATTATGATGTCATGTAAGTAATTTGCAAAACGCCTGGCCTCTAAAGGCGTTGAGGACACATTGGCAACTACCAGTTACTGTTAACTCCATTTGTGTCCCCAGCGTGCTTCGATTCCTTGATGCTATGTGCGCAACCAAGCAATCGGAGTTTACGGTTTCCTTACATCTCAAGTCCTGAAGAAATACCAACACTCCAACTTCCCTGTCAATTGCGTAGTTTACGATTCGTTTTTGCCATGGGCCCTTGCCCTTAATGCGGCCGAGAGACACAGCATATATGGAGCTTCATCTTTACCAAGTGGGCCATGGTGTGCAGCATATCTTCCATTTGAGATGGAAGACATGCCCTTATTGATTCCTCGCCTGCCTCCGCTCAACTTTCCTGACCTGCACACTTTCCTTAAGAAGCCAGATAGCCACCCAGCAGCGAACCAGATCCTCAAGTGGACAAGGCTGACTGGTTCTTTGTAAACACATTCGAGGTACTAGAACGCCAGGTATGACGAATGCTAATCTGGATTAATTATATTTCCCGTCGAACGTCGAATAGTTTGACATGTTATATGTTGTCATACTATAAATCATGCCATTAAACAATTACATATGCTGGACATTTGGCATTTATCATTCCATTTTAACCCCCGCCTATGATATTCATGCAAAACAAGCTTCTTCCAAAGAGTTCAAATCTTGAATAAAAACTTCTTCCACTACATTTTAGAATTATGACTATCAAAATTGTGACACAATAAGTTCGTAAAACACTCCTAATGATCCAACAAGAAGACGTATTGGGAGGGGCAACAATGAAGCAATAATGGGTAACAACAAATTAGTTCTTGAATCTGATGCTCCGGCTGATTCCTGCATTGATTCCAGAGGTCTCCCCGCCATAGGGACCAATAGGCTTCTTGACTTCTCTTACCTGTCCTTTTCTACGCTCTTGTGCTTTCTGGTGCTTCAACTGCGCACAGAGAGAGAGGGAATTGAGTTAACAGAGAACATTTAGTAAACTGCAACATCAAATGTGCTAACTATTTGATCAAAATACCTTGTACTTCTTTCTTGGATTCTTGATCAGCTTCTTGCGAGCACGAGTAAGTCCTCTATTCTTCTCCATCTGGAGTAAATTTGGAGGAAGAGAAAATAATATGGTGAGACAAGAAATAATGGTAAATCTTAAATAACCGATTATACAAGCAAAAGTTGAAATTGGCTCATATTTACCTGATAAGTAATGTGGCGTTTCCCGTCGACAGATTCAGTTTCGACCAAAGATGGAACTGTAGAGGACCTGCAGACGCAAAGAAACTTTAGCAAACACAAATTACCAACTTGAAATCAACAACCACTATTTAAATGCAAACACAAATTACATCATTTCATGACAGTGGGATGATGTAAACTAAAAACCGTAGCAATTAACTACAAAGCAAAAAACACCTTGAATAAATCTGAGCTTTGGCAGCAAGTTTTGCAGCTCGTTTTTCTTTCACTTGTTCGTAAAATTCATCTTCTGAATCTCCAGTTCCACTATCATCCATCTCAACATCTCCATCATCAGAAATAGCGCCATTTTCATCTCCAGCATCACCATCAGACTTGATTCCAGCTCCTGCCAGTACTCGGAGCTCATGCTTTCTCCGCCTCTCCCCAATATCATCTCTCTGAGGTAAATCATCATCACCTGAGACAACCTTCTCATAAAGACAAAAAAAATTAGCATAAAAAATTTATTATTATTATTTTTTATAATCATAACTTGATATTTGTCAACATAAACCAACATCAGGATTATGTATTCTTCTTTGGTTAAACAAAAAGATAAGGAAAATATGAACCATGCCAGGTTATCCTGAATCCTGATTATATGTTAATATGTTGACACAAAAAAACTAGACAACTAATGTTTGGATTGCATTCTCCACAAAACTGCAACACTAATATAGCAAAACAATATCCAGATGTAAATAAAGTTAGGGAATAGAAATGCAAAGACTTTATCCTATTTGAATCTACCAGGAAAAATGAGGAGCACAATGATTAGTGATGAATCTGATAAATCTCACTATGGCTCGTAAACTCAGAAAGCAGTTAAAAAACAAGAATTGATTAGGAAGACAGTAATATTGAAGTTCATACCTTGGACTTATTTGGATTAGCACCAACAAGTTGGGAGAGCTTACTTGCATGCCCATTGGTCAATCCATGGATGGCGCCTTCAGCATTTACGGCGTCATCATCAAAATCATCATATGATTCAAGCTTCCTGTTTAATTCAAACTTTAGTTGAATTAGTCTTCACAGCATAGGTACAAGCATATTTTAAAAAATATATAAGAGCATGTTGATACCCATTCAATGGCTTTAGAAGTTTCCGGGGTTTATCAGTTTTTGGAGTGATGGAACTGAAGACACCCTTTTGCTTCAACTTTTCCTCAAGGGCAGCTCTTACTTTCAACATTTTCATGCTCTGTACACCAACTTCATCATTCTGCCACATACTAAAAGTCAGCATAAGACAAATTGATAATCTTCTTAAAGCCATAAAGAAAAAAGCAAAAACAAAACTTAGGAAAGAGAACAGAAACTGAAAGTAGTTAACAGATATGCCACGTATGATTTACCTGACATTTGCGCTTTCCCACCTTGTTCTGATTATCCTTCAGAGACTCCACCTTTTCCAACACAGCAATGTCATGTGGCTGCAGTGAATTAACGTATGAATCACACGAGATCATTACCAAATAATTATATATTGTATATTGCTTAAAGACAAGAAGATTAAAGCAGTAACTACCGCAGCTGCTTCTTCTGCCTCAGCAAAGGCAGGTGGGCGACTGTAACCCTCAGCAAGAGAACCAGATGCTTCAGTAGCAGTCTCTTTAACCGACTTCACTACTGCTTCCATCCCATTATATTTGTTGAGAATTTCCTCAAAGTCGGATGGTAGATTCCCATCAAGTTGCTTCATCTGTTAAGTGAAACCCACATTAGCCCATCTTACTGAAGAACCGAAACAGCAGTGTACACTTCACATAAACCACTTTTGTAATTATGCTTGTGCTTAATCAAGAGCAACAGGAAAAGCAGAACCGATACTTTATAGGTAATATATTAAACTGATCTACAGGGCCCGTTTTAGGATAAGCAGACGTTTGACCCAAGGGTTGTCATTTTCATATTGCCACACATCAGTTCCAATTATAACGACCAATTCATTCTGATCGCAAATGTGGCCTTTCTTTTTGCAAATTCAATAAAAGGTAGTTCCATCAAATCGAACAACAAATATACGTGAAGATAGCAATTAGACAATCATTGATTAACTCGTACATCAGCTTAAGAGAGCAATTACCAGAAAGGTTTAGGCATTCATGTATCATAAGTTATACCCATCTATTCAAAGAGGCAGTGAACTTAATGGTGCAGATATCAACCATATTAGTGATGTATCCATTGATCTCTGAAGGCTTTTGACTTTTATGTATGAAGAAACACTTTTAACTCATGCATCACAACTATGTACCAACAACTAACAAGTGGTTTCTGCCGTGACATTCAGTGTGTGCTATAGGTAAACCAACAGAAACAGCATGAACAAAAGAAAAAGACCAATCAGAAACAGACAAATCCAACTAATCCTGTGCAGAGTATGGTCAAGAGAACAGTTGTTTAGAATCCAGAGAAGGGACAAAACTACCCACCATATATTCCTCCAAGATTAATTACATACAACTTATTCGCAGATCATGCATATTCCATCCTTTGGAAAGAAACATATAAAAAAATAGTAGTTGAGAGATTGGACCAAAAACATGCTGTATTATATGCATATATAAGATGTATGCACTTTTATTTTAATTGATACCTTAATTTCAAAAAGAAAACCATAAACAATAATTAGATCTGTAATTTTCTTTTGGTCTGAAATAAATAGATCTGTATAAGGCCAGCAAGTACAATATGCTTTTTAAATTTAGCAAAGAAAACATGCTCAAGGGGTCAAGGGGGGGTGGTGTCTTAAAGAGAAAAAGAAGACCTTATCCAACAAACTCTTGATCTCTATTAGGCGAGCAAGTACAGGATGATCACGAACTTGTTGGCCTTCGGACTTGAGAAGAAGGTAGAACGTTATGACTTGACAATAGGCCAGCAGAAGAAGCTGCTTTACCTCTAAATAGCGCATCCCTCCTTCCAACATGACCTCCCCATTTTTAACCTTCATAACAAGAAAACATCAATAATGCTTGACACCAAGTTATCAACCAAATTTAGCATAACAGAAGATAAATAAAAATGATAAAAGGGGGAAAGGGCTCCATTGTTACAGTTAACCATATTATATCAAACAATAAGAAGAAACCTAAAGTTACCCAGCATTCTGCTATCCAAATATTAAATATTAAAACCATAACGACATATGTACAAGCCAAAGGACTTCTAAGTGATCTGACCGTGTATTCTTGAAGTCTTCATTGATTCATCATATATGTAAAAAATACCCAAAGCGGACCATTTTATTAAAATTAGTATTTCTTTGAAAGCACCATGGGTCGTCTATTTATTTCATCACAATCTGATCTTTTTTACAATTTGGCGGCTAAATTTTTTTCAAAGATGATCCATGAATGAAGATTTGAAAAATCAAAGATTCGGATTGTTGAAATACAATGAGCAGGCCCCACCCTCTGCATTGTATTTTACGAAACCAAACCTTTCGGGATCCACGTCTTTATTCACAGATCCTCTTTGAAATAAAATTGACAAAATTAAGACATCTCATGATGATGAAATAAATAGACAAGCATGGTACTTTGAAAGAAACACAAAAATGACTATCATTTCATCAAATGGTTAAATATTTTCCAATTTGGGTATTTTTTGCAGAACTGATCAATGAACAAAGACTTGATGAATAGACAGTCGGATCATTCAAACCAAAAAGGGATTAACAACGAGAAGAATGATGCATTAAACCAAAAATTGATTTGTCCATGTATCCAAACCAGATTCAAAAGACTATCCTGACAAATTTCCTCATTACTCTTCCTAACAAACCCTCCATGCCAAGATGCCAACAGAGAGAAAAGCAATTCCAGTAACTCAGAGTTCTACCACGAGAAGCATGAAATAAAAGGCAAAAGAATAAAAGCAGTTATACCTTGCCTAAAAGTGGATTAACTCTGCTTTGAAGCTCTTCAAGTGCATCATTCAGCTCTGACAACAACCCAATTAATTCTGGAGCGGAACTGTAGGGCAAAATGATTAAGTAAGGGAGGCCAAAAACTACCCTACATCCTACAGTAAAAAAAAATAAAAATAACCCCCCCCCCCCCCCACCAAAAAAAAAAAAAAAAAAAAAAAAAAAAAAAAAAAAAAAAAAAAAATATGGATTTGCGATTAGCTTATATATCATCATACAAAACCTATATAAATAGCTTGATGCCTTCTCCCCGAAGACAACAATTTGCACTTCAACCTATTCCTCAATTTCCAAAACAATATTGTTCCTATTATAACCTATACTATCATGCCACCCCCATTTTATTGACATTTATTTTCTTTCTTTGTTGACATTTATTCTCTTTCTTTGTTGACATTGTAACAATAACAATTGCTGATGAGAACTGCATACAAGGGAAAATAGATAAGGAAGACAAAATAACAAAAATAGAGATCTTTAGATCAATATAAATTTTTTTTTATAAAAAGATCTTAATATAAAAGAAAATATAAGATAAGCATAGTAAAAAAAATTCAGATGCAGTTTTAGTAGTGGATGTGCACCTCATATTAATAGTGGATGTGCTTCCAAATTACCCCAACTAATATTTCAAAACCTCATTTAATATACGGTAGAAGTAGTTAAAAAAAAAAAACCATTAAAATCGATTATTGTGACTCCACCCTCAAGTTAAAACAGAAAAAAGAAGGGAAGAAACATCCTTGATTTCTTTAACATTCTGTTCAAGCCCAACATGAATTTCTGGTCCTAGGGCATTTCAACAAATAGGAAATGCAATTCATTAAAAAAAATAAAAAAATCCAAACACGTTGGAGGAAGGAAACCTCCATCCCTCCTCTTGAGAGGAGGACGACAGTCAAAATGTGGTGATTTAAATTAATGATTAGGAAGCAAAGGAGCCTCAACACACAAGATGCATTGATCTACTGAGCAAGTCAAGCTTTGATTCCCTCGGCATCTAGAGCCACGGAATTCTTGAGTTGTTAGATTTGTTGGGAAACTTTTCAGGTTTGATGAGAAGAGTGACTAAACAAATAATATATCCATATACCAAACTGGATAGAGAGAAATCATGTATAATATATATATTTTTTAATGTCAATGAAAAACCTTACCTATATAAAACATCCATTTTCTCCTCCTTTGACAAAGAATTCAAGTCTTTCTTCACCTCCTCATAAGCTGTACCCATGTCATCTGAAACTTCAATTCCCATTGGAGACTTCTTTGTACTTTTTCCCTTACGTGAAATTTCCTGCAGAAATGAAAGAATTTGATGATATGCCATTTGTAAGAACATTTAGATCATAGCACCCGCCTTTGAACAGAAACTTGTAAATAATTAAGTTCACCATCACTTCCCATTACAAGGAGACTAAAAAAAACCTGATGACCCAACAAAACCAAAGAAACATCTGTATCTGCAAACCCCACCTCAAAAGTTAATTCGGCATCACTCTCATTTTGACAAATATCTTCAAGCCCAAAGTCATCCCGCGTTGCTGATTTTGCCCTTTCTCTTTGCAGCCTCAGCACTTCTGCCTCTTCCTCTTTCGCAGACTCATCGCCACTTGATTGTTGCTTCATCAATAAAAAAATAAAATCTAATTTAAATAAAAACCCTAAATCTTATTAATATATGTACACAGGAATCCAGTTATGCACATTCGATTGAATTTGAATGGGGAAAGAACAAGCATCACTGGATGCAGACAGATATGCACAGATATATATATATATATATATATATATATATATATATGGAGAGAGGGATACAGACAGGCGGACAGACATTTAGAACTTAAAGAGCATGCCCTCACCTCAAAATCACGATTATCAGCATCATAATATTGCTGCTTCCTTCCACCCCATACAGGGTTTTGATCTTCCTCATCCTCTTCATCATCATCATGCATTTCATCCTCAACTCCACCGAACTTTGCCGTTAAAACTTTTGCTGCCTAACAACTGCAGGCAATACATAAATAAGAAACAAGTTATGTAAACTCTAAACCAGGTTTATAACTTGTAAGAGGAGTGGTTGGAAGTAATTACAGAAGTATAACGATGTTTTCACCTAAAACACAAAAAGTGTGCAGGTAGTATAATGGAGTTGAACCAAGGGATTTTGTACAAATGATGAAGACAGAGTCATCCACACAATGAACATAGAGCAAAGAGCAAATCATGTGAATTTCATTATATGCACCCTGTCAAAGTGGTGACATAACGAAGTTCACAAAATTTCAACACACCGCTAACGCACAACAATATTAGGAACTTGTAATGTGCCTCTAAAAGGTCACACAATCTATGGAATCAAATAATAAAAGGACATGTTTCTATTCTAACAATTCAAGAAAACTTGATTTCTTTTATGCTTGACAACTTGAAGTCAAATTGTCAAAGAACCACTGAGCTACACTTATGGTAGGTCAACAAAGAACTATGGCATAAAAAAATACAACCAAATGACATTTTTATTTTAATGAGAAATCAAAAGATCTTAAACCATCTTCCTTACTTTTTGCAGCAAAGCCGGTATCATGGGTGTCATCATCGTCGCCATCATTAATATTCTGTAAACAGTATTAGCAATACTAAATTAAAATCTGAAAATACAGATATCAATAATTACTTTGAAATTAGGAGATGAAAATGAAGTTCAGAAGTTGATATCCCAATTCTATTCATAAAACTCACTGAAAAGACGAAAACAAACACTATCAAAAACATCACAGAGTTGCATCAATCTCTGTAATAGGTCCACAGAAACTATTAAAACTTGATGAAAGGGAAAATAATAAAAAAGAAAACCTCAAAGTCAAAGACAGGTTGCTCGTTATCTTCATCAGAATCCTCAGCCTCTTCATTAATGTCCAGAGGAACAATATCTCTTTGTTTGTGAACTGCAACCAAAGAATTTGCAAAATCAATCACATACTTTTCCAAATAAGAATATGCACAAGAAACGATTTTAAAATATAATTACGTTAAAGGGAAAGTGAACATTGAACACATCACTTTCTCTCCAAATTACATGGGGTGACTATAGTAAACATATAAGAATGTCCAAAAATAATTTTCAGAAAACCAACTCAACTATCAGTACCAGAAAATAAATTTCACCACAAGAAAGTACAATTAAAAAAAATCATAGAATTAATCAACATACATGCATCAATTTCGTCGTCCATGTCATCTTCAATGACACCATTATCATCACGGAGCTTTCTCTTATTAGGCTTTCCATCGACTTTCTTCTGACTCTTTCCTCTCTTGCCCATTTTCTTGCAACCTTCAAATAAGATATACAATCAAAGCACGAAGGTAATTAGTTGTAGGTGTTAGGTTTCCTTCTGCTAACTTGGAAAACAATGACAGTAGTAAAATTAATAGATTGAAAAATATGAACATGGGGGTGTTTGATTCACACCCAAAACTATTTAAAAAACATTCGTCCAAATTGAATAGAAGTGGTATTTTGATATTTCCTAAGAGTCACTGAAGGGAAAAGAAAAAAAAACTCAGAACAGCTCCATACAGTATCGATATGGAACGAAAGATTTAACGACTCAGTTCTAGAGGAGAGAACAGTACCTGATAGACGACGTCGCTGCTACAGAACAGTACCTGAGCGCCGACAGCAGACGAGCAATTAGCTTAGGCCTGTAATTCGGCCGGAACGGATCGGAAACTAGTGTTCCTCTCTAGCTTTTGCTGTGGCGTTTTAATGGAATTCCAGTTTCATACAAAAAAAAAAAAAAAAAAAAAAAAATAATAAATACCAAATTTATGCCTTAATGATATGAAAAACTTTTTGTTAGGTTAGGGTTGGGATTTGGCATTTGGGCTGCTGCAAAATGGGCTGGGATAAAAGTAACTGGGCTGCTGGCATATTAAACCTTTTTGTTTTTCTGTTTTTGTTGGAAATGTTATATAAACCTTATCATGATTTTTATAATTAAAAATGTGTGACCCAACTAAAAATGTTATATAATTTTTAATATGTTAATATTAACTAACAATGAATGCACTTGTTTAAATTATGATATTTTTTTCATGTAACTTTTAATTATTAAATCTTATTTCATCTTTAAAAAAAATTTATGAACATTTTAAAGGAAATAGTAGTATAGTAGATAGCACATTACTTATAATTATATGTATATTTAATTTATATAGGGAGAGATAGTTTCTGTTTGATATAATTAAATGTATGTTTAATCTTGGTTTGTATAAAATGTAACTTGGGAAATCTTTTATATTTTATGTATACATATACATTGTAACAAAAAATAGATATACATGTACATCTAAAACCAAATGACAGTATTTCACGTGGTATTAGCTAATGACAATTTAATGGAAAAATAATTTAGTCTTGCTCTAGATAAGCACACATATACTCCTATCATGATTCATAGGTAACAAGCACACATATGCATTTTTGTTATATAGTATAGTCAAAAATACATAATCTTAGAGTGATATGTATGCACATATATGTATATATAATAAACCTTTAGTATATACAGACATGTGTATAATTCTGATGTATACATGTATGTGTGTTTTATATATAACATACATTATAACAAAAAATAGATACACATATAATACTTAAGTATACATGCATTTTTGTTATATAGTATGTTTGGATATGATAACCACACATACGAATTTTTGTAATATTCAACCAAAAATGTTAGCCAAAAATACAATCTTAAAGTAATATATACTCATATGTTTAGTATACATGTGTATATGAATATTTGTATGTTGGAGGGCACTTAAATATAACAAATAAGAAATGAAACATATATCTAAACTAAAAACAATGCAATTAAACTTATAAATCATAAAATATTATTATAAATTCGGAAAATTTCGGAAACAATCGGAAAAATTGGATCGGAAAGGGTTCGGAGAACTTCGGAAATTTTCGGATCGAAATTTCGGAATTTTCGGAATTTACAAATACATTCCGATTCCGATCTGAATTTTATCGGAAATTTCGGATTTCGGCACTTTCGGATATCGAATGTATCGGAGTTGGATTTTTTTGGAAATTTTCGAACCGGAATTGGTCGGAATCGGATTTTCCAATCCAATTTACGACCCTAAATTAGCTTATGAGCCTTTTTGGACGAATGGATTCGAAGAGGTGGGATGCGTGATAAATGGATAGGTGTAAGAGCAGTTCCAGCGGACAGCCCACCCAGCCCAGCAAAAGGACCCGGGTCTCCCAAAATCGGCTCCAGCGGTGACATCCAGCCAAATAGCTGGGGTCCATCAAGCCCAGGCAAGATAGCCCGAGCTGCTGTCTGAGAGCATGTGTAGCGCCAAGGGCCTGCCCTGGCAACAGGCCCCCCGAAAGCCCAAATCCCCTTCCAGCGCAACGAAACCAGCACGGGCAAGCCCTGGGACCCACCAGCCTGAGCAAGCCCACAAGCAAATTTGGATTGGACTGTAGCCTGAAGGCGATGACGTCTGCGAGTGCAATTCAAATTTTTTTTTTACCATTGGAGCGTGAAATTCTACTGACGTTAGCCTGACAGAACCCAACAGGAAAACACCACGTGGCGCTTCCCAGATGCTATGATAGATTTTTTTCCAGAAATCCAACGGCCCTGATTTTTTTGGCTAAAAAAATTTGAAAAAAAAAAACTTTTTTTAAAATAAAATACCAAAAAATTATGGATTTTTTCCCTATAAATACATAACAATTTTATTCACTTTCCACACCAAATCTTCATACAAACTCTTCTCATTCCAATATTTTTTACTTTCCACTCACATTTTTCTACTACTTTCAATTTGTATCAAAAAACAAATGGCCTCTTCTGTCGAAGCCGGAGGCTCGTGGACAACTCATGAAGATATTGTGCTGTGTGAGTGTTGGGTGAAAGTTAGTCATTACCCTATCATGGGCAATGAGATGAAGTTCTCTCATATGTGGAGAAAAATTCATGGTAAATTTTGTGAAAGATCGGGTTCGCCTCAGACCGAAATGGCCTTGGCTAGTAAATGAAAAACTATGAATAAAGAGTTAGGGAAATGGAGAGATTCCTTGTAAAAAGCAAGGGACAACATTCGAAGCGGTCAAATCTTGCCGATGAGGTAAAATATTTATAATTGTCGTTTTATTCAATTTAATGTAACTTTTTTTTTTCTTGCATATTCAATTTTTTTTTCCTTGCATTTCCAATTTATTTATATTTTGTTGCATAATCATTTTTTTTTCTTGCATTTCCAAATTGTTTATATTTTCTTCCATATTCATTTTTTTTTCTTACATTTCCAATTTGTTTATATTTTCTTGCATAATCTTTTTGTTTTCTTGCATTTCCAAATTGTTTATATTTTCTTTCATATTCATTTTTTTTCCTTGCATTTCCAATTTGTTTATATTTTCTTCCATATTCATTTTTTTCTTACATTTCCAATTTGTTTATATTTTCTTGCATAATCTTTTTTTTTCTTGCATTTCCAAATTGTTTATATTTTCTTTCATATTCATTTTTTTCCTTGCATTTCCAATTTGTTTATATTTTCTTTCATATTCATTTTTTTTTGCATTTCCAATTATTTATTTTTAATAGATCCTACAAGCACAAATGTGGTTCGGTGCCATGGGGCAAGGCAAAAAAAGTTTCATGAGTCACCAATGTTTGGAAGTTGTGAAGAATTGTTCACGATTCAAAATTATTTCCACTGGTCCGCCGGTTGTGTTAAATGAGACACCGTTCCACGATTCGTCAGGAACTTATTCATCATTGGACTCCCCAATGGATCAAGACTCACCACTCCCACGTATGCTGAGACCTATTAGGAGAAAGGCGGCAAAGGCCAAGAGAGGAAGCACTTCAAACAATGAATGTGCACAATGTTGGGAGCAAATAGCTAAGAACAGCGCACTGAGAATTGAGAGAGACTTGAAAAGAGAAGAAGCGGACAAGGCACGACATAAAGCATTTGCAATTCAAAGGCAGCAGGCACAAGAACAAGACATAGAGGACAGAGAGATGAAAATCATGGCCATGGATATGAGCCATATGTCTCTTGAAACAAAGTCCTATTGGAAGCTAAAACGAAGGGATGTGATGAGAAGAAAACTTTCCATGACAACGGACCTAGCAATATGGATTGGTTAAATGATCAAAACCATTAGGTTGTATTGAAAGATTTGCCATATGTTTTAATTTGTTGTATTGTTTCCCTTTTATTCAATAAAGAAAGCATTAAATAATATGACTATTTATTAAAAATATTTGCACATCAAAACAAAGTTTAATTAAAAACAAACCTTAATTTATTGCAAACAACACCCAAAACAAAGCATAATTAAAAAGCACAATTAAAAACAAAGCATAATTCCAAGCACACCACACATAAAATAAAGCATAATTAAAAACAAAGCATGATTCCAAACAAAGCATTTGACTTCATCCACTGTGATTGCCTTTCATCTCCCACAAGTGCTCGATCAACTCAACTTGACGTCTCTCGTGAACATATGAAGATTGCATTTCCTGATAACGATCAATCATAGGATTGTTGTATTGACCATTCTGAATTAACGGTTCATGCTCCATACCATTTGGTCCCATCGGCCTTTCATAAATTCTTGTCAATGCCGTGTTCATGGGAATTCGAACACCCCTGGAGCATCATAATCATACTCATCCTCCATAATCATGTTATGGAGGATGATGCAAGTCATCATAATGCTTCGCAACACCTCCTTATCAAGCATCCGAGCAACACCCCTAATAATTGCTCAACGAGCATGCAAGATACCAAAACACCTTTCCACGTCTTTCCTATAACCTTCTTGAAAGGCAGCAAAGCTTTTTCCCTTCTCAGATTGGGGATTCGAAATTGTTTTCACGAATGTCGTCCACCTAAGATAAATTCCTTCGGTGAGGTAGTATGCACCCGAGTATATGGTATTGTTGATTTGGTACATGATCTATGAGGAATGACCTCGCAATACATCGTTGAACATTGGGGATTGACCAACCACATTGAGGTCATTCTGAGATCCGGCAACTTCGAAGAAGGCATGCCAAACCCCAAGTGTCGAATAAAGCTACGACCTCTAGAATTATACTTTTTTGGGCCCTTTCAATTCCCATAATCTCCTTGCCAAGCCGTTGGGCAATTCTTCCACTGCCAGTGCATGCAATCGATGCTTCCAATCATTCTTGAGAAACCTCGAGCCTCATCTTTTTGTACAAGCCTTCGGAGGTCCCTAGCCATAGGTTTGCGAAGGTACTCCCTCTTGTAGAGATTTTCTATTGCATCACAGAATCTCACCAAGCACTCTAGGATAGTTGATTTTCCCAGCCGCGCAATCTCATCCACCTCTCTACAGATGCCCCATAAGCAAGCATCCGCAAAGCAGCTGTACGTTTTTGCTCTGGAAGAAGACCCAAAATCCCAACAGTATCATACTTCTGAACGAAGTATGTGTCGTAATTACAAATATCATGCATGACTTTTTGGAACAAATGAGGCTGCATTCCATATTTCTCTCAAAAATAAGAAAATAAGAAACATGATATAACGAATGTAGGATAAAGTAATCTTCCAAGAGATTCTTACCCTGGGACTGGCTATGTCTGTCCACATTCGGGCCACAATGATGATAGTGTTGCCTTGATTCATTGAGCATACACACCGCTACAACAATTTCTTCCTCCTCTTCATCGGCCTCACGATCTTCTTCGGCACGTTTGCACCTAATTTCCTCCTCTTCTCATGCTTGCCTCTCCAACACCCTCCTTAGGTTAGACATTGAGAGTAGAATGTGTTTTGTAAAATTTGAGAAATGAAAGAATAAAAAAGATATGGTGTGAGACGTATGAGTTGAGGGTGTAGTTTTGTAGAGGGATTTAGAAGATAGAGATGAAAGGTGGCGCAATTTTAGAGAGTGAAAATCTTATCTGAAATATGAGATTATAATTTTTTAATAAATATATGAAAATCTTATCTGACATGGGACACGTGGCGCAATTTTAGAGGGTAAAAATCTTATCTAAAATCTGAGATTATAATTTTTTATAATAAATATCCGAAAATCTTATCTGAAATAAGACACGTGGCAACCGAGAATCTCATCCGAAAATCTTATCTGAAATTTGATGGACAAGTGGCAACCAAAATTCTTATCCGAAAATTTAATTCGAAAATGTTATCTAAAATTTTAGGTGATAATTTTATAATAAATAGTGACAAGTGGCAACCGAAAATATTATTTGAAAAGCTTATCAAAATTAAAAAAAAAAAAAAAAAAAAGAAAGTAAGTAGTATGCCCTTACTCTTGCCATTTTGGGGTGGAACCCAAAAAAGCAAGGTTGACACTATTCACATGAATAGTGTCAAACCTTGCCTTGCCTTTGCCTTGCCCTTGTCTTTTGGGGTGGAGGTTCTGATTGACGCTAGTAATGAAAACAAATCTAGTGAATAAGAAAACATTAACCTTTCATGAAAAGACAATATAGTCGCAGAAACCCAAGTCTGGGTTCATGAACTTAAAAAAAGAAAAAAAAAAGGGCCTATCCTCAAAAGATCCCTTGAAGGTTTGTGGTCATTCTCAATTTGGGACCTTGAGTTTCAATTTCATCAATTTACACTTCATAGTTTTTGAATTTGACTAATTTAAACGCTTTGTTAAGTTGACCATTTGGCCAGACTTAATAAAGTAACATAAAACAAAATAAAAAAGCTTTTCAAAAACCTAAAAATGGTGCATTCAATTGAGATTTTAACATATTGTAATTACATGATTTTAATGTAATGGATTTCAACCAGATTTGTAATTATATGATTTTAGTTTTGATTTTAATAGATTTCAATTACATGATTTTACTTATGATTTTATTCACTTAGGATTTTACTTATGATTTTAATATATTACAATTACAGGATTTTACTTTATATTCCTATGGGAGCATTTTTGCTCACCACATTAATCAGAAGTATATGGTTACCACCACCCTTAAAAAGGTGATTGCCTCATCCTTCTCAGAATCTCTTATTCTGCAACGCACTAGTACTAGTAACCAACCAACCACACCAATCAAAAATCAAAGATGCAAGCTTTGAGTTTGAAATTGGGAGTAAGACTAAGAGCAAGAAATTTCGTATTTTCTTTTGTTAGATTTTGATTGATTCATAATTAGGTGGTTTATTAGATTTGGAAGATTTTAGTTTTGGGGTTTAGAGGTAGCCAAATCATATGGAGGAAGATGAGATGGATTCGTTGTTTGAAGGAATGGTGTTTTTTATCCCTAAGAATACCAATAATAATCACTCAGCCGTCTTAAGAAAAGTGGTGGTTGTTTTTCTAGGGAAAAAAATGGTGGTTGTTTACTGTACACTGAGGGAGAGATGAGAGTGCGGGAAAGAGGAGAAAGAGGAGCCAGGGGAGGGAAGAGGAAAGAAAGAAAAAAAAGAAAGGAAGAGGGAAATGAGGAAAAAAGGGGAGTGTGCTGTGATGTGGACCCTTTATCGTCTCTCTTATGATTTTTTTTTTAAATAATAAAAAGCATGAAAAAATAGTGGGGAGAAAAAAGTATGAGAGCATATATGAGAATCATGCATAGGAGGATGTGATTTTGTTATGTGATTTGGTATGTTTATCACACACTCAAAAGTCTCACACAATCATAGTCTAAAATATCGATAATATCGACGAAATATCGAGGATATTTCAGTTTTTTCGAATCACAGATATTTCAGAACATATCTATGTAAATATCGTATAAATATCGACAATAATATCGAAAAATATCAATGTCGATAATTTCGCTCACACTTCAGCAATATTTTGTCAAAATATCGGTGTAATATCACTAAAATATCGAAAATATCGATGTAAAGAGAAAAAAAAGGAAAAAAAAGAAAAAAAAAAGGGAGGAAAAAAAAACACAAAGGGATTTGAACCAGCGGCGGATCCAGGAATTTTTCAACGGAGGTGCAATTCTTAAAAGCTAAAAGCTCCACAAAAAAATAAAAAATAAAAAATATGCATCCGACTTACTTTGTATTAGCGTACTCAAGAAGAAAAAAAAACACAGGACTCTTGTGATGCACACACACTTTGAGTGATGTTAAATTGGTTTTTTATAAAGAGAATTTTCAATCCCACTTAAATAAGGAATTTCCAAAACCCAATTGAATATGAGAAGTTTCAATTAAAACCTAGGTAGGAATTATATAAGCCCCTTAGAATAGAAGCCCACGAATACCCAGCAGTTTCCCTTTTTTTTATTTTTTTTTTTTTTTTTTTTTTTATTGAAAACCCATGACCATGAACAAATGGCCCACGAATGGCCAGGTTTGTTTTCTTTAAACCCTTATCCACGAATGGCCCACGAATGGCTAGGTTTTATTTTTTTTAAAGCAGCGCCTGGTCCAAAACAACGTCGTCTTGGCCAGGCAGTTTAAAAAAAAAAAGAGAAGTCGTGCACTGCACACAGAGCACAGCAGCGCAGCAGCACAACAGCCCTTCATTTGCACATTTCATCAAACAATTTCCGTGCATGAGCAGAGGTGCAACTTCAGCAGCTTCTATGGAGTTTTCCGACGACCAGAGGTGCAGGTGCACCTCCTTGCGCCTGCACAGGTCTGCCACTGATTTGAACCCCTCCAATTTTACTCCTTCAACACCTTAACCACCATATATCACTTATGTTTTAGTGATAATATGCTAAAATATTTATATTTATGTAGGTGACATGTTAACAATTACATACAAAACTATTTTGGAGATTTATCATTTGATGAATACTCTTCAAAATACACTTACTCTACACATAGAGTGAGACGACCTGATCCAATTTCCGCTTTGGAATCCGGGTCGAAACCTGTTTAAAACTGACACCTGATAAACGTGGGTCGTAAATGACCAAAATACCCTGAAAACAAAAGCACAACTAAGGGACTCTGATTCGTGGCTGCACCTGATAACTGTAGGCTGCCTACGTACCCTTTTTGAGGGATCAAGCCACACGTAGTTCTTTCCTTTGTTCATGACTTGTAACTGAACTGTTTACAGTAAAACTGCTCTAGGGCTGACCATTCTGGAGTATCCGGGACTCCGCTTTACGATCCGTCAAATACTATACGATCCTGGGAAAGTCTAGATTAACATACTTGGAATTAACTACGATCCAACGGTTCAAACATATTGAACCCGGAAATCGCATAGTAGGCGAGATCCGTTCGGGGTTCAAACGATATCCGAATTAAGATCCGCGAAATCCTACACGCTCGTGAGGACTAGGAGATCATTCTAGGATTGACTGTGGTCCCCACCCTGCTGCCCACGTGCCACCACACCCGCTGGCAGCGCGTAGTGCCTAAAGCGATAACGCCTCGCCGGAAAAACTCAACATCTAGGCTCAAGACTCCTATCCTAGGTATAACACCCCATTTGGAGCCACTTTTGTTCTTGGACCTGCCCTAAAAACTGGCCGGAAGTGGTCAAAACAGTGACCCGAAAATCGGCTGAAACCTAACTCGTAAATCGAGCTATCTACGCTAGAAATTTCTGAAATCCTACACAACCAGCAGCTAGAGCATGAAAAATAGCTAGAAAACCATACCTCACTTGTCCGATTTGGTGGCCGGACGACGGAGAACGAATGCTTGGAAGTTCTGTAAAAAACTGACAAGTATCGCCTGTTTCGTGGTTGTTTCTGACGACTATGGTGGCGGATCGAGGCGGCGAAAGGCTAGGGCTGGAAGAGGGAGGTTTCATGGTTCATTTGGCACTGGTCTTGCCTGAATCGGGGGGCGGAGCTGAGAGAAAACAACTCCCAAAGTTGGCTGGTCGAGGTTGTCTAACTGGAGAAAAATCTGGGTTTATAAAAACTGAAGTTCGAGATATTTACGATTATGCCACTGAACTTCTTTTGATCGTAACTCCTTCGTTACAACTCCGATTGGAGTCCACTACGTGTCTACGAACTCGTTTCATCGCGCTCTACGCAATGGCACAACTGAAATACCCAAATTCCTTCCCAGTCAAAAAGTCAACTTTTAAACCTAATAAAATATTCTAGGGGTATAAGTGTCTTTTACCAGAATATATTAATAATTAAATATTAATTAAGGACCGAGTTGTTACAATCTACCCCCCTTACAAAAATTCGTCCTCGAAATTTTACTTACCCTTCACTGGAGGGGTGAGGGTACTGGGCATACGACTGCTACTTTGGTTCTCAAGTCTGCTCTTCTAGTACTACACTCACCACTTGCATCTCAATAACTGTATCTATAGGGCAATCAATAAAATTTGAAGGCCACACATTTATATATGAAAACTTGAGTTGGCTTAAGAAAATGAAAAGATCTGATAACTAACGAATTTCTGATAAATTTAAAACTCTACTGCCATGAATATGATATTTAGCTAAAATCCCTGTTTCCCTTTGAGTGTCTGACACCTGGCTAATGCTGGGCACAAAAGACTAATTTGCCCTTTTTAACTGAAATTAACTAAAATTCTAGTGTGACTTCTACCGAAAATTCGGCAGTCTCCCCTGCAAACTGAACATTTCCCAAAAATATTCTGCCTGTAAAACAAGTATATATGTTTAAATATATATCTGTAACACAACTACCAGCATGCATGAAATCATATCCAAGCAATCAAGCATCATAATATTTTGGCCTCAAGCCACAACGTTCAAATAAATCAATCTGCTAATGAAATTCATGTCAACTTTCAGATTAATAAAATATTCTGGCAATCTCAAACCTTCTGACTCGTGCATTCTTACTTATGCACGACTTATCAAATAGTAATTATACTGAAAAACATTGAATGTATAATTCATCATGTTCTGTAATCCTGATTGGACTCAGGAGACATCTGGTCAACCTGATCCGCAATTCTGGCTCCCACTGTCCAGATAACTGTAAAACTCGTGGGGAAACATATGCTAGAAATACGGGAACTGTTTAATATCATATCCAATAATAACAATTAAAGTCATAGATAAATTAAAGCAAACTGGATTAAGATAAAATAGGCAAGCTCTGAATATCTTTATATTGACCTCACTTAAGATTTATAAATAAACATATATGTGTGTATATATATATATATCCATATAGTACTTGTAAAACAATTGTGATACTGAAGAAAATAGTGGTAACTGTATAAAATCCTTAATTTAGTTTAAAAGCATCTCAAAACGGAAATTCTCTCCACCTAGGCGTACCCACATATCTGATCCGTCAATTCCTGATAACCGTCAATTCCTAATAACCGTCAATTCCCGATAACCGTCAATTCCCCTAGTAGGTCTCGGTGACACAAAGTCAACTCGAGCCGCAACCTGGCAGGATTCAGCCTGATCCGCAACTGGCAGGTCTCGGAGACAACCTCTCAATCCGAGCCGCAAATTGGCACCACACGGTCAGGCGTCCCCGAACTCGTGGGGCAAAATAACTAACTGTACACTGGCACCACACGGTTCAGGCGTCCCCGAACTCGTGGGGCAAAATAACTGACTGTCTCAAGGCAACTGGGGGGTACTCTGTGGTGGATTTGAAAATCATACTCTGTTATATACATAAACTTTCAATAAACTGATTCTCAACTAAACTTATTCAATAAACTGGTTCTCATCTGAACTTAAAATATATCTATATATATATATAATATATATATACCAAAATCTGATAAAAATCAAAAGTTATAATTCTTCCTTCTCAACCACTGAATATATGTATCAAATACTTAGCTAGCTGGTTAGCCATATCGGCCCCTGATTAACATATCAATCCAAAATCATATTTATAATCTTACAACACCATTAACCAAATGAACAAATATAAACATGTAATAATATGTTTTCATATAAAAACCTCAACGAATTTTTCAAACCATTCTGGATGTCTGTTTACTCAACCACACCAATAAAGTAAAATAACATAAGACATGTCCAGCAATTTTTAAATAAGGATGCACAAGTGATGCAATGTCTACAGGAAGTTAACCTAATGCTCTGATACCAATTGAGACGACCTGACCCAATTTCCACTTTGGAATCCGGGTCGAAACCTGTTTAAAACTAACACCTGGTAAACGTGGGTTGTAAATGACCAAAATGCCCTGAAAACAAAAGCACAACTGAGGGACTTTGATTCGTGGCTGCACCTGATAACTGTAGGTTGCCTACGTACTCTTTCTGAGAGATCAAGCCACACGTAGTTCTTTCCTCTGTTCCTGACCTGTAACTGAATCGTTTACAGTAAAACTGCTCTAGGGCTGACCATTCTGGAGTATCCGGGACTCCGTTTTACGATATGTCAAATACTATATGATCCTGGGAAAGTCTAGATTAACATACTTGGAATTAACTACGATCCAACGGTTCAAACGTATTGAACCCGGAAATCGCATAGTAGGCGAGATCCGTTCGGGGTTCAAATGATATCCTTATTAAGATCCGCAAAATCCTACGCTCTCATGAGGACTAGGAGATCATTCTAGGAGTGACTGTGGTCCCCACCCTGCTGCCCACGTGCCGCTACACTCGCTGGCAGCGCGTGGTGCCTAAAGCGATAACGCCTCGCCGGAAAAACTCAACATCTAGGCTCAAGACTCCTATCCTAGGTATAACACCCCATTTGGAGCCACTTTTGTTCTTGGACCTGCCCCAAAAACTGGCCGGAAGTGGTACCAAAACAGTGACCCGAAAATCGGCTGAAACCTAACTCGTAAATCGAGCTATCTACGCTAGAAATTTCTGAAATCCTACCCAACCAGCAGCTAGAGCATGAGAAATAGCTAGAAAACCATACCTCACTCGTCCGATTTGGTGGCCGGACGACGGAGAACGAACGCTTGGAAGTTCTGTAAAAAACTGACTAGCACCGCCTGTTTCGTGGCTGTTTCCAGCGACTATGGCGGCGGATCAAGGCGGCGAAAGGCTGGGGCTGGAAGAGGGAGGTTTCGTGGTTCATTTGGCACTGGTCTTGCCTGAATCGGGGGTCGGAGCTGAGAGAAAACAGCTCCCAAAGTTGGCTGGTCGAGGCTGTCTAAGAGCACTTCCACCAGTTAGCCCCTTGCCATGGCAAGGGGAGCCCTAGGGCAGCTACTATTCACGTGAATAGTGGCTGCCCTAGCCCCCCAGCAAAGTGTGTTTCCAGCAGTTTTAGGCTTGCCATGGCAAATACTATTCATTTTTTTTGTTTTTTTTCACAACTTTGTTTACTTAAACATTTGATTTGGATAATATTTTCGGATAAGATTTTTGGGTTCTTACGTGTCAATACTATTCATATCGGAAAAGATTTTCAGATAAGATTTTATTTTATTAGTTGTATTGGTTGGTATTTATAGGAAAAAAAAAGTATGAGGATTTGGTGTTAAAAGTGTTAAAAGCGGAGGTGTAATATTGACTAAGTATGAAAAATGGTTTTTTGGAATAATCATTTTCTCAAGATAATTTTTGGCGGCTTTTATTCCTTACACATCAAATAAGAAAATTTGATTTTATGAGATTTTAATATGAAGTATATTGACTTAATGAGCCATCATTTTTAGCCTAAATCGTATTTTGCACTAAAACCGATTTTTCATATTTTGATTTGGTGGGAATTTGATTTTCTAGTATTTTTATTTGAATCCAAATGGGGGGTACTTCCTTATTTACATTGTAAACTTAAGTAAATGGAGTAATATAAAAATAAATAAAAGTAAAAGGACAAAGACATTTACTTAAATGTTGAAAATGGAAATAAGGTATAGAGAGAAAGAAAAAAAAAGAAGGTAATTTTTTGGTATTTTTTTCAATTTTTTCAGATTTTTTTTAAATTTTTTATTACAAAAATATTGGTTGTCGTTGGATTGGAGCAAAAATTATGATCGGAGAGCCCAGGACATGACACATGGCACATAATTGTTGGCGACACTGTAGCGCTGATGTCACGATGACGTCAGCACGGGCTAGCCCTGGCTGGAGCTCGGGCCAACCCTGCCCTCGGGCCAGCCAGTTTTGCTGGGTCCCACCATCTTGCCCGGGCCTGCCTCCACTGCTGGAAACGAGTTTTTACCCCAAACCCCCCCCAGCCCTCCCCCTAGGCCCCTTGCTGGAAATGCTCTAACTGCAGAAAAATCTGGGTTTATAAAAACTGAAGTTCGAGATATTTACGGTTATGCCACTAAACTTCTTTTGATCGTAACTCCTTCGTTACAACTCTGATTTGAGTCCACTACGTGTCTACGAACTCGTTTCGTCGCGCTCTACACAACGGTACAACTGAAATCCCCCAAATTCCTTCCCGGTCAAAAAGTCAACTTTTAAACCTAATAAAATATTCTAAGGGTATAAGTGTCTTTTACCAGAATAAATTAATAATTAAATATTAATTAAGGACCGGGTTATTACATAGAGATGATGAAGATAGTGAAAAATTTGAACCTCATAGGAACTCTATGTGGTACTAAGTCACTCATATATCTTATCATATAATGTGTAAAGTGTAAAATATTGTAGTAAATCATTATATATAAATGATTATGGTGTGTTTAATCTTTTTTTCATTAATTATTACATATTTTCTACACTCACAGTGTTTGCCAGATCTCTGTATAATCAACTTAAATCAGTTAAATCCATCATGTAATGCATTTCCTTCTAATTTTTTTTAATAAACTAATAGATAATTGACTAAATAAACATTCTCCAAAGTTTCAATAAAAATTTCCAAGTTTTTCTTACAATTTCCGTTGTTTTTATTCAATTTTTATCGATATCGATAATATCCCGATATTTCCATAGAAATTTCCATGTTTTTGGACTACTGATATTTTCGATATCATTGATATTTTAGACCATGCACACAATACACCATTTAATGAAATACATTGAAATCAGTAAGTTTTTGAGTACCACAATAGTTTTTCTTATCTTTTAAAAGTCCTTATTGAATACTATTGGACTTGTATTGATTATTTAAAAATCCTAATTGAATACCATGTGACTTTTATTGATTACTTAAAAGTCCTAATTGAATACACCCCCTTAAGAGTTACAGACCCCATCCCAGCCCCTTCGTTGGCTTCCATCCTCTACCCTTCCCAACCTAAAATTATGAATCTACCCCTTCGACAACTCCAATGTCTCCAGCCTCATCTCCACCTCCATCTGCTATGCCCTTGATTGCCCCTACAACTACGCCTGCAACTACCTCGCCAACCTCGTCCCCTTCTTCGTACGACACGTCATTTATCTCGACTCCGACCTCATCCTCGTGGACGACATTGCCAAGCTCGCCGCCACCTCCCTTTGCTCGGTCATCGACCTCCACCACTAGAGAGGCGGTGAGTACACCACTGAGATCGAGGAGTGGATGGAGGTGCAGAAGCTGATAAGAATCTACGAGCTCACCTTGCTGTTGCTGATTCTGATAGTGTTCGTTGGAAACATCGAGGAGTGGATGGTCTGGAGTGAGGTGGATCATCATGGGTGGGGTGTAGGTTTTTTTAAAAGATTTTTTAATTTTATTTTAGGATTTCTTAGATCTAGGTCTAAAACAATTGGCTGCCATTGGGTTTAGTCCACGTGTTTTTGTTTTAAATGTAGGTCCTTTGACTTTTCTTACTCTTTTTATTATGTCGATTTTACCCTTTGAGGTAAATAAGGAAAACATTGAAAATTTAAATTTAATAAATTATTTACTTGTAATTAAATTCCAGAATTTAAATTTGGAATTCTTTCATTGATAATATTTACCTAATATATGGGTAAAATAGAAATTAATCAGTGAAAGTAAAGGCCCACATATTATACTAATCAATTAGGCAAGCACCCACATTAAATTATGTACCTAACATGCAAGTAAATAGTGTTCTTATTAGCAACAAAAAAACCTTAGTGATAAATCGTGTTACCTATAAGTCATGAACATAAATTAGAATACTACCTATAAGTTATGAACATAAATTAGAATACTACCTATCAGTCATATACAAAAATAGACAAATAAAATTGTATGTTACCTATAAAAAAATGTACATAAAATACTATTATTCATTGTCTAAAATATGAAAAAAAAACACATATATACAATATGACAATATACCTACACCATAGGATAATTTATCTACAAGAGTATATACTATACCTCTACCATAGGGTGAACAAAAATAAAATAATTACCTACAACTTTTCGAAGAAAATGAAAGGGGAAAGGAATCTTGTAATTAATATGGAATGCCATGATCTTGGGTCACATTCAAAATCATCAGCATGAGGAGGCTTTAGAATTATATGTGGCAATGTACTGATTGTCAATTGATCGTACAAGATCAACATTCTCTACCATAAGATATATCTAAATGAAGAAAAGAAGAGGATGGAGAACGAAGAAGAAATGGAGAAAGAAGAAGATAGAGATGAAGATCAAGAAATAAAAACGTGCATCTTGTTAATAAGCTAAATTCACGGAGAAATTGTATCTCCAAAAGAATAAATAATCCTAAAAGTATGTGCAATAATAAAATCCACGTTAAATAGGAATTTGAGTCAAGGAAAATAATAATAATGAAGGTTCAAAATTTACATTCAAAATGTAATTATTCCTTGAATTGTACATGATCAAATCTAATCATTAATGGCATGTGCTTTGAATTTTGAGGACATTTTTGTCATTTCCGTCACTTTCCAATCTCACTACACCCATCTTCTTCATACCCAGCCACCACTCCCCTTTTGGAAGACCCCACCCTCCCTTCTTCATCGTCCCTGCATTTTCTCACCATTCCCACCCTCCCTACAATTTCTCACCACACCCATCCCTACCACCCCTAACCCCATCTTTATGTTTTGGTTCTAGCCCCACCCTCCTGCAATATGGGTTTCTCTCTTTTTTTCTTCTTTTAAAACAACAGACTTAATTCAGCCCCAATTTAGTAACTCCCAGTATATCATCCAGCACCAATGGACTAAGGAAGAAAAAAATTGTCTGCCAATTTTCTTCTTCCTTTTTCAACCAGTATTGGCATAATGAATAACATATTCACAATAGAAAGAAGAAATTCATCTCTAGTTTCAAAAACCAAAATTAATTGGCCATATTGTTGAATTGGAGATGTATTGCATTGACAAAATCAACTTGAACGAATAAACTGTTGGTCAGAGGCTGTGAGGATTTACAAATTTTGGGTTTGAGGGGGGAAAAAGTTTGGCTGGGTTGGAGGATAGGGGAAACAGTCAGGCTTCCTACAAGAGCTTCACGCTCTTTGGGGCATTTAACAGAACATTTGGTGGCTACTCCAAAGTCGCTCACCGACCTTCCAAGAGGTTAAGATTAAAGTTTTCTTGGAGGATTTCAGAGGACCCCATTTGTCCCTTAATACAACTGCTCACTGGACCCGACCCAAATTCCACTTTGGAATTTGCGTAAAATCCTGTGCGTTTCCAACACCTGGCAGGTGCCGAGCACACTTGACCAAATTGTCCTTCTAAAGTAATCCAAAGCTTCTTTAGGTTTTGACTTCTGTCCAAATTTCGGCAGAGTCTCCCTTGTAAATTGCTCGTTTCCCAAACTTTTTTACTTGCAAAGCAATTTAAATATCCACAACCGTTCAGCATGCACAATGATATAATTGATGCAACCAAACATCAAATTTTTATGGCATCAGGCCTCTTTATACCAAATAAATTGTTCTGCCATCTGAAACTGATATCAACTTTTAGAACAACATGAATATGTTATGAAATTTCAAAATAACTTAACTGAACAACTTTTCAATCACTTTATCTTGCAACTGCACCTAGTAAGTCTAGGTTGCCTACGTACCCTTACTAAGGGATCAAGTCATACGTAGTTCTTCCTATTTGTTTTGTTGACAAGTTACATATTCAACTTTTATGTTTACCTCCTGTTTTGCAAAATCAAATGTGAAAAGAAATTGAAAAAGAAAAGAAAATAATGAGAGGAGAATAACTTTTAAATTGGAAAAGAAACACAAGGAGAACAAAATGGGTATATAAAATCAAGTAACGACATGGTAAAATAAAACTTCACTTAAGAAAATAATCGTGAATTATACAAAATCCTTAAAAATTAGAAAACTCTTAATCCTTGTCTCTTAGGGTGGGAAAACATATATTAAAACCTTTGCCCATAAATACCAAGATAAAATCCTCATAAAATTTCCTGTGGTGGGTTTGAAAACCATATTCCAAAATTTATCATAAAATTTCCCATATTCCACAAATCCATATTTCAAATCTTTTTCTCAACTTTCAGAAAATCAGTTCTCAACTACCTTTGAATTTACACCACATACTATTGAGAACTAGTGTCCATAATTCATCATTCTCAAACCACTAAGTATATATATTAAATATATATGTGTAGTTAGATATGTATTTAGTTATTTAACTAATTTATTATTCACATCGAAATCCAATTAACAAGCCATTCCCAACTCATCACAACAAACACAATATAATATCCTTAGAAAAAAGCGATTACATAATATCTCATAAACATTTGAATAATCCAATATCACCCAGACATATACTTTAATAATTCTCATAATAATAATAAATAAATAAATAACAAGATAAACTTCGAGTATCAGAAAAACACCCAAGAATATCATAAAACACTAACATAAACCCCAAACCAACATAATCAAAATATGTGACAAACAGTCAAGCCTCGTTTACATGGTTGTTCTAGCACTTCTCAAAGGGTGAAACTACATCGAAAGACTTATGGTCAACCGAGGGTCAAACTTCCTACATTGGGTCAATCGAGCTCACAGGGCCCATAACCTCTCGATTCCGATCCGAGAGTTCCTACGAGTTCAATAAGGTTTACTATACCTGTACTGTAAGTTTGGTCCGAATCGAACGATCGGATCGCTCACGATCGGACGGTTATTAATTATCTAAACTTCTAATTATTGAATCGGAGTATCCGAGACTCCGATTATTGATCCGTGAATTCCTATATGATCCTGAAAGTGCCTAGATCAATATATTTTAAATTGGAGTCGATCCAACGGTCTGAACATATCGAACCCGGATAACGCCTAATATGCGATATTCGATCAACGATCAAATGATAACCAAATTGAACTCCGTGCATACCGTCATGTTTGAGACGACATGAGGATCATTTTAGGACCAAGAGGGACACCCAAAGAGTGCCCACGCGCCGCCACATGTATTGGCAGCGCATGGGTGTCCATAGGGATTCCGACGATCGCAAAATCTCCAAACCGTAGGTCAAGACCCACATGATCAGGACATTGAGTGGAGCAACTTTTGTTCTTGGGGACCAAAAAGTGGCCGGAAATGGATGAAAAACGGCCGGAACCGTAGGCCCAAAATGGGTGTTTAAATCAATCGCCAAAACTCCAAAATTAACCCAAACTAATTACATAAGCAGATAGTGTAATAACCCAATCTTAAATTAATATTTAATTAATAAAATATTCAAATAAAAGACAATTTTACCCCGAGATTATTTTAATGGTTTAAAAGTTGACTTTTTGTTTGGGAAATACTTTGGGAATTTCTGTTGTACCGTTACGTAGGGCACATTGAGATGAGTTCGTAGACACATAGTGGGCTCAAATCGGAATTGTAACGAAGAAGTTACAATCAAAAGAAGTCCAGTGGCCCAACCATAATTTTTACAAAGTCAGATTTTTTTATTTATTTAAAAAAGCTGGCAGCTCTCTCTCTCTCTCTCTCTCTCTCTCTCTCTCTCTCTCTCTCTCTCTCTCTCTCTCCTCAAACCAGAAAATCCAGTTTTTGTTTCTTGCCGCAGCCGCCACCTCCCGGCCAATTTTCGACGCTGTTCGACGTTGGTTGGTGGCGCTTCCTTCACAAAAGTTGCTCTCCTCCTCCTCCTTCTCTACAAAAATCATGTGATATCTACCCTTGAAAGCCTAAGAATTTTCCAGATTTTGGATGTGAAAATTGATGAAAAATCTGCCAGATTTTTGTCAAAACTTTCCGGAGTTTGTTTGTGAGATTCCGGCCACCAAATTGTGCGATCCAGGTATGCTTTCTCATCCTCTTAAGGTATTCTAGCTGCTGGTTGGTTAATTTAGGAGAAATTTGTTGTTAACAATTGTGGTTTTTTATTTTTTGTAAAACTTTTGTAATTAAAAAATGTATTTTCCTTTTCTATAAAATTCCTATACAAAACTTTTAGATACAAATAATATATAAAATAAAGCTTAAGCAGTAAAGTAAAATAAAGAGACAAATAAATAAATAAATATAATAAGTTAAGATTAAGAAAGCAAGCTTGGTATTGTGAAAGCACGTCAAAGACGCTGTCCTAAAGCCTTTGTAGCCTCCCTACGTGCAGGTAATGACAGTCTACAAGACTCTAAGATACAACCCCAATACGCAGGCTTAAGGTCCGCTATGAGCACGTTCATAGTCAGATAGAAATCTCCACGCCACAGAACTGTTGCCCAAAAATAATATAGAAAGTATGGAATATATGAAAGTATGAGAATAGAGAAATCTGATTGTAGTATGTTGAAATGTGAAGGAGGGTGGCCTTTTATAGGCATCCAATACACGTAACCTCCAGACACATTTAGCCAGAAAAGTTGGTGGCAATGAATAGAAAATAAAAACTGACAATTAAACAATTTGTAACTCCCATAATAAATAAAAGAAAACAGCCAAAAATTAAAACAAAAAGAATAAAACGTTAAAATTTAAAATCCTTTCAAATAATAACAATCCCCCACAAAGGGTTTTAAAATTTTAAAATAGTAAAAGATAAAGAAAATAAACATATCCCACACATAGTATTGGTTGAGACTTGGAAGCGAGGTAGCGCTATTTATGGCCATGGGCTAATCTTGATTCTCATGAGAGTTGCTAGAGAATAGCACAATTCTCATAATCGCGGCCTCACGACTTCTATCACTTGGGTGAGTTCTCTAAGAGTACATGTGACCTACACCCTGTGGGAAATTGCCCGCCTCGAAACTCATTCAGGGATAACTCCCTTCCTAACGTCACATTATATAACACTGATGTCATAGGGATGAGCATGAGGACATCTCCACGATGCCTCCACATGATATAAATAGTGCTAAATGAGTCACGCAGTACGGATTGTTTCTACCTATTGAACTTTCTTCATGGGATCGCCAATCACAGAAGTTGGGTTACCTCCCTAGGTGACTCCCTTATGGGCTTAAGCCCATCCCCCTCGACATTTCTAGGACTCTGCTCCTAGAATTGGTCAGCAATGTTGTTCTCCGACTTCACATACTCAAAAGACACAATGTTCTTACTTAATAGGCTATTCACAGATTTGTATCTCACATGTATGTGTTTGTTCATTTTTCCTATTTGTATGAGATTGTTTCACCAAGTCTATTGTAGCCTTGCAGTCACAATGAATAAATAAAGCAGGCAAGGTTTCTCCACCAGAGGAATATCCATCAATAAACTCTTAATCCATTCAGCCTCAATGCAAGTAGTATCCAAAGCTATGAGTTCAGACTCCGTAGTACTTCTAGAAATAATTGTTTGCTTCTTCGAACCCTATGAAATTTCAGCTCCACCCAATAAGAAAATGTAACCACTAGTAGACTTCACTTCTTCATTGTCTGTTATCCAATTTGCATCACTATATCCCTCAACTACATTTGGAAATCCTTTATAGCACAGTGAATAATCCATTGTTCCTCTTAGGTACTTGAAAACTCTTTCCAAAGCATTCCAATGTTCCTTGCTTGGGTTATGTGTATACTTACTTAATCTTCCAACAACATAAGCAATGTTTGACCTAGTCTTATTTGCAATGTGCAACAAAGAACCTATCATCTGGGAGTACTTCAGTTGAGAAAACGGTTCACCTTGATTTTTCTTTAAATGAACGTTGGGATCATAAGGTGTTGGTGTTGGTGTGGGCTTACACTCAAAGTAATTGAACTTCTTCAACATCTTCTCAATAGTACTAGATTGACTTAGAGAAATTCCTTGTGTTGTCTTCTCAATTTTCATTCCTAAGATTACATGTGCTTATCCCATATCTTTCATGTCAAAATTCCTACATAAATATGACTTCACATCATTCACAATCTCTAAATTCGTCCCAAAGATCAAAATGTCATCAACATATAGGCACAAGATTACATGTTCTCCATTATTCTCTTTGTAATAAACGCATTTATCATGGCCATTAAACTTAAAATCATAATCTAGAATCATCTTGTCAAATTTCTCATGCCATTGCTTAGGAGCTTGCTTTAGGCCATATAAAGATTTAACCAACTTGCACACCCTGTGTTCTTGGCCCTTAACTATGAATCCTTCTGGTTGCTCCATATAGATCTCTTCATCTAAGTTTCCATTTAAAAATGTCATCTTCACATCCATTTGATGAATCACTAAATTATGCACAGATGCTAAAGCTATCAAAGTCCTTATGGTGGTAATCCTAGAAACAGGTGAGGTCGTATCAAAATAATCTATCCCTTTTCTTTATGTGTAAAACCCTTAGTTACCAATCTCGCTTTGTACTTATCAATACTTCCATTAGGTTTCAACTTTTTCCTAAACACCCATTTGCACCCTATTGCTTTATTTCCAGTAAGCAAATTCGTTAACATCCATATATTATTTTGGATTATAGATTGAAACTCATCCTTTATAGCCTCTTTCCAGAATGGTGCATCCAAAAATATAACAGCTTTATATGTTGTGGGATCTCCTTCCACTAGAAAAGTATAGAAATTATCTCCAAAATTTTTCTCAACTCTTGCTCTTTTGCTTCTAAGTTCTTGAGATTCTAAATTTTCGATCGTAGTTGAGCTAGAAGGCTTCTCACTTGTTTGTACTTCCTTAGAAATTCTTGTCTTGTACGGGAAAATATCTTCAAAGAATGTAGCATCTCTTGCTTCCATAACTGTGTTGTTTGCAACCTCCTTTACTTCATAGTTAATCACCAAAGACCTATTAGCACTGCTATTTTTGGCATAACTGAGGAAAACTGCGTCTATAGTTTTATGACCTATTTTCTTTCTCTTAGGATCGGGTATGAGTACCTTAGCTAAACACCCCCACACTTTTAGGATTCTAAGGTTAGGTGATCTTCCTTTCCATAACTCATAAGGAGTTTTCTCATTATCCTTCAATGTTATCCCATTAAGTATGAAACAAGCAGTTAACATTGCTTCCCCCCACAAATTCTCAGGTAGTCCACTACTAAGAAGCATAGAATTTACCATATCCATCAGGGTTCTATTTTTCCTTTCAGCCACTCCATTAGATTGGGGTGAATATGGTGGAGTAACTTTATGTATAATTCCATGTTCTTCACAAAACACTCCAAGCTCATTTGAGGTATACTCTCCACCTCTGTCAGATCTAAATCTTTTAATATTTTTCTCCAATTGGTTTTCTACATCACTTTTATAAATCTTGAGTTTATCAAACACCTCATCTTTTGTCTTAATAAGATAAATATGGCAATAGCTAGAGAAGTCATCAATAAAAGTCACAATGTACTTGTTTCCACCTCTAGTAGGAGACCTATTTGAATCACACACGTCACTATGTATGAGCTCTAAGATTTGGGTGTTTCTCTCTACAGGTTTGAAAGAATTCCTAGTTTGTTTAGCTTGAACACACACTTCACATTTGTGCTTAAGGTCTACGTTAGACTTAGGGATTAGCTTAAGATCCATTAACCTTTTGATTTTGCTCAAACTTACATGTCCTAACCTTCCATGTCATACATTACAAGACTCAACATTAAAAACTTGAGGAGAAATTTTATTATCTTCAGAAACTACATTTATTTTAAATAATCCATCATAAACATATCCTTTTCCAATACAGACATTGTTTCTAGTAATAACAATCCTATTAGACTTCATTACAATTTTGTTTCATTGTTTTACTAAGGACGATCCACTGATAAGGTTCCTTCTCACGTCAGGAACATGTCGCACATCCTTGAGAGTTAGAGCCTTCCCAGATGTCATCTTCAATTCCACTTCTCCTATTCCATGTACTTGTGTGACGGTGTCATTTCCTAGGGTTACACTTCCTCCACTTGAGTTATGGTAATTTTTGAAAAATCATTTGTCAAAACACACATGTACGTTTGCCTCAGAATCTAACCACCAATCACTATTACTTAAATATCCGACATTAACTAGAGGCTTAAAACTATACCTTAGATTGGGTTCATCTTGATCATCTTGATCCACCAACACATTCACTTGGGCTTTAGGACCTCTTTGTCCTTTGTTCCACTTATGCTTGGGCTTGTAGGGCTCGGTTTTCTTGTAATGACAGTCCTTGGCCGAATGATTTGTTCTTCAACAAACGAAGCATGGTTTATCCCTATTGCCATTGGAATTGTTATGGGGTCTATTGTGCTAGCGATTTTGGTTTCGGTTGAAATGATTATTGTAACAACCCGATCCTAAATTAGTTTTTAATTATTAATTTATTATGGGAAAAGACTATTTTACCCCTGTAATATTTTATTAGTTTCAAAGTTGACTTTTTAATTGGGAAGGAAGTTGGGAATTTCATTTGTACTGTTGCATAGAGCACGTCAATAGGAGTACGTAGACACGTAGTGGGCTCGAATTGGAGTTATAACGAAGATAATACGATCAAAATACAATGAGGGGCAAAATCGTTATTCGTAAAAGTCAGAATTTTACCTCCTCGCAATAACCCCCCTTCCCTAAGACATCTTTCTCCAACCGAAACCACCCTTCCCCATATACCACCGCCATCTATGCCGGCCAGCCCTATACCGGACCGCCATCCCTATATCGGACCGCCATCCCCTCCTCGTCATTTCCTGACCATCTCCGTCGCCAGCCTCTGTTGGAATTTGTCGGAAACAACTCGAATTCACACTGGTTTGACAAAAAATTCACCAGCGCTGTTCTCTCTCCTCCGGCCACCATTTCCAATGATCAAGGTATGGATTTCCACCTATTTTTCATGCTCTAGCTGATGGTTGGGTAGGATTTGAGAAATTTCTAGCCTAGGTGAGTTGATTTTGGATCCAAAGTTTGGCTAGTTTTGGGATCGCGATTTCGGCCATTTCCGCTCATTTTTCAGGGTAGGTCAAAGAACAAAAGTTACTCTGAATGAGGTTTTACACCTAGTGTTGGAATCTTGGCCTGCTGTTTGGAGTATTTCCGGCCGCTGGAATCTGATCTGCACACCCACGCACAGCCAGCGCGTAGGCAATGTGTTGGGGGCTACATTCTGTTCTAAAATGATCCTTGTGATCTCACGAACGCGTAGGTACTTTCAGATTTTAATTTGGTTAACGTTTGAACTCGAACTGATCTCGCCTATTGTGCGATTTTCGGGTTCAATACGTTCGAACAATTGGATCGTAGTCAATTTCATATATGATGATCTAGACAATCCCATAATCGTGTAGGGTTTGACGGATCGTGAATCAGAGTCCCGGACACTCCGAAGCTGCGAACCCTAGGGCAAGATTAATTGTAGTCATCCGATCATGCGATCGTGATCAAACCGACTGTTCGATTTGGACCAAACTTGCAGGGTAGGTTCAGAAGAGTGCGTTGAACTTATAAGGACTTCCGAAACTGTGATCAGAGGTTGTGGGCCCCGCGGGCCCAGTTGACCAGAGCTTCCCTACGTCTAGAAAGATGTATGAAGGTTAAGGAGGTGATTTGGGATGAGTTTGGGTGAGTGGTGATGGCTAAGAAAGAGGAAATTCATAGGGAAAGGGAAGAAAGACTTGTTGGGATAGTTTTGGTGATTTGAGGCTGTGTAGAGCTTTAGGTTGATTGCTGGAGTGTTTGGCAGATCTATGGAGCTTGATTCCTTCTCAACTTGAATTTAGCGCTTTGGGTTCCCTTGTTAAACTTGGAGAGGCAATACGTTGGAAAAGAAAACCGAATTTTATTCACTACCAAAAAGTTGAAAAGCAAACCAAGAGTGAGCTTGAATGCTAGATGACTAAATAAAAAATAAAAAAACTACCTCATGAACTATCATAATAGGATAGTTCACACAAATAAAAAAAAAAAAAAAAAAAAAAAAAAAAAAAAATCAAAATCTGAATGATCTAACTCTGATCTAGCTAATGATAGCACGATGATGAAGTCATTGGTAGTACTTCTTCAAATGATTGGAATTCCAAGGATGAGGCAAATTTGCTCCCTTGAGATCCCTTAGTCATTAGGTGCCAGGGCGTACAACGTCAATGACACGGTAAAGCCCTTCCTAGGTTGGTCCCGAGCTTCTATTTGGAGGTTTACGAGTAGCAAGCACGACCTTGTGGAGTACTAGGTCACCAACCTAGAAAGCTCGATGTCAGACACGAGAGTTGTAGTAGCGAGCTACACATTGCTGCTATGAGGCATTATGTAGCCAAGCCTGATCACGTCATTCATCTACTAAGCCCATGTTAAGATTCATATGGTCATCATTTGCTTTAGCTTGGAATACTTCTGCTCTATGTGTAGCCATCCCAATCTCAACAGGCACTACAGCTTCGACTTCGAAAGCAAGGGCATACGGCTCTCCCATGGTTGTTCAATGTGAAGTTCTATATGCCCAAATGACTTGGGGTGATAGTTCAGCCATGTTCCCTTAGCCTTGTCTAGTGTTGTTTTCAGGTTCTTGATCAACTTATTGATTGCTTCGACTTCACCATTAGCTTGAGGATGAGTTGGAAACGCAAAGATGCTTGATGTTGAGCTCGACACACAACTCATGAAACTTGGCATTATCAAATTGCTTACCATTATCAGTAACTATGGAGTGTGGAACACCAAATCTGCTTATGTTGTTCTTCCAAAGGAAAGCAATGCAATTCTTCTTGGTTATTGTAGCTAAAGCTTCGACTGTAGTCCACTTTGTGAAATAGTCCATCGTGACAATTATGAACTTGGTCTAACCTTTTCCCTTCGGCATAGGGCCAATTAGGTCAATTACGCATTGAGCAAAGGGCCAAGGACTACTGGTTGTAGTCAAATTTTCTAGTGGTTGATGAAGAACCACCACGTATTCTTGGCACTTGAGATAGGTTTGAGCAATATTCTTGGCATCAGCTTGAAGTGTTAGCCAATAATACCCTTGTCTATGAGATTTGTGGGCTAGAGATCGAGCGCCTGAGTGATTTCCACAAATGCCTTCGTGGATTTCATGAAGCATGTAATTAGCTTCATCTGGTGCTAGGCATCGTAGGTATGACAAACAAAAACCTCTTTTATACAACTTGTTGTTGATGATCAAATATCGAGATGACTTATACCTTACACACTGAGCTTCTGCCTTGTCTTCAGGTTCTTCATGAGCTAGATAGTCACGTATTGAAAAGTTATTTTTGTGTGGCTTTGTTAATTATTGATTATCATATGATATACATGGTTGGGAATTGTCTCTTAGTGAATGTGATTGTTGTTGGAAATTTATATATTCTAATATGTGTATTGACAGTGGTCCCTTGAAAGTTTCACCTATACAGACTTTAAGAAGCAAAGTAGTCGCCTAAACTAAAGCAATGAAGTCAAGGGTGAAACAAAAATCATAAAATAAGATTCTTTTGGGAACAATTATAGATTTATACCAAAAGTAGTTGAAAAGGCACATCTTTACATAACTAGGAATCTGTTACTTTGTCAATGAAGTTTTTTTTTGCTTATTTAAAAGCTTTCAATGCATTGGTTTTACATATGAAGGGCCAACACAATATCCTTATACTGAAACATTTGACGAGGTCTCAGATGAATTTTTTTATGTTATTTTTAATCAAGCTTCACACATTACATGCAAAAGTGGACAAGCAGTGGTTAATGACATTGTCGAAACAGTAGAGGTGCCTGTTTATGGACATATTACTAGCAATGAAGATAGACTAGAGGATCTTGTGAATTTTGATAATGAAGAGGGTAGTGATGGTAGGAGGAAAGGAAGAGAATATGAAGATAAAAAAATTTATGATGCTACCATTTATGACAATTTGGAGTTTGATGCAAATATGCAATTCAGTTTTGGGAGAGTGGGAAATACCTATCTATCTAAAGAAGACTCAGATACAAACTCAGAAAAATGATTTAACTCAGCAAATGACTCTTCAGATGAGGATGGTCAAACCAAGAGGAAATATCCATAATTTTATATTTCTGATTTGAATAACCCCAAGTTTGAGATGAGAATGTTATTTAGCAACAAGAAGATCTTGAAGAAAGTTGTTAAGAATTATGCAGTTATGGGCAATTATTCAATAAACCCTACAAACCCACATGTCAATTGGGTGTATATAGCTCACAAGTATTTAAATCGTATTATGGATGAGCTTAAGATTATGGCAAAGAATCTTAAGAACGCACTGAAGAGAGACTTAGGGTATAATGTATCAGATAGTCAATGTTCTAGAGCTAAGAAAAAATCCATAAAAATAATAGAAGGGACTTACATGAAGCAATATTGAGGGCTATGGGAGTGTTGGCCATATTCTTAACAACTAAAATGAGTTATTAAAAATAGAAACTTTAATTCTCGCAAGTGCATGAATCGTTTATAGTATAGCTTATGTAAATACGAAGTCGATCCGACGGAGAATGGTAACTTGGTTCCAAGTTAAATTACTTAGAATGCAGCAAAATAGAAAAATAAGGAAACAAAACTAACTGACAAATGGCAAGGTCTAGGACACAATCCTAGCACCACACGCACTTGAAATGAGGGGTTTTGTTGCTGAAATGAAAACAAGAACATGAAATGAAAGTGCTGGAAACTAAACACTGACAGTAATCAAAAAGTTGTGAAATAATGATTGAGAGGTGTTAGAGCCTTGGAATCCACCACTAGTCTTCCTATCCAAGTTATGAATACATAGAAATTGACTCAAGCTCATCAACAATTGATTATCGCATACAAGCCTATGGTATCTAGGTTAAGATGCATGATTCTCCTAAGGCATGTGATTGTGCATGGTATTTACACAACACGTGATCTCTAATATGCAACCTAAGCATGGTATCTACTTAGAATAAAGTATAGAAGAGTCATTAAGCTCCTTAAGAATATGATAATCAGACAAGTCCTCGAACATGGTATCTGTCCTAGTCAACCTATGGTTATTAACCCCTTGAATGATTCTTAGGCCATTCATATGTTGCTTGTGAAAGGAGAGTAGAATTGGTGAATCTAAACCCCTTCCCAACATGTGCTAGATGCATAAAATCTTAGTTAGCTTCTACAAGAAAACATACATTAAGCATGTAATAAACTGGAGGTTAACAACTTGATAATGAAAGCAAGGAATTCAATTAACTATGAAATCATCCATAACATTGAATATTCATGATTAGGGCTTCATCCTAAGCCCTAACTAAATGGATTAGTTAGACATAACTATGAATACAGAAAATAAGAAATACATAGATAGAATAAAGAGAAGAGAAGAACTAGATGATGGCAGCAAGGTAGTTCCCAGGATAGCTCCAAGCTCTCCTTCCTTTGCAACTAGCTCTCTTTTCTCTTTGTGGTGGAGGATGAAATATGAATGTGTGTATGAGTAATGGATGAAATGAAGGTTTGTGTCTCTTGAATGAGAGTGTAGCTCTCTATTTATAGAGTGCCAAATTCTCCCTTCCTTTTGGCTAGTGAAGCACACCTCTCTTAACTGCTGCCCAACTGCCTTGGCTGCCCAATAAATGCCTTTGGTGGACTATTCTTGGTCTCTTCATGGCAAGCTTGACTTTTGTTCATCTTTCTGAGTTCCCACGCTGATTTGTCTCCCATGTGTGGCTGCTCTTATGTGTTGCACATGACAATAGGGATGTAGCCACATTAAATGTCATGGTAGCCAACTATGACTTTTATGTGAACTTGGTTGAGTCTTTAATGTGCTGAGGGCTCCAGATTTATCCAATTGGAGTGAAATACGTTTTTGGCGCCGTTGCCGAGGAAACCGGTAACGATGGTGCTATAGTTAGATTACTTGGAGTGTTCCTTTTTGTTGTTAGTTTTATTTGTTTCTTTTCATTGGTTTTTCGTTTAGTATTCAGTTTTTCTTTTTAGTTGTTATCTCCATTGAAGACACTAAATTTAGTTTCTTTGTGTGTGCATGCATGTCCAAATCTGACCAGAAGCAAAGTTCACCTAAGCCACTTTCACCAAGAACTGCTGCTGTACGTGCCGGTTTGAGTAGGAATTATAGTTCTTCAAGCACTGAATCTAAGAGTTACGAATCTGAAGGTAAGCCTTGGTTATACTCTTGCCTAATGCTTCAATTCTTACTTGGGATGAGCTTTCTAATAAGTTTTTGCATAAATTTTTTCTGGCTCAAAAGACTAACAAGATTATAAAGGAAATTCTTGGTTTCACACAAAAGGAAGGAGAAGCTTTTCATGAATGTTGGGAGAGGTATAAGGGCATGGTAAGTTCTTGCCCAAACCACAATATAGAGAGTTGGATGCAAATGCAATCTTTCTATGAAGGTTTGCTTGATTCCGAAAGGATGATAGTAGATGCAACTACTGGAGGAGGACTGATGAATAAAACAGCAGATGAGGCTTTTACTCTCTTTGAATCTTTGAGCGCTAACTCTCAACAATAGAGCTACAATAGAGGAAGAGGAGCTCATAAGAAAGCTGTGGTCTATGAGGTAAGTACTAATAATGAGATTGCTGCAAAACTTGATGTTATTTGTTCTTTGCTTCAGCAGGCTGTGACTGGCCCTCTAGGAAACAAAGTGGAAGTTCAAGACCAATCTTTTGCGGAGCACATGCTGGAACAAGCAAATACCCTTCAAGCAAGGAATCCTCATAATGATCTTTATTCAAACACGTACAATCCGGGTTGGAGAAATCATCCTAATTTTAGGTGGAACAACAATCCAAACGTGTAACAATCTAAGGACCTCCCCTAGGATTTCAATTCTAGCAAGCTCCCCAACTAGTGCAAGAGCAAAGGGGTGATCAAATGGGAGAATTGCAAGACATGTTCAAGAAGTTCATGGGGCAGCAGATGCAAACCAATAAGAATCTTCAAAATGTAGTGAACAAACTAGAAGTGCAAGTTGGGTAGATTGCATCCTCCATGAGCAATAGAGCATTCAAAACTTTCCCAAGCCAAATGGAGGTGAATCCAAGGCATCAAGAGCATGCTAAAGCAGTGCACATCTTGAGAAGTGGTAAAAAAAAGTTGATAATAAAGTTGGAGATGCCAATGAAGAGCAAGAAGAGGGAGAAAACATGAAGATCATTTAACCACCACAAGGACAGCCCACAACTTCCAACAAACAATCCCTCAATCCTTCTGGAGAAAGCACAAGCCCTAAGGTATCATCTAATGCTAATCAAGTTCCAATTTCATCTAATGTTTTTAGGCCTATTACATCCTTTCCCAGTAGGTTATCAAAATCAAAAAAAGATCAAGGCTTGGATGAGATAATGGAAACATTCAAGAAGGTGCAAATCAACATCTCATTGCTCAATGCCATTGCTAGGATTCCAAAGTGTGCAAAATTTTTGAAGGATCTATGCACTAATAAGAGGAGATTCAAAGAGCATGAACAGGTTGCATTAAGTGAAGAGGTAAGTGCAGTTTTACAAAGAAAGCTACCTCCAAAGCTAAAGGATCCAGGTTCGTTTTCTATACCTTGCATAGTTAGTGATTTTAAGTTTCAAAAAGCTGTGCTTGATCTTGGTGTATCTATAAACCTTATGCCACATTATATTTATGTGAAACTTAACCTTGGTGAGTTGCAAGCCACATTTGTGAGCATTCAATTGGCAGTTAGAACTATTAGATACCCTAAGGGCATTCTAAAAGATGTTTTGGTGAAAGTGGAAGAGCTAATTTTGCCAGAGATTTATTGGTGTTGGAAATGGAAGAAGCACCAATTCATGACCATTAGTTACCACTCATTCTAGGTCGACCATTCATGGCAATTGTCGGTGCTATTATTGATGTGAAGAATGGTACATTGACCATGAATGTGTTTGATGAGACAATAGCATTCAAAGTGTTTGAAGCCTCCAAGTTTCCAAGTGATGAGCATGAAGTTTTCCATCTTGATGCAATTGATACTATGGTGAAAGAAGCACTGCCAATGAGTTATTTGGAGTCCATTGAAGCATGCATCACACAAAGCATAAGGAAAGAAGAAGTGGACAGCTTAGAGGTTGTGATCGCTCCTTTACTTCTTGAGCTTATTTGCAACATGGATAGCTACATAGAAGTTGGAAAGAGGTATACAAACCAATTTGAATCATTACCCCCACCTACTAATAAGGTTTTACCTTCTATTGTGCAGGCACTAGAGTTGGAATTAAAGCAATTGCCAAAACACCTTAAATATGCTTATTTAGATGAAAATGAGACTCTACCTGTCATCATTGCCTCACACCTTGAACCAAATGATGAGAAGAAGCTTTTGAGAGTTCTAAAAGAGCACAGAACCACAATTGGGTGGAGCATTACAAATATCAAAGGTATATACCCAACACTATGCATGCACAAGATATTATTGGAGGACAACACAATGCCTGAGAGGGATCCCCAAAGACGTCTCAATCCAAACATGAAGGAGGTGGTAAGGAAAGAGGTAATGAAGCTTTTAGATGTTGGTATTATTTATCCTATTTTTGATAATAAATGGGTAAGCCCAATGCAAGTTGTTCCCAAGAAGTCAGGTATCACAGTGGTGAAGAATGAAGCAAATGAGCTTGTGCCTACATGGATGACCACGGGCTGGAGAGTGTCCATCGATTATAGGAAGCTCAACACAACAACAAGCAAGGATCACTTTCCTCTTCCATTCATTGATCAAATGCTTGAGAGATTGGCTGGCCATAGCGACTATTGCTTCCTTGATGGATATTTAGGCTGCAATCAAATTGCCCTAGCCCTAGAGGATCAAGAGAAGACGACCTTCACATGTCCATTTGGCACTTTTGCTTATAGTTGGATGCCTTTTGGTCTCTGCAACCCCCTAGCCACTTTTCAAAGGTGCATGATGAGCATTTTCTCTGACATAGTATAAAGGTTCATTGAGGTATTCATGGATGACTTCTCTGTCTTCAGTGATTCTTTTGATCAATGCTTGCATAACTTATCCAAGGTGTTGGCTAGATGTGAACAAAGTAACCTTTTGCTTAATTGGGAAAAATGTCATTTTATGGTTAACCAAGGCATAGTTATTGGTCATGTCATCTATAGTAAAGAATTGAGGTAGTGTTTAGGGGTGGTAGAAATCCACCCGGGCACGAGAATTGGTCAGGCTAGCACTGAAGGAACAACTGGGCAGATTTGGAAATAGCTGGGCAGCTGTTGGAACAGGAGCTTGCAAGGTGCAGCCGGGCTAGGAGTTCAAAATCGGGCCTGGGCTTTGAAGCTTGGAGGCCGTAGCAGTCTGAGCTTCTCAAGATTGCGGCCGGATGGAACCAGCTGGGCACAATTTGGCAGCCGGGCCTCTCAAATGCAAAAATGGGCAGCAAGGCGGCTGGGCAAGGCCAAAGAAAAGGGGCCTTGTGAGATGCGGCCGGTTAGCTCGAATGGAGTTGGAAATCTCAGCCGGAATTGGAGAAGTTCGCAACCGTGATGTTGAAGCTTGGCGGTCACAATAATTCGGGCTGAGTAAAGTTGCGGCCGGAGATGCACAAGTGGGATTATTTCGGGTGGATAAATATGCGGCCGAGTTTTTAGTTTTGAGAAGATGCGGCTGGGATATTTAATATCTTTGCATATTGGGCTGAAAAGTCTTTGTTTATTATATATATATATATATAATAGGGAGAGTAGATATCACACATGTGGTCGAAATTGAGAGTCCTGTGCAAACTGTTTATATGGGCAAGCTATTTTGGGGCTGTTTTAAATGGGCTGCTTTAGAAACTACATATATATGCAAGTATATATATATATATATATATATATATATATATATATATAGTTGAGTGAATTGCATGCACGCAGGCTAGGAGGATTTGCCCAACTTATGCTTATATGAATATATTAATATATACATATTTGTGTATATATATTGAATAATATGAATTCTTATATTATCTGGATGGCAATATAAGGAAAGACGGATGCCCAAGTTTAAGCCATCTATTCACGCCCAGATTTTCGGAAGATTATGTGCACGTGATGGAGGCCTCACGAGGAAAGAAATCAAAGGATTTTTTTATATTTTTTTATAAGTAACTCCGAGTGTTCCAAAACAAGGAAGAATCAAGCATGTCAGAATATCAATGCAATCCCACGGATTTAGGAGGGCTTCGAAAGGAAAGATTTTAAAGCAGAGTTGACATTTGGCCATTCAATGGCCAGCCCATGGGCTGACGAGTGCCCTATCTAAACCTTGCTCCATGAAGACATCAGACACACAACATCAGACAAACAAACCTATCTTTCGTCTCGCACTTTTCTTTTCCTAGACTTAGGATTTTATTTTTCAAACACCTAGTGTAGCGAGTTCTTCATATTTCTAGTGTAAGTTTATATTTTCCCTGTCATTTAAATTCTTGTTCGGTTTATATTTCTTATCATTTCAATTCAAGTTCATTTCGATACCTTTACATTTAATTGTTATCGCACTTCGATTAAATTTAGTTTCGAGTTTATTTCCTTTTCGTTCTTATCGTTCTTATCACTTTTATTTCATTCTTGCTTTATCTATCGCTTTGATTTATTTTATTGCATTTCAATTCTTGTCTTTACATTTATACGCATATTTAGTTTAATTGCATTATTTTTACTTAAACCATAAAAATCACAAAAACATCCGTACGAAACCTAACCATTCTCGAGCCCGAGAAAGTGAAAGAATCTAGGCCAAGAAGAGGTTCCTTGCTTGGTTGATCAATCGTTTGGTCAGAAGTTAGAAGCGCAACACATCCATCTATTCTCATTCCATTCAAGCCCAATTTCAGGGCTTGGTGGTGGCACGCCCCGCATCCAAAAGAAGAATGACCAAAAGTTCCTTTCGTCGGCCGCCCCGGCCGAAAAGAGGGAAACATAATTTGGCACGCCCGGTGGGACTAATAGGTTTTGTATGGTCGTAAACACTAGGAGAAATCCTATAAGAGATCAAGAATTTGAAGAATCTAGACTTCGGTCGGAATCAGAGACAAGCATGGCTGGTTCACTCCCTACGAATACTCAGCCAAAAAATGTTCCGGCCACTCAACAAGAGCAAAATGGCCCCGGCCGAAACACGGCCGTCGGCCACGATCAAGTGGTAGTCGAAGACATTACGGAAGTAGCCGGGGGACCAGTATTGAGGCCGAATCCGGCCACTTCATTGGAACTCCAACAACTCATGCATGTCGTGGAGACGATGGCCCAAACGATGGCCACTCAAAATGCTCAGATCAACGAGAGATTTGATCGATGGTTAGGCCAACAAAATGGCCAAAATGGAAACCAAGGGGCGCCAATTGGAGCACCAGCGGTTGGGCCACAAGTGGAGGCCCAACCAAATGGTTTTGGAGTAAATCCGCCCCAACTTAATCCACCAGTAGAGGGCAACCAAGCCCCAGTGGTTAATATTCCGCCGATGGGCAACAACCCATATGCGGCGGTCAACCAATTTCAAGTGTTCCCGCCATATAATCAATTCCGCCCACAAGCTCACCAAGGGGTTGGGGCCAATTTCACTGGGCCTCATATCAACCAATTCAAAGTTGGTGGTTGGAATAACCCCGGTGGGAATGCTAACAACCCATTGCTAGGGAATTAAGCAATCGATCGAGGTGCGGTCGAACAAATGATTCAAGATATGGTGCCCCTTGCTAGGAGGATTGGTAGGCCGGTCTATCGGCAACCATATCCGGAGCACTTTGATCAAGAGGAATTTCCAAGGGGTTTCAAGGTTCTAGATTTTGCACTATTTTCGGGAGATGGGCTCTAATCGATCGTCGAACACATTGGCCGATTCACGGCCCAATGAGCGGAGATTGGGCATCGCGAGGCCTTGAAACTAAGGCTATTTCTGAGTACCCTTATGGGGGCAGCTTTTTCATGGTATGTTAAGCTTCCACAAAATTCCGTCTCGAATTGGCAAGTTATGGAGCAAGTCTTCCACGAGCAATTCTATCGACTGGAGCCGGAAGTCTCAATGGCCGACTTGGCAAAGATAAGCCAGAAGCCAAGTGAGTCGGTCCAAGAATATTTAGGGCGGTTTAGAAAAGCAAGGGCTTGGTGTACGGTCAATATGCCGGAGCACGAGTTTGCAAAATTGGCCCAAGGAGGATTATTGCTTGACCTCCGAAAGAAATTCAAAGGAATTGAGTTCCGCGACATTTATGATCTCTTACTTCGGTTGGATCGATACGAAGCCCTTCTAAAGGAGGAGCAACAAAAAGGGCAGCCGGCACCCTGGCCGACATTTTATAGGGATTCAACCAAACATTCCGGGTCTAGGACTACGGCGGTCCACGCTGTAGACATTGGAGATATAGACTCAGAAGAAAGAGGTGATGCAGTTTACTTAGAGGACGAAGAACAGTCGGCTGAGGTAAACTTGGCCGAGATTGTGGCCAAAGGGCCATATGTGTGCAAGGCTTTGTCTAAAGCCTCTAAGGATCAAAGGCCGACCACGGCCCAAATGTCCAAGTTTAGTGGAACCTCCCAAAAGGCAGTCATGACTAAGTCCTACACATTTGATATTTCTAAAGCTGAACAAATTTTCGACCAACTTTTGAAAGAAAAGATCATAAAATTATCTAACGATCATGATATTCTGTCGGCTAACGAACTTAGAAATTAAACTTATTGCAAGTTTCACAATGTGTGGTCTCATACGACTAACAATTGTTTGGTTTTTCAGAATGCCGTGCAAGATCTCATTGATTGGAAGATCTTGAAGTTTCCGGAGAAAGCTACAATGGGCGTCGACCAGAATCCTTTCCCAAATGCTCAAGTCAACATGGTGAATGCTAAATTCCCAAGGCCAGACCAACCTAGGCCTAGGTTGGACTTGGGTGGCTCAGCAAGGGCTGCGGCAGAAAGAAGGGCAAGGGAAATTCCGGCGGATCCTAAGGCAAATGGCAAGGCTAAAATGTACCCTGAGGTGGCCAAGGGTCCCGAGACAAAAGTTTCGACCAAGGAAGAACCTCCAAAGGCCATTGTGCTATGTAGTCGATGCCAATGTGAGGTGACTCTCGAAGTGGTTTCGCCAAAGCCCAAGGGGCCAACCAAGGAACCCACCAAGGGGCTGATTAAGGAGCAAACCAAGGATCAAGTCCAAGTGGGCAGATTGAAAAGAAGATGATAACAAGTTCGGCCGAGAATTACGGCCCACATAGCCCAATGGGCGAAATGGAAGTAAGGTCGAACAAACGGCCATTGCATGAGTACCAAGATAGGTATGAGAGGCCGAGATATCAGCCGAAGAGAAGAAATCAACATGCCCCTCTAAGATATGAAGACATTGATTCGCCCGATTCAAGCCAAAACCGAAGCATGTGGATTTCGGTGGGAGAAGGCAAAAGCCGATATGTGGCATATATATCAAGACCTCGCCCCGCGGACGGTAGTGGTGTCCCAACTTTCAAGGTGCCAAACACAAAGGCGGGCCAATGGTATAGAAGCAAACTCCCGCCTGTACCTTTGAGCAAGACTCAAACGAGAAGGGCTCAAAGGCAATATGCCACCACTTGCAAGGCAGAATTAGATTGGGCGGATAAAAGGCAAGCCTAACTTGACCGATTGGTCGAGCTTCGCGAGAAACTTCGATTGGAGGAGTTGGAGTTGGCCAAGGCCGATGCTGTAGCCTCTTTAGAGACCGTCGCGACCAAGGATGGAAAACACAACAATGGAACTTATTGTCAGTAGAGTACAACTCATGAATGCATTTCCCTTCACTTCCTGGTCCGAATGACCAAACTCTGACATAGTCTTCACTGACTGATGCAAGGAACACACCAGATGGATCCTAGCACACAAAAAGGATAGGCTTGGTATATCCCTGTATTTCAAAACCCGCATTCCAAGAAATAAGTTTGAGAAAATATATGGTTAGGATACCAGAAGGAAATAGTTCAAGAATTTGTAGAGGAACATCAAACCCGCATTATATCAGTACCTAATACAACAGAAATACATGCTATAAGAAATTTTATGAAATACTTTATTTGAAGCCCTATTTTAGGTATTGCTTTTTCGAGAGTACATTACAAACCCAAATATTTTAGCCATTAAAGCAGAGCAGCAAAAAATAAAACATGAAATAAAGAACCAAGACCATTAACAATCAATCCAAGTATGCATAATAAATAATTGTCAAGGCAAAGATCTTAATAAAGGAATACCAGAGAGGCTCAGTGAAGTATACCTCATCATAGTTGATGCTTCATGACAGAACCTGCACAACCAAATCGCCGCAAGTAAAATGCACAATCGACAAATATGCATTTTTTCTGCTACCCAAATGAAATTTGAAACAAAAAGTGACAAATTAACAATAGGAAAGACCACATGCCTTGAAAATCTAAAGACATTTACGAAATACCAAAAACCCATATGATAATTTATACCAAAAAAAAAAACCCAGGGATATGAAAAAGAGAACTGAAATCTAACTATTTGAGACAGAGGACAGATGGTGAGATCGTGAGAGAGATGGAGAGGGTGAGATCGGGAGAGAGACAGAGAGGGTGAGATCGTGAGAGAGAGACAGAGACGATCAAAGGCAAACGAAGATGGATGAGATGAGAGAGAGAGACGCAAGGGGAGAGACAATGACTTAATGAGAGAGGGGGATGAAAGAGAGACACATAGGGAGAGTGAGTGTTGGAGGCGACTGCTAGGTTTATGAAATTGCCCATTTTTCACTTTCGTTGGTGAAGAAGAGGGAAATTTGAGTGTTGGCTGGAGTTATTTGGCGGTCAATGAAAAATGAAAGAGCTCTTCCCCACACCAATTCCCAAATAAATAAATAAGAGTTTAAGTCAAATATCCAAAAATATATATAATAAATAAATTAAAAATCAGAAAAATGTACTTAAAATTCATAGGAACTCCTTGTGATATTCTCTTCTATTTAAAGCTCCAAAATTATAATATATTTTTTTTCATCTTATGCGTTTTCACTCCAAAAGCTACTCTCACCTTCTCCAAGTAAGTTTTTATGAAAAAAAAAAGTACCATAGAAAAAAAAATTTGGGCAGAAATTGACAAAAAGAAGAAGGGAAAATAAGCAAAAGGACAGGTGGCGCATGTATGAAGCTGCCACTTGTCCATCAATTCAATTTAATATAAATTTTATATGATCTAACTCCTAAAAATCATAATGAATACATTATATGATTTAACTCCTACGAAGTCCTAGTGACATTCTCTTCATCCTAAAGCTTCAAAAATCTTTTTTTTGCTTATAAAAATTTAGAGTGACAACAAAAACTCAAATTAGTTTGTAAACAAACCAAACACTAGTTAATGTTTGATAACGTAACACTCTTGCTTCTTTGATCCAATCATTACCATGAACTCAATTATGTGGAATCATGATTTTAGACATATCAAATCAAAGGATTTTTCATAAGGAGTTCATATATTTTCTCGGTGCATTTTTCGGATTTTTATTTAATTTGTTATTAATTTTTTTAAGATAAACAACAAAAAAGTAAGAAAAAGGACATATGGCATTGTGGTATGAGGATGTGTCACCAATACAGAAAATGCACCTGAAAGAAGGTGCCACTTGTTGATCAATTCAGTTTAATATGAATTTGATATGATTTCACTCCTAAAAATCATAATAAATACACTAAAAATCCAAAAAATTTACTAAGAATTCCTATGAAGTCCTAGTGATGACATTCTCTTCATCCTAAAGATAAATTGAAATTTTTTTTTTTTTTTTTTTTTTTTTTTTTTTTACTTATAAATTAAAAATGACAACAAAAACACAACTTAGTTTGTAAACTAACCAAACACTAGTTAATGTTTGATGACCTAACACTCTTGCTTCTTTGATCCAATCATTACCATGAACTCAATTATGTGGAATCATGATTTTAGCCTCTAAAATCGAAGGATTTATCGTCAGGAGTGCATAGCTTTTTTGGGTGTATTTTTCTTATTTTTATTTAATTTATTATGAATTTTTTAAGATAATCATTTCCAACGGTCCCTAATTCTTCTCATAAATAGAAAATTTATTACCGACGACCATATGTTGCCCTCAGAAATAGGTTGTGATTTCCGACAAAAGTGAATATGCCCTCAGAAAAAAGCACAACTATTACCATCAAGTATGAATTTGGTTGTAAATATAACGGCATTTCCGAGATGACATATTTCTCATCGGAAATAGTCAAACAATTCCGACGGAATGAGAAACCCCTCGGAAATAAGCATCATATTTCCAACTAACATACTTTTTGGCGTTAATAAAGTTGACACTAAGTCTTCCTGCCAAATAAATTACATTTCCGACGACCATAGACTTTTTCCAAGGGTATTTTTTTTGTCAGAATTAAATTTCAGCCCCATGACATATTTCCAACAGACAACATTTTTTGGTCCGAAAAAACACTTTTACCAAGGGAATTTCAGGACCCTCAGAAAATGTTGGTCGGTAATGACCCTTTTTTTTTTGCAGTGTATCCCAATCAGCCCTTAACAAGTATGGATTGCATAAAATGTGATCTCTTGTTGTCTTAACCTACAAAACAAACAAAAAGAGGTAAGTGACTCAAAATAAAGAGAAACTAAGCAAAGTCACTAAGTAAAGAAGGCAAGCGAATGTATGAAATTATGAACTTATCAGGGAGTATTGCGATGAGGTGAAATCAACAAATGTAGGAAGCACAATGGAGATAAGGGTGGAGCCTCTTCCACACTTGCAGAGGCTTTATTTATGCCTTGATGCATGCAAGAAGGGTTTTTTTTGTTGGTTGCATATCGATCATTGGAGTAGATGGATGCCACTTGAAGGGTCCTTTCTCAAGTAATAATTGAAACAAAAGGTTGTAGTTAATATTCATTTATTTTATTCAACTTATATTTGTTTTTTTATTTCAGGTCAATTGTTAGGTGCAGTGGGGGTTGATGCTAATGATAACATGTACCCAGTAGCATATGCTATTGTGGAGTTAGAAACTAAGGAGACATGGAGCTGGTTTTTGGAGTTGCTAATGGATATCTTAGTTTCGTAGAAGACCATGGATGGATATTTATATGAGATCAACAAAAGATATGATTACTAATTTGATTTGTTGTGATTATGTTTCCCTTTTTTCGACCGGGTAGGCTGATTGAAGGAGTTTTTGGTCCTTCTTTTTTGAGTAAGGGGCGTGCCACCACCAAGCCCCGAATTTGGGCTTGAATGGAATGTGAGTAGATGGATGTGTTGCGTCCGAGATCTGACTTTAATCAAACTATTGTTCGGCCGAGCAAGGAACCTCCTCACGGCCTAGGTTCTTTCACTACCTCAGAGTCAAGGCTTTATGTGAGCAACCAAATGATGTGGAGTGGGTGGAGATGAAGATTGAAGGTGAAATGTAATGAAACAAATAACACGTGCATAAAGTAAAAGGGTGCTTGAATTTAAATATAATTGAAAGACAAGTGCAGAAAGTAAAGTGCGTAAAATAAATAATGTAAAGGCAAGTGCGTAATTTAAAGTGCGTGAAATAAAGAATTTAAAGACGAGTGCGTAATGTAAATTGCGTAAATTAAATAATTGAAATGCGAGTGCGTAAAGTAAAGGGCGGAAAGTAAACTAGATTACGAAGAACAGTAAAGAAACATGAATTGAAGTTACTGTAATTAAAATAGAATTGAAAAACAAGAACAAGAATGTAAAGGCATAATTGAAATCTATGGAAACTAGAACGGGAAAAATAAGAACTAGGCTATGGTTACATTATGCTACTCCTAGGATAGAAATTGAAGAGAATGTAAAATGACAAGTTGTGTGTTGTGTCGGGGGTTCTTTCTCTCTTCCATAAGCTTGGTATTTATAGGGGCTTCGGTGCGTCCCAATTTGGTCGGTCGTCAATTGGCCTTCAAATCAATCATAATTGCTCCAGAATATCTTCAATCCCTTGTCTCATGCTTGTGATTTAATATGAATAATATTTGATTTGATTTTCCTTCCATCTTGAGCTCTCCTTCAATAACTTCAATTGACCATCAAGCTGGCATAATTCCTTCCATATTTGAATTGTAATCTATGAAAATCCTCCTACGGATTATCTCTCTCCTTATTTGAGCATTGACTGATTTTATGTATTCGGCCGCTTTTAGTCTTCCGACCGTATCTACATTTTCGGCCGCATATAGGCTTTTGACCACTTCCACATTTTCGGCCGGATATAGGCTTTCGACCACTTTTATATTTTCAGCCGCATATAGGCTTTCGACCACTTTTATGCTCTTGGCCACATTGATGTGTTCGGCCACATGTAGATATTCTGCTACATTTATGATTTTGGGCTTCTATCCGGCCTTATTGATTAGGCCCACCGAAATATAGCTTGGGCTCACTATTAGTTTAATTGTCGGATCTCGGGCCTGACTCGGTTAAATTTCAACCAGGCTCAAACATTGCCCCCAGTTTTTATGAATTTTGCCTCAAGCTAAATTTATGAAAACTCTGAATTTAATTCTCTTCTATGAACACACGGCCTTTTCAAGATTTTCCTCTTATACTGGGCCCTAGACAACTTTGAACTTTAAACTAGTATTTCCATAATATTGCCGAAAGCAATCCGGCTGTGAAAGTTCAATTAACTATTTCCAGGCAGCTGCACTCTTCATTCTTTGATCACAAATAGTCTTTTATGACCATTATTAATTGGACCAATTTCATTACTAGTTTTTTAGAACTAGCAAATCATTGATTGACCTTATTGACAAACATATGGCTTCTCTTACTTGAACCAAAGTAACCACACCATATTTTTATATTTTTAAACTCACTAAAGAAAATTAGCCATAGTAATTGGCTATAATCATGGCAAGATATTTTGTGGGCAGTCTACCCTAATTAATATGATCGACCTCCTTTTGGTTCAAAAAGGGAAGGTAAATGCACCTTTCTTTTCTTCTCCTCATGGCTTAGGATATAATATGTGATACCCATATTATTAACCATTAACTGACTAGGGTAAAATGAGATTTCCTCTTCCCATTTGTTCACGTCAATTGGCTTTAATAATGGTTTACGTCAATTGCAAAGCTGGCCATTGAATTGGCCCAAAACTAAGGCTCCCATTATTTTCAGAAAAGGAAAGAAAGAATATATATAATTGCTCCATGAAACAAATTTGCACGTCAATATTACTATATATATATATAGTAATAAGATTCTCTACGTCACCCATTAATTGGCTAGAATCATGGGGAAATATTATGGGTAGATAACTCTTCCCTCTCTTCCTTTATGAAGCCACGTAAAATAAATGCAATTTCCTTCTTCTACTTGCCCAAATAAAACTTAGCTATTATGGGAAAGTATTTTATGCCATGCGATAAAATCTTTCTTTACTTTCCTTCAAAGCAACATAAATATTCTCTCAGTCAAACTAGGTTCTCCTCCATTCGTTTATATAAACCCCAATGAACTAATCAATGAAGTACATCACCCTTATAAACACCAAAAGTGTCTTTGGCTATTCTCAAAGGTAAGCCACTTCTATCACCTCTTCTTCGGTTCCACTTCTATCACATATATATCTATATATTTCTTTACTCATTATTTTTCCTTTGCTTTTCTGGCACACAATTAGGATTTGGAAGACCACGCACCGTTCAAAAACTCTCTCAAGTTCGTGAGTTTTTCAATCTCGGCACTATACCTTGTTAAGGTATTTATCATTACTTTATATATGTGTATATATATATATATACGCACGTATACGTATATATTTTCTCTGATCATATGAATATGGACCTATTGACATCTTCAATATCCCACAATGCATGCTTTTATTCTAATTGCCCATATGGCCATTTGGCTTCCTTCGTGGATGCAAGGCCATTAAGATGGCTTTTGTTTAATAATTCTCTTTCTTTTTTCTTCACGTGCATGGCCAATTTGAATCATTGTTGTGGCTGCAAAGTTATGTAGATTTCTTTGGCCGCCAGGCCACTTAGCTGGCCTTTTTATTTTATTTTATTTAATAAATAAAATTTAACATAGCATGCAGTTTTGACCATTGGCCCAAAAGGCCATTCATTTTGGTCGTGGGATTGTTTATTTGACCCAGCATGCAGGGTCAAATTATATATGTAATATATACACATATATATATGGGAATTTAATATTACTAACAAATAATATTTTGCAGATTACCAATCTTCCGTCTTATTATCGTTCTTCAATGTCTCCCAAAGAAGCAAGAGAGTACAATAATATATTGGTTGACGCCCTTAATGAAGATGAGACCGCTTTCTCCAATGACTTTTATGATTTTGCGCCACTGCCTGCCACTCCACGCAACATGATCCTTGGTCCCTATTTTTACGGTCGTATGCCCAGCTCTGTTGTTAAAGTCATGCGACCGCAACAAAAAGACTTTTGTTTGCTCAGAAAATACCTTAATTGGCAAGGTTGGGACCGACCCAAGCTTATGAGGGGTTGGCCTACTTCAGGGCCAGAAAAATGGAACAAGTGGCTTGATCGACTGTCAAACAGATTATGATAATGGTTATAATTTATTAGTATGAATAGAAATGGTAGATAAAAATAATCTTAATTTGATTGCAAACTCTGATTATAACTAACAGGGTTGGACAAAGCCTTTGACATTGTTGTTCATCAAGCACAACATAGATGGTATGTTAGGCACATGCATGAGAACTTCAAGAAAAAATACAAGGTTTGAAAGATCTTTTATGGAGTGCAACTAGGGCTTCCAATAAGTATGACTTTGAGGTTGATATGATCAAGCTGAAGGAGATGAATAGGGATGCTTATGATTAGTTGATGGGGAAAGATTTAAATAAGTGGGCTAGACATAAATTTAGTATTGCCCCTAAATGTGACATGTTGTTAAACAATTTGTGTGAAACATTTAACAGCTACATTTTGAGTGTCCGAGATAAACCTATTTTGACCATGCTAGAAATGATAAGGTGTAATCTCATGAAAAGGTTGGCAGTGAAGAGGGCTGCTATGGCAAAATATGAGGGTTCATTTGCCCTAAAATTCAAAATTGGTGAATATAAAGATGCACTCAGCTAGGAATTATATGCCAATAGTAGCTGGAGGTTTTGAATACCAAGTGGGAGAGTACTTACATGATTAACATGCGTAAACATAGCATTGAAGACATGCACTTGTGGGAGGTGGGATCTTAATGGAATCCCTTGTATTCATGTTGTTGCTCCCATCTATCTCTATAGAGGCACTTGTGAAGATTTGGTTGCTCCATGCTATCACAAGGACACTTATCTCAAGGCTTATGAGGGAATCATTCATCATGTGAAGGGATTTAATATGTGGCCAAAGTAAAATCAAATACCACTATTACCTCCAATTGTTAGAAACAACTAGGAAGACAAAAAAAAAAGTAGGAGAAAAGACCCCGAGATGGAGAAGGTTGTTGATGCTTGTGGTACTAAGCTCAAGAGAAAGGGCACTGTCACTTGTACTAAATGTTGGCAACAAGGCCACAACAAAAGTAATTGTGCCAACCACAAGACCCTCCCCCTGGAACTTATATTGACAAAAGATGTTCTGGTGCTACAAACGTGGCCAATACTTCTTCTCTTATGCCCACTCCAAGGCAAAAGCTTCCAGTAAGTTTTCTAAATATGAATATCCTTATTATTATTTTTTTAATCTAAATATAGAGCTTCAATTTCAATCAATCCAAGGCAATTAGGAGGTTCAAGCTCAGTGAATCCAAGGCAATTAGGAGGTTCCAACTCAGTGAATCCAAGGCAATTAGGAGGTTCCAACTTAATCAATCCATGGAAGCCACCAGGGTTTGCACCTTACAAGAAAAATTCCAAGAAGTGACTTAAAAGGCCTAGTTTATGTTTTGTTGACTCAAAAGGCATAGTTCATGTTTTGTTGGCCAATATTTTGTCAAATGAAGTTTCTTGCTTTGATCTAAATGTAACAGGCATCCTCGACCGTCAAATTCGCATACCCAAAAACTCAATCCCCCGATTAACGGCCCATGACCATCCCATCGAGTCCTTCTGGATCTCCACAAAGTATAAGAATAAGAAAGGACAAACTACATAAAACCCCCAACCTATAGACTCATTTACAAGTTCATACTTGATTTTAGGGACATTTACCAGTACATAATCAATGTCACGGAAACCCTACAATTTGCCCTTTTCGTTAGTCAAACTGTTTGTGAATCTGTTAAATGCTAATGTGGCAAATGTAGGACCCATTTTTTGATGACGTGAATTTCCAAATGGACAAAAATTAATAAAAAAATTATATACTTATTAAAATAAAAGAAAAAACTATTGAATTTTAAAAAAACTAAAAAACCACAAAAAAATATAAAAAAATCATCTTCTTCGCAGCCCCCACCCTCTTCCCCAGAGAAAAAAAAAGCTCCCTGCCAACCCAACCTCCAGCCAACCCTCTGCCGTCACCACATCCCCCGCTCCCCGACGCACCCTCGTCATCAATGTTCCTTTTGGACATAATCGGATTGGCTTTCAGATCTTGAGGCACCTCCTCAAACCTGTTCACATAATCCACATAATGTATAACCAAGTTTTCATTAACTTCAGAGAGCTCGATGCCCGTGTTTGAATCATTTATTAAAGTACTGGGGTCTGGTACAACATAAGAGTCTTTAGATTCAATTTCTTTTCCATTCAATCTCTTGCCAGGGTTTCTCCTTTCCTTTTGTCAACCTCCTTCATGCCTTGCTTGGTTTAGTTCGCCCAACCTGAAAGCTGTTGATTTTTTCCAAAGGGGGATGTCGCCGATGGCTATGGTGGCTATGGTTGGAGATGGTTCATCGAGCCGGTGAATTTTATTTTTTCAGGAGTTTGCTGGAGCTCAAATGGAAACCTTTCTTCGCGGGTTGAATTTGGGGCTCGTCAGATATGATGCATCGCATGTGGGTCGAGTTTTGGGATCGTCAGATCTAGTGACAGCCAAAGAACTTCATAACTAGATGGTGGCATGAACGTGACAGTGATGGTGGAGCGGCTAGGTAGGAGAGGTGTCTTCCACCATCTCGATATCGATTCGATTTCTGCAAATAAATCAAATAATAACCTGTTTAAAGGATTTGGTGATGGCTGGGTTTTGGTTTGGGGATGTTTGTTTTTCATTGGCAATCCCATGTCAATAACCTGTTTGGGTTTGCAAAAAGTCTTCATCTTTAATTGTTCTTATTGCTAATGGGGTTGTGGGTATGCGACGTTCACTCTTGAGATCAAGGAAAAGAGGTTTGATTTCACAAGCCATGGAATGCAAATGTGCTGCTTTGCTGTGAGGACAACTTAAGTGTTTTTTCTTCAGTTCTTCACTTGTTTAGATCCATTCGATTTCCAGATCTAATTATTCTCATCATCAGCCTTGTTTAGTTTTGCTGTTGTTATTGCCACGGGTGAGTGTTGAGGGAGGGTTGCGATGGTGGAGGGTGGGTTATGGGTTTGTTTTTTTGTTTTTTAGTTATTCAATTTTTAATTTTATTTTAATTTTTTTTATAATAAGTATATAATTTTTCAATACTTTTTTGTCCACTTATAAGTCCACATCATTAAAAAATGGAGCCCATATTCGTCTCGTCAGCATTTAACAAATTCACTAATGGTGCGTTTGGATGAGGGAAATAAACTTGGGATTTTGGTAAAACACATAATTTCTAAATTGACATGAACCAATTTCCGTGTTTGGATAAAAAAACATAGAAATTTAGAAATTCCTCGTGGGAAAAAACATGGAATTTGGAGATCATAAATCTCAACTTTAAATTCTATCTAAAAGTCGTCATTTCTAAAATCTCAAGAGAAATTGAGCTTTTAAAGAAGATAACTATACAAATAAAGGTTAAATTCCATGTTTTAAATCCATAATCCAAACAAGAAATTTTACAAATTCTAGAATATTAATTTCCATCATTTTAAATTCCGTCATTTATTAAATTCTTTGTACTTCTAAATTTCCTCATCCAAACGCACTGTAACGGTTTGGCTAACAGAGGAGTCAAATGGTAGGGTTTTCTTGACATTGATTATGTACTGGTAAATGTCCCTAAAATCGGGTATGAACTTGTAAATGACCCTATAAGTTGGGGGGTTTGATGTAATTTATCCAATAAGAAAAGCATTATCAAAAGAGATGATTAGTCCATCAAAGCCGCTTGTCCCCGCGCCACAGAGGATAATTACCCCAGCAACCCCCCATTAACAACACGCAAAAATTTCAAAATACTAATAAGAGCATCTCCAAGGGAGATGTCAAATACCAAACATCAAATTTAAATTTGATGGCTGATGTGGCAATTTGACATCTTACACAGCTTTACACTCTACCCGATAAGTCAAATTAAATTATTATTTTATTACATTTTAGTGTTGATTCATTTTTAGTTAAAAAGAAAAGAAAAGAAAAAATAATAAAATATTCATTTGACATCTTGCTTTTGGGATGTCAAAAATAACATCTCAACCTCCAGCCTTCATTCCACATCAGCTTTGACACATCGGTTGGAGTGACATGATATGTTATTTATAGCTGTTAAATGTCTATGTGGCACGTTTGACACATCGGTTGGAGATGCTCTAATACCCTCAAACCAGAAAGGTATTTACAACTAAAGCTTACGGCGTGTTTCGTTCCGTATATTTTCATTTGGGCGGGCAATATGCTTTAGGCTTAATAGCTGTAGATAGAGAGAGAGAGAGAGAGAGAGAGAGCTCCTTCTCCTCCTAGAGCTCGCTCTCTGCTTCGAGTCTTGGCCAATGCCATTGGAGTGAATGTGAAATGGTGCTATGAATTCATGGCCTCTTCTCACTCATCGCTGCTTCACATTCATTCCCTTTCCCTTCGGAGAAGCTTCAGATTATTTGCCAGAAGCTTCTCAAGCATTCAGAGTCCAAAGAAACTTGATTCACTCCGCTTTTCTCCAATTAAATCCCCAAAGGTATTGTATAAATCTCTGTTTGTCTTTGACGAGTTCGTGTCCGAAACGGTTTGAGCTGGTGTTCTTCTTCTTGCTTTAATTTAATGTGACAGTTTGATGGAAGACAACCCTTTTGAGTACGAAATTTAGGGTTTCTGTGAGTTTGATGCATGACAAGTTAGGTTGAATTTTGTGATGTGTGTGTATATGCACGTGTGTGCTTGAATGTATGCTAATTGGTTCTTGGGCAAGCTTTTGAATTTCCACAGTGCGTGCTGATTCATAGTCTTACATAGTGAGTGGTTATAAGATTTTTTATTTATTTATAACTGGATTTCTTTCCATATTTTTTTAGGGCTACTGTAACATATCCAGTAGTTTTAATTCGGCTTTACCGGGAGTTGTTCGTGAGAATGGGGATGCTGCATTTTACTCTAAAAGTGAGCGAGTACTACGCGGAGATATGCCGCTAGGTTCAGTCAAGCAAGAAGAGAAAACAGTGAACAGTAACCCTTCAGATGTAAGAGTCATGCTCATCGACGGCACATCAATCATTTATAGAGCTTACTATAAACTTTTAGGTATGCTGTACGTTCCTTCTGTTGCTATAAGTCAAGTGATTTTCTTCACTTTTGAATTGGAAGCAGATGTATTGTTTGTTGTCTACGTTGAAACAGATGCACTGCTTTACTTTTTATGAACTTTTTAGCGCATCTACTTTGGTTACTGGAAATGTTAGCATTTATTTATTGTTCACTGATACAAGTGATTTAAGATTTAGAAAGCTTCAAGTTTTTGGAAGCTTGGCAGTTTGGAGGTCCCTGTGTTTCATTTTATAGTTCAATGGAAGACATTAGGGTTGTGCGGACATTTCTACAACTATCTTTGACATAGCACGTGGAACCTGAAACGACAAGAACATAAGTGAACTTAGTTCTATACAAATTTAGCAGTTGGGTGGTTGACTAACTCACAATTATTCCTCAACACCAATGTATAATCTTGTTGTGCCTTCAAAGATTATTCATGTTTCAATCTGACCTAGAGTCACTGATCAATAAAATGAACGTTGCTTTTGGTGTTTTTACCCGCATTTGGATAAGAAAAGAAATGTCACTTTATGAGGTACAATGTACTGCCAATTTTTTCTTTCTAGAAAAGCCAATATCCAATCCTTCTTTGATGCCCCATGGTTAATTTTAACCTATGACATTAAATTCTTAGATGATGAACATCCAAACCTTTGGTCAACATCTGTCTGATCTCTTAATCTTTAAAAATAAAACAAAGCAAAATAAAAAGCTGATAAACTTTGATGTTATACTCTGACAGAAACCTAACATACAGATTTTGATTATTGTTTTCTGAAGGTCTTCTTGCAACTTTTGGATTCTACGTTTTAATATTTTAATATTTATATTTTTCTGTTCTGTGTTTCTGTCCCTCTGACAGAAACCTAATTTTTCATGCCTTTTTGTTTCTGTCCATCTGTTCTGTGTTGATGCAATTTCGAGTTCTCTCTCTCCATCTAAAGCAACTTTCATGTTTAACTTCGTATCCTTTTTAATCATTTTCCTATCTACTAAAGTTAGTGTTTACTTCTGAAAATGATTTAAAAGTACCGCAAAATTAGAATTTTAAAGATTTTCTCAGTCATGTGTGAGGCTAAATTTATGGCAGAATTTGTAACATCTTATATGCACTTTATTAGAATTGTATAGTTGGCCTATGATGCATGATATCCACAAAATAAAATATGCACAATATTTATATACTATGTTAATTCTATACTCTTATGATTTCTGCAAATTTTGAACCTTGCACAAGAAGCTGCTGCCCTTTTGAATTTTTAACAACACCATTAGCAAGAGGATGTTTCCATCCAGATTTTTAAAAAGCATTTGCCAATTTCCTTTTTTATTACCATCTGCAAATTTGCCAAGACAACTTTAAGCTTTAGGGAGATATCCCTGACAATATGTATTCAGAATCCTATTTTGTATTATTTTGTATTTTTCAGAATTGGTTATAAGAGGTAACACATTTGTAACAATTTCAATTGTATGGTAGTTTGCATCTAGAGGATACAAGTTAGTTTTAGTCATAATGCATCCAAAAATTAGCTCATCTGAATTTCATTAATCATTTGGTAGTATAGTACCACTAATCACCGCTTTATTTATTGAGAGTAGCAAAGTTGCACCATGGCCATCTGTCACATGCTGATGGAAACGGAGATTGGGTACTAACCATCTTTTCAGCACTTTCTCTTGTAAGTGATGTTTATCCAAAAGGTTTTTTTCGATTGCTTGTTTTCATGTATTTCTAATAACAGACCTTATGTCATTCTCATTCTCAGATGCAAATTTACATGCTTGCGAAAGTTGTTATTTCTCATAGATGATAAATTATAGATTTAGTGCACAAATTACATTACTTTTTGTGTGAATATACAATTGTGTGATCAAATTTCAATTATCATTGTTCTTCTTTTCTATTTGATCCCTGAATCCTGATTTGAAGAATAATAAATAGTAGTCCATTATTTTAATTGTGGAAATAATTTTTTTTCGAAGAGAAACGAAATTTTATTACAACAAAAGCCAAGTACGAAATTTTTAAAGGAAATAATGTTTATTGTATAAGTTTCTAAATGCAATTAACCCTTAAAGTCTTCTTGTTACAATTGCCACAAAAAAATTTGAAAATTTCCTAGTTCAACTCCTTTTTCACTGGTATCTGCTTCCTGTTAACTGGGTATATCTTATTTAAGATTGCACTGCTTGCTCTAAGAAGTCTTTATGGCTGGGTTGAACCCAAACCAATAGTAGAAACGTTTTCTTTAATCATTTGTAATTTCTAGGTCTAAAGGCCTTTTCTATTATTGATTTTCTTGCAGATAATTGATGTGCTGAAGTTTACCCCTTCCCATGTGGCGGTATGATTTCTTCCATTATGTATGTATGCCATCATATCTGTATTATCATTCCATTTCACTCATGATATCTGGCAGGCATGTTATTGTTTTGTTTTGTTTTCTTCATTACTATTTTTAATGGGTTGGACTGCATTGTGTTTCTTCTTGGTTGGTCTGGTCTATATTCATTTGGTTAGACAAACTTAAAAATATTAGTGATGCAAAACTGATAGGGAAAAGAGAAGACAGAGAAACAAAAGAGGGAGAGAAAGAGAGGAGGAGAAGAAGAGGGGAAATACTGGAAGAGAGAAGACTAATTGCGAAGCAATTGGATTTCAATAGAAGCAATTGGATTTCAATATTTCAAAACTTAAGTGTGTCCCAAAGACGAAGTTATAATATGGCCTGTTTATAAGGCCAGTCTGAAAATCATAACAAAATCAAATCCTTTAATCAAGTTTTTGGTTAAGTTAATTAGCTCCCTAATCCAAATCAACTTAATTTAAAATCCCTAATCAAATCCAGTCAACCAAATTCCTTAATCAAATCAAATCCCTTAAATTATGGCTCTCTTCATTCTCCATCTTGTTTCCATTTATGTGGTTTCAAATTTATTTCAATCATCATATAAGATGCATATACTGTTTCTACAAAATAGTTATTTTATAAATAGGACATGCAGCCAGTATTGTTTGGTTTGGTTCGGTTCTTCTTGAGTATTTCTGAAATTGTCCTTACTTTTTAATTGGACGAAAGTACTTATAATATTTTTTTTCTTCTTTTTTTCATCCTTTTATGCAGGTGGTGTTTGACCATGATGGTGGGTTACAAATTTTTGTCCGCTTCATTTTGTACTTGATTTGCTTAAATATTGTATATATGTGTACTGTACTAAATGCTCTACCTTTTATCAGCATTTAGATCTTTTGAATGCTGTATACGTTGGGTTTAGCTAGTGTGCTCAATACGTAAGTGGGGCAGGGTGTTTCCTTCAGAAGCAAGATTACCTATTCATATGTCTCCTAAGGTTACTTAGGTTGTACAGACAGCGGTTTTGCAGGACATGCCACTGCTCTACATCTTTAGGAAAACATAATTACAATAAATCTAGTGGATTTTCCCCATCAAAATGGGCCACTTTGTTTGTGTGAGGTTTATTTTTTTCTTGGTTCCACTTTTCTTGATTTTTCAAATCTTTTCAGGTAAATACTATAATTTATCTGTACACAAAAGTAGCTAACGATGATGAGGGAAATGAAGAAGTTGAGAGAAATGAACTAGCCACTTACTGCCAGGAGTTGTAATGACAAGGTGGACGAGGAAGTCAAATTTAGGAACTAACAATCATTGCATTTCAAATGTCCTCAGAATGAACTGCAACTTCAACCATAGGAGCCCTTTCAAGTCTAGATGGTTATTTTTCACTGTATAAACATTTAGCTACTATCTGCAGATTTACGTATAATGGCTTTTGCCTTATTAGTTTGATGGTAGATAAGTGGTCAAACTTCAAAATTAATGCACTCAGACCTCTTTATAGATGGAAAAAATATCCATATATACTGTGGTGATTTCCCCAGTTCTTACTCTGTTTATTTAATAATTTTGTCTTCTTGTTTTTCCCAACGTTCCTTTCACTTACACCTTCTCTTTAGCTCTTCATCTCTCATGTTCACAAATATTTGCTCTGATAACTACGTATACTTTGTATACATCATGCAATTGTGGTAATGGCTTTTGGTCCTCCCAGCTATTATTATCTAAGATCTATGATAGGTTTATGTGAACATGGTGTTTGAAGTGCTTACGAAACTGTCTCAAGAATCGAGTAGAATGATTAGTGATAATTAAGTTTGAATGTAGAATGTCCTCCTTCTAGGCAGCATATTCGTGCTAGATTGCGCTTAGGTGCATCTTATATTTCGATTATAACGCCTACTGTACTGGGGCTATCATGTAATGAACTTTCCTGATAAGCTTCAAGGGCATTATGCTAAAATAGCACTTTATGATCCAACTAGTAAACTACATATTCTCAGAGGATCTTACTTCTGAGGATGCATAATGTCTCTTGGTTTTTATGTAATATGCAACTCTAGGAGCTTATTGACTTATCTATTTTCTCTCATGCATCAATAAGTAGTTAGATTAGTTGAACATATATTATGCATTTCTGGAGGATGAAATCTCTATTTGAATGATGGATTTGGATAAGAATCTACAAAAAGTACTTTGTTCCCTCTTCTTTTAGGTGGTTAGAGAATACAAAGAGCCAGAGGTGCTCATTCAATCTTGTGCAGAAAAACGAGACTATTCTTTTGAAAATAGTCCAGTAATGGTTTGTGTTCAGTAGTTAGGAGTTGTGCTCATATAATATTTGTTGCATATGCTTCTAGAAGGTATTATCTGAATGTTGATGTTGAACACTGTTATCCAGTCTCATACCTTTCTTCCGGGCACTAGCTAATTATGGTTACAAGATGCTTTGCTACGTATAACTATTTTTCCAAGCCTAATTTTGATAAGAAAAACCTTCTCTTTTCAGGAGTTTCATTTGGTCAAACTTGTATTTCATCCAAAGAAAATGTTAAAGGAAAAGGTATGTTTAATTTATTTATTAATTTTTCTCAGTTTGTAATATGTTGGAGTTGAGAATGTAAGCAAATCCGAAAAAGTAAACTGTGGTGGTTTGTAGGTAGGAATGTGTACCTTGAAAGCCTTGTGAAGTTTTTGCACAATTACTTACAGGATGTTGTATTCTGTAATAATACTCTATATAATATGTTAGATGTGCAGAGTTTACCTAAATGATAAGATACAACTAATGTAGTCATCAAGTACCTACCTTGTTATATGACGACCCCAAGTTACCTCCTATGTGCCAACATGAATATCAAATTCAAATGCATATGAAATTTTATATATATTTATAGGTATTTTAAAAGCCTCCTTGGAATTTTTTAGGGAGATTCACTATTATACCCAATATAGGAGTCCAAATTATAAAAAAAACCCTATATGAAATGGACTTTAGAAACATACCCAAAGCCCATTTACAACATAACGAAAAGGCTTTTAACTTCTTTTAAATTACAAAACTGTCATTGATTTCTTAAAACAAACCCAACCCCAAAACCTCATAAAAAAGCCCAAAACACTCAATAGGGCATCAAAGTAATTTAATAATCAAAATTAAATTCAATAGGGCCAGCTGTCATTTTTTGTGTTTTTTTGGGTTTGTTTATAGAAATTAAATGGTGTAGGGTTTATCTATATTATTAGTGCTAAGAATGGATATTGACTAAATCTCTTATTATTGTACCAATTGTTGCTTTCTGATTGTAAATATTTTATTTTTCTATTACGGTTAATCTGTTAGAACGCGTTACCCACTCCTGCGCCTATTGGCTGATAATATCGGTGTATTGGCCGATGTTTTCGCCATTGGATTTTATTAGTTTCGTATAAGAAAAACTTTGTTACACTCGATATAGAACTTTGCAAGAGTCAGTTTCTTAAAAATATCTATAAGCATGTACAAATATCTGAATCTTGTACCAGTCTTCAAGTTTTGGGTTCATTAAACAGGCCCAGAACGGATTTCCTAATTCTAGTAAGAAATCTTGGGCACACCGTTCCTCCTTACCCAGAACTGATTTTCTCAATCCTGAGTGGATCTCTTTGGTATCTTGACGAGCCAAAACACAGTAGCGATGACTCAAATTTATAAAGAGTTTCAACCTTTTCTTTTCATTCTGTTGAATATTAAAGGTCCTGGAGAAGATTTGCCCATGCTCCTGAAGTTTCTCTTCGAGAAATTTAGGATGTTATTCTTTTAGTGCTTCCTCTACGTTATGTCGTCTCCCATGGCAACGAGGAGAGTGAGAAGGTTTCATGTTCCTTGTTTTTGTACTCATTGTCATTGGTGGAGCAAGTTTCTGGTTGGCACGTGTGCCAAAGATAGGTTTCTTATTCTAAAGTTTACAAGGATGGTCAATGATAATTTCAATTGAATGTAACTTATATGCAACACTTTTGAATGTCACTTATTTTCCGCTCCCTTTTTTTCCCATATGGTGATGAAACAATGAGTATGGTACTATAGATGGTGAATTGAGGCATGCTTTTCTCTGTTACCTTGTACATTCCAGACCTGCATGCCCATGTCAATGTAACATATCTGTCTGATCTCTCTCTCTCTCTCTCTCTCTCTCTCTCTCGGGCCCTCTCTCTCCCTTTTCACTTGTGGGGATGCTGAAATTGAATTTGGAATTTACTGTTGGGTACTGTATATGTAAAATCAGAGACGTAGTTTTCTCTGTTTGTTTGTTTATTTTCTAACGTCTTTTTAAATTGGTCTAGGAAAAATATTTTGTTTAGGGCTTATTTTACCTCTTTCTTGATCACATTTCTGACTAGATTAAATCAATTTTTACTGTGGTTCAATGCCCCAACTACCTTTCTTTGCTTTTAATTACCCTTATGTGCCATTTATCTCTATTTAGAGTGGCATCTTATTACATATATCATAGATGCTCTTTACCATAGTCTTACCCTTTGTTTTCCTCCTTTCCATTTATCTTTCCTGTGCCTTGAGCTTAAAGTAATTTATACGTGTGAAGTTTTGACTTTAGGATATATTCTGACATCCTCTTTTTCCCTTTTATTCCCCTTCTCTGCCCAGCATGAATCAGTTATTTTTCTTTCCTTATTTCCACGATACTGCTTAGAGTTGGGTGATTGCTGAACTTAATAACTGTTTACTATAAAATTTAATGTTTTAAAACTATGTGCTGGCTAAGAGATATGATCCATTATCCGTGATTCTTTTTCATGAGGGACGTGTTGTAATATGATCTTTATTTATCTGAAGGGCTGAATTTTCGTCATACTTTATACCCTGCATACAAGAGCAATCGCCCCCCCACACCTGATACCATTGTCCAAGGCCTTCAATACTTGAAAGCTTCGATTAAGGCTATGTCCATTAAGGTGATTGAGGTAATAGCTCTACATCACAGCTTTATATGACTAGGTAACCCTGTTGGTTGTGGTGATTGATTGTGAGCTGCTCGAAGGCAGGTGCCAGGTGTGGAAGCTGATGATGTGATTGGAACGTTGGCTGTTAGGAGTGTTGATACTGGGTACAAGGTTAAATTCTGAAAAGAAACTATTTTTGAACAAAAATGGCATAGTGGGATTATGTTTAGTTTTTGATAATTCACATAACAGGATAATGGTATAAAAAGTTAAAAGAATTGTATGAATTCTTTAATTATTCTCAGTTACATTTTTATTGCACTGAATTTTTAACAGGTACGGGTTGTCTCCCCAGACAAAGACTTTTTCCAGATCCTATCTCCTTCATTACGTCTTTTACGAATTGCTCCACGTGGCTTTGAGTAAGTAACCCTTTACTTCATAGCTTATACTCTAACCTGTTTGATTGTATTGAATTTATGATGTTCATTCAATATTGTTTAACATATTCTCCTGCTCTTTTTACTCCTTGCATTGATGCACCTTTTTGCACTTGAATAAAGTTCTAATAATAAAATGGTTCAAAATGATATACTTCTAATCATGCTTCTTATTTATAAACCCAATTTCATTAAATTTTGATTGCAGCTCAAAATTACCTTACACCTTTATTTGCTGTTATTGATTATGAAGAATTGTTACATAATGTTTCTAGAAAATGTCTTGTTGGTGCTATCTTTGTAGAATAAGAGAGTCTGGGTGCTGTGTTCATGAGGAGTTTCTTTTCTTCCAAGGCCTATTCTTGGAAACTAATTGATGACCCTCCTCATAAGGTCCAGGTTCTAGCTTGGGTTATTGCTCATGAGAAGGTGAATGCCTGTGACATGGTGCAGAGGAAACCTTATTGGTAACTCTCTCCTGTTTGGTGTGCAATGTGGAACAATTGTTTGAATCATTTAATGCTCCATTGTCCAGTTGTATATGCTTTATGGACAAGGCTATTTAGGAGACCAGGTTGAGTTGTCAACATGGCATACTGTGCGGCATTACTGTTTGAGAATCCTAAGTTTTTCAGAGTGAGGAAAACAGGCTTGGTGCTTGGTAGATGTGCTGTACTGGAAATCTTTTGGGTTGTTATGATGGAAAAAAGAAAAGAGGATTCTGAAGTTGCGAAAAGGGAGGATGTGGATTTTTTTTATTGGACATAGTTCGTTTATGGGCATCCTTGTGGGCTTAAGGTTCTTTAGATTTAAAGGACTGGTCCTTTCAGGCTATTTATTCTAACTCGGGATGCTGTTAATTAATTTTGTTCTCATTGGTTTCTGTTTTGTTGTTTCTTTACTTGAGTGAACTCCAGGGTGCACCTTTCCCTTGTGTTCTACGTTTGCTTTTCTTGTTAAAACAATAAAAATTGAAGTGTGAAACTTTGTAGGCATAATTTTCATTTATTTTGATTGTCTTATTTTGTATTTATTATTTGGCTTAGTAGAGTTTGGACTCTGATATATGTTTATTGTTTTCTCAGCATGGTTTCATTTGGCATGGAAGAATTTGCTAAAAAATATGGAACACTTCAACCTTCTCAGTTTGTTGATGTGATCTCACTTGTTGGTGACAAATGCGATAATATTCCAGGTTATTTGCTTTTCATTTTCTGAAAATTCAAATGAAATAGGAAGAAAAGATATTTCATTTTTCCTTATTTAGTGTGAAAAAATGCATAAAAATATTAATGTCTAGTATTGAAAAATGACGAGTAATTATAGCATGATTTCACTGTTTATTTTATGGATTTCAATGCATGAGATGAGATCCAGTGAAAATTTTCAATACCTTGAATTGCCAGTCATCAACCTGATGACAATATTTTATATGAGAACAGTGTTCATCCTGGGGAAAGTTCCACTGCCAACCATACATCTGTTTCTTCCATATTAAAAGTGGAAATGTAAGAGAGCATTTATTTAAGAATATTGTAATTAAGTTCGTTTTGAATGAAGGTCCTAGATATCTTCGTAAATTCTTTTGGCATCATACTGATGACTTGAGAGAGAAATCTACTTTCACTTGGGGGAAAAATGGAGCTCTAATGAATGACAATGGCTTGTAATAATGTTAAACTCGGCTTGGAAAAGGATTCTGGAACTCTTAACCAGATTTCTCCTTTATATTTCTGAGAGGAAAAGGAGCATTAAAGTTTGTCTCTCAAAACTTGGTTGTTATAATTGCAGGAGTTGATGGAATCGGAAACGTTCATGCTGTGCAACTCATCACTAAATTTGGTGCGTCAATATGCCATCCTTTTACTTTCATTTGGAAATGAACTCACATGGTCCTAGCAGTATGGAATCCTTCATGAGGTCCCAGCTGCTTAATGTGTTGCTTGGCTGTATCTACCTAGATTCAGAGAATGAATACACCATTCTATTAATGTGCAGTCCTCTTGCTAACTGAAGTAAAGCTAAATTTTTACAATGTTCATACTCTTTTTCTAGTTTACCGTTTTTTCCATCAAAGCAATATACAGATGTCTTTTGATATACTTGACTGTTTACAGGTCTTTCTATATGCACAACTTTCTTCTTGGTCACCTAAGTTTACATGTCTTTTTATAAACTTGATACTTTTCCTCAGTTAGTTCCTTGATACAGAGACAGTAATGCTTAATATGCTAATAATAAATCTCATTTCTGCGGACAGGCACATTGGAGAATCTTTTGCACTGTGTTGATCAAGTTGAAGAGGAGCGAATCAGAAAGGTAATACCATAGTAATTAAATGCTTGGTACAATAACATTTCATTCATATATCAACTTTTTGATAAAATTAAAAAAAGAAAAGCTAGTATAATTTTAGGGGGATAAGCTGAGGTTAACTAAGCTAGGAGATTATTTCTGATTGGTTGACCCTGTTGGCACCATCAATCAGAGTTTGAACTCTTCTAATGCTTCAGTTTGTTTTTCATGTGCACAGAAAAGCTTCATTGGATTACTGAGGATATCATACAATATTAGAAACATATTGGTTGATATAGTATAATCATTTGATATTGTTGCGTCAGAAAATTGATAAATCCAAATTAACAAAATAAAGATATGGTGAGATAAAATTTTCTTTCTGAAGAGAAACAAGATAACTACAATGCGTGGATAAGGAATCCACCACTGAGTTACAAGAAAAGAATATATGTTTTTTTTTAAACAAAAAAATAAAATAAAATATGACATGCAGGGTGTAGCAAAATTTATAGTCAGACAAACTGTTTAGAACTGTTCCTGGTAGCCACAGGGTGTATGCTTTGCTGCAGTATTATAGATTAAGTGTATGCTTTATTGTTCTTTTTTTTTGTCCTCCTTTGCCTTAAATGGCATGGAAAGACATTACCTGCAAACCAATTCATTAGTGTTCAGAACTTATAATGGCTAACTGACAATGCTATGCCTGGTTGTTCCCTGTAGATCTTGATAACAAGTGCTGATCAGGCTCTCTTGAGCAAGAACTTGGTAATCATATAGCTTTCTTTCTTCTTCCTCTTATTTTTTATTTTTTCGGTTTTGGGTTTCTTTTAGAGGAGGGATGGGAATTGGGGGGGCACGTATTTGTCATAAATAAATAAAAAAGAAAAAAGATACTGTTTTGTTTTTTCATATATATATATATATATGTATATATATAAGGGGAGATAATAAGTATTTTATATTAAGATTGGTTACACACTTCTAATCTTGACTGTTGGATTGCATTCATTAAATGTGTTGGTAGTCTCTTAGATGCAATCCAACGGCCGAGATTAGGAGTATGTAACCAATCCTTAACTTAAATACTTATTGGATAATGTCCCTACATATAAGCACATATTTATCTTAAAAATGAAGTGTTAGAAAGTTAATTATTATTTTTTTAAATTTCTGATAAATCAGAAGAAAAGAAGAATGCGTTGTAAATTTGGAATCTGTTATAATCACCTTAGAGTACATTCTTAATGTATGTTTGTTTTCGTGAGGGATTGATTGATGTGCCCTTGTAAAACATCCTTATGGGGCTGCAAACAAAGCTGCTCATGAACTGCGCAAGCTTGGTTTTTTCAAAAAGCCTGTTTTATTATTTTTTCTGTTGAACCACCAATTCAAGTTATAGCTTCTTTCCAAAGCTTGAATCCATACCTGACCAGTCTCAGCCATATATATTAATCTTCCAAGTTTAATCTTCACAAGCTTGTTTGTACAAATTGACTTTTTTCCGGTTTGAGTAACCATCTTTTTGATGTCATTTTCATTCATATGGCTAGTACTGTCTAACAACGTAACATTGTTTTGATATGTAATTGCTCTATATAATGACAGGCACTATTACGTTCTGACCTTCCATTCTACATGGTACCTTTCACCACAAAAGATCTGGCATTTCAAAAACCTGAGGTTTGTGCAATTTTAATAATACGAATCTTTTTCAAACAAAAAATTTGGAGTACAGTTAAGACAAACCCATAAAGCAAGTCATCTGAATACATCACTTTTCTTGTTTGATTCCAAATAGTAAATTAATTGACCACACTTAATTTGTGGTTTAGTGTTGCGTAATATCTCTCTACTTAGTTATCTTCAAATTTTAAGATATCCTTAGATGTTGCTTGAATTATTAACAGCTTCCAGAAACCACTAAGCTTATCAATGTTCAATTACATATAAAAATACAAAACTGTTGAATTTCATCTATATCCTGCTTAACTAATCTAAACATGAACACGTGCGGTTAGTATACAAAGCTAAATCTTCTTACAACTGACACGATAAACTAATTCATGTTTGTGCTTGTTCATGAGTATTGATTCAGAATTTTGGGTGGTTACAGGACAATGGGGAGAAATTCACGAGCCTCTTAACGGCTATAAGTGCATATGCGGAAGGATTTTCAGCTGATCCAATCATCAGGAGAGCATTTTACTTATGGAACAAACTTGGAAAACCATAATCAAGTTTTATAGTTTTTCAATGGGTCATAGTAGTAGGAAGCCGATGCTGGTTGCAAAAGTCAAAAGCACCAGAAATGCATCAACTTCGTATGGCCTATAGGTTCAACACTGGCCATCATTTCTCTTAGCAGTTTCATGTTTTGTGTGAATGTTATGTGTATATATAGTTCCTAGTTCTTCTAATTAAGTTAAATAGAAGAAAAAGGTTTTGAAATTACTTGCGGCCAATGATGCTTCAATTTTCTTTCACGCCCCCCAAAACTCCCCAATTCTCTTGTCTCACTTAAGATCCATTTGATAACCATTACATTTTCATTTTCACTGTTTTTGAAAACTGAGGTAACGAATTTTTCGTTTTCTATTTTCGAAAAAGTAAAACACTAGTTTCCTAAATCACCCCTAGTTTTGAAAATATAGCTTGCAAGTGTTTTCAGTTTTCGTTTTAAATTTCTTATTTTTACCTTCCATTATACTCCAGTTATACCAAAACTCGGTATTTGGGGCCTCCCTTACTTGGACCTTGCTGCTCAACTCGCTACGAAGTGATAAATTTCGAATTACACTTGTAATTGACTCTAAATGAAATGTCACTGGCTAACAATGACCTAATCTGAGGTACATAAAGGACCTTGGCCTTAACCGGGTCAACTTCAAGGGCGCCAAGATTATGAGACTTCATCGTCCTCAAGTCTAGGAGATTCAATACCATTGTTAGTAATATTTGTGCTCAAACGAATTTCATCCTGGAAACTGTTTGTAGAGAAGGGTCTAGCTTTATTATGTCTTGTTCCTTCTCTTGGTACTACATATGTCTATATTTTTCGGGGGAAAAAAATCAGAATTCCATTAATCCAAACAAACCAATACACGTCTTAGTTATGCAGTAGAGTGGCCTCGTTAAAATCACCCAATGCGACAAAACTTCAGGTAAGAAAAAGTGTCACACATGCTCATGCAATCAAACAAACAAGAAAATCACACAACAGGACTACCACACCCTGCGCATAATCCATAAGCCATGGGGGTCCAACATCCAACCAAAAACCAAGGCCTCGATCACGGAGACTAAACTTGGCCGGCTGATGAGCCACAATATTTGCATGTTTGAGAGATATGTGAGACCACCACTTGTGGTGCCGAGTGCAGCTATCTTCGAATCTCATCAACTAATCCACCCTCTTCCACAAAACACTCATCATTTGAGTTCACTAGCTTGACTGCTTGGAGGCTATCCGACTAAAGAAGCAGTGCCTCGAACGACGCATCAAGGGCAAAGGACAAACCAGTCTTCGTGGTGTACAGTTCGGTAGCCAACACGGACACCAGACCAAGGGCCCTCATAACCACTGCACCGCTTAAGACACCACAAGAGTCACAAACAACCACAGCAACCCCTCTGGCACCATCTTGTAAGTCAATCACATCACCAACGTTAAGTTTGTAATAGCCCGGCAGCGGCGACCGCCACCGTACCATGGGACCCGGCAAAGAAGTTCTCCTATGAGTCATAGCCCAGATTTCGATTTCTTTCCATTTGCTTTATATGTTTTTTTTATTGAATTGCAGTATCTAATTTTAATTATATCATTGCATATGTGCACCATAGATCAAGATTCAAGCGGACTTACAGATTAGAGTTTCTCCAATTTTATTTTCAACAGAGCTAGCCTAATTAAAGAAACAAAAATGCTAAGCTTACCACATTTTTCATACCACAATTGTACCACCTCTCTAATAGAGGTGGGCCCCATTGTATTGGTGGGCTCCACCTCTATTAGAGAGGTGGTACAATTGTGGTATGAAAAATGTGGTAAACCTAGCATTACTCATTTTGCAAGATTGAGGCCTTTTATATATATATTATTATTATTATTATTATTTTTTTTTATATACAAGCACAAACCAGGTTTTATGCTCTTTGTTTGTTGTTTAAATTTAGTTTTTTTTTCACTTACTTTGGTTAATTGGTTGTATTTGTTTGCTTTGTTGGTTGTGTTTAGCGTGTTTGCTTTGTTGGTTGTGTTTAGCGTGTTTGTTTTGTTCATTTGTTGTCTGTTTCACTTTCTAGACTTAAAGAGTTGCAATAAAAAATGGTTAGGAAATATGAATCTGGAAGTAAAAAAAGAACTAAAATTTGAGAAATATAGACAAAATGATTAAAACTAAAAAAGGAGCTCTTAATAACTTTTAAAAACTAGTTCAATTGAAGATTCATCTAATGATTTAGTTAATGAATCACAACAACCATGTAGTCAGGAAGAAATGATAGAAAATGTTGGAAAATCTAGATTTTGAAGACATTATTGATGATTTTGCTTCTTAAAATGCTAGAAGATGAAGAATTTTTTAGTGATTGTTTGTATTTTTAATGTTACTCATTTGTTTTTTGATTTGTAGATGATGTAATGGAAGTCAAAGCAGCTTTTTGTGTTCAATTAAGTGACTCAACTAAGTCACTTGAGAACTTTTGTTTTGTTGAAATGTTAGAAGCTATAACTATGAACCTAAATATGATTTTTGTTGTTTATGGATCATGAACTTTTATTTTGTTTTGTTGAATGAAACTATTCTCTTTAAGCAAAACAACATGAGCAAAGGAAAAAAACAATTCTTGCTTACTAAGGGCCTCATTTAATGCATGACCCTAGGGGGGCCACCAAAATGTCAGGGCCGGGCCTGACTCTTCCCATATATGACGGCTCCAACTACAACTAAACAAAGTATGTATGACTGTCTCCATTTTGACAGAGCAACATACACAGCATGTCTCGTTAATAATTTGTCGACGAGCAAGGGCTTCTCTTGTAGGCAAAAATATTATGTGCTAATCTCCAGAAAATTTAATATTTTAGGGGGAACTTTCAGCTTCCACAGGTTCCACAACTTAGAAGGTGAGGAGGAGCTCCCACAGAGATCAGTGAGGAATTTTTGGTTCTCTTAATCTCAATGGCAAGCCAATACCCATTCTTCACAGTATAGCGTCCATTCGCGGTGTAGTGCCACATTCTCCGGTCAAGGTTGCAATTGGTAAGGGGGATAGTCAGGATGATTTCAGCTTCCAAGAAAGTAAAGATGCTATAAAGTCTGGGCACATCCCAACCACCAGAAGCAGTGATTAACGTACTCACTACTGAAGTTGGTTCATCATAGATGCGAAAGAGAAGAAGAAACCAAAGGGGTTGCAAGAGATGAGCAACAAGGAAGGATAAGAAGTCGCAAGGAGGCAACAACATAGTAGGCGACCGGTCACTTTGGCCGAGCGACGAGTCGATTTTGGCCGAGAGCTCAAGTGTGATTTCTACTCGGAGAACGCTCGCCCAATCCCAACGACCGATCATCACGAGCAGTGTTACACGTTTCTTTGGCGTTTTTGGCATGTTTTGACGTGACTTCCTATTTTATTATGATTTCTTAGTCTAACGTAATAGGGTTTTGGTTTTCTATTCCTAGTTAACTTGTAGCTAAAGTCCTATGGATTATAAATAGGACTTTAGGTAAGGATTCTACTTGAGTTTGGATTTTAGACTTGGGATGCTCTTATCATGTGTGTTCAAATAGGAGTGTATTGGATACATACAAGGAAAAGAAGGGTAGCAAGATTTTTTTGGGAGACAAAACAAGCTGTGATGTTTTGGGCTTGAGAATAGTAAAGATCAAGATGTAAGATTGTGTTGTTAGGAGCCTTAGTGAGGTAAGACATGTACCGACACTAAGATGGAATCTTATTTCCCATGCCGCTCTAGATAGAGAAGTGTATTCGTACAAGGATGGAGAAGGGAAGCTCTTAGTCCACAAGGTTCAGTGGTGAATATGAAGAGGGAGATTCAACTTACGTTTATCAGCTTTTGGGTGTGGTACAATTGTAGGTGGAACACAAAATTCTACCAAGGACAAGCTTTGTACCAAGTTTAGACAGCCCCACAACCCTCAGTGAATTGCATATTCATAATTGTGATAGATTAACAAGTCTACCGAATGGGTTAGCATCCTGCTCGTCTCTTTCCTCTCTCGCAATATGGAAATGTAGGAAACTACAACAGTTTCTGACAGGGCTATAGTGCATATCACGGAATCTAAAATTGGTGGGTTCTGGGAGGAGTTTCATTTCTTCCCAAGTTTCCCAAATTTCCCAAGTTTTGAACAGCTGGAAAGATTAACATTGTGTGGATGGCCCAAGCTCAAGTCTTTGCCTCAAGAACTTTGGCGCTGCACTTCTCTAAGATTTTTGTATATAGCATCTTTTAATGGAATGGACTCTTTCCCGGAATGGTTGGGTGGCCTTACATCTCTTCGATTGCTGAATATTAAGAGTTGCAAGAATTTGATGCATCTGCCTACAGTCAGAGCTATGCAACGTCTCACTAAATTAAAAACGCTAACGATTTATGATTGTCCCCTACTAAAAGAAAGATGCACCAACGAGAGGGGCCTAGAATGGCACAAGATTTCTCACATTCCAATTATCTTGGTAATTATTTTATCTTCAAACCAATTGTATATGATTCATTCAATTTTGTTCTCACTTTTCATTTAGCTTTATTACTTGGAAAAAGAGATCAAAGAATTGGGGTTTCATTGCAAATATCTGCAACCATATCTATTAGTCAGCTTCTTTGGAGATAATGCACAAGCTATTTGGTGACTAATTTGATGAAAGTTAGCAATATTATTCATTTCCATTTAATCATAACGTGCAATTGATCACTTTCATGGAGAATATACAAGCTCTCTTAGAAATATAACATATATATTTGACTTTTATGTCACATATTTTATTTGAATCGTCATAAATATTTGAGATATCTACTTTTTCCAAGAAATGTTGTGTTGAATTTTTATTTTAGTTGTGAAATTTTTTGTATGCTTCAATTTTAGTGTCATTCTCAAGTTAAAAAGCCTCTTATTTTGCTACACTTTTCTGGTTTGGCAGTCCATTACAATTGCGGATGTATGGACTGAAGGGGGAATTATTTTGTCATCAGGAGTGTAAAAAGTTTCGTGACAGTGGTAGAAGATCTCCAATGATAATTTCACTTGCTGTTACATTGGTAGAAGATCTCCATCAAGAGTGTAAAAAGTTTCGTGACATTGTGGATGTATGAATTCTCTGTATTTAATTAGGTGAACTTATTAGGTGATTATCCTCTCAAAAAAGAAAAAAAAAGAAGAAAAAAAGAGAGAAGTAAAGAGGGAGAAGAGAAGACAAAACCGTTGAAGCCTATTTCATGTCATTCATAGCCATTTAACTCCCACTGTATCTCACCATTATTTATTTTCCACTAACTCTCCACCATTAACACATATTTAATCCAATTAATCCCTTATTTAAACCCATCATTACCCACCATGAATGTATTAACTTTCCACTCACCTCATTGACTACTATAAATCAACCATTAACTTATTTGGCAAGGACACCACTACGACAGATTTCTTTATCAATTTCATTCAAAATTTAGCTATGTTTTTCTTTATAATTAGTTGCCAGAACTCTAGCTAAGGCTAAAGGGAATGTCCTTTGAGTAAGTTTGTGAATTGTTCTTTAATCTAATTGTGAGAGCCTATATATATATAATAATAATTATTGTTATTCATACTACATGTTAATTATTTATTAATATGAAATTTTCTTATTTAAATATTTATTGTAAAGATTTATATGTAATTAAATATTAAGCTTAGTATGAGATTATCCCTTTAGTTGAAAGATACCATTCTTGTTATCCACGTGTAGAGACTTAGAAGGTTTTAATCAAATCATCATTGTCATGCCACCTTGCATGCTAGTAACAAGTGATGTTGTGATATCATTGACCAAAGGCGGATGACCACGCTGCAAGAGTTTTTGCATCTCATGCTAATCAAATCTTTTTATGATGATTATGGTGCACTTAGTGGCTGAGGAATGAATTCATTGAAATCACCACCAGCAATTGCAAAACCTCGATAACCAAGATTCAAGCCCAGAAAAACATGGAAGATAATGATGCACTGTACGAGATGCTCCTAGAAAATAATACAAGCTTTATATTCATGCTGCCGGAAGAGTGAACCCTCATGCCAGACCAAGCTATATCTTGATTCAACTCAACCATTAGATTATCCACATCCTTATAGCAAATCCAAGCTAATCATGCAAGCCAAGTCATGTTCTTCCAGCACCTATTCCACAATAAGTAAACACTGCTAGCACCTACTCCACAAGCAAAGAATTTCCAGCACCTATTCCATGCTAAACAAAACAGTTTCCAATACCTGCCCTATTTCAAACATCCTTCTAGCACATACCCTATTTCAAACATCCTTCTAGCGCATGCCTTATTTCAAACATCCTCCCAGCATATGCCCTATTTCAAACATTCTTCCAGTATCTAGCCATCATGTCGCACGTTATCACCTTAATTGAGGTTTTGTCTGCCAAATTCAAGTGTTTTGAGGCTGGTGCTGTAAACTCAAACACAATGGTTAATCAAAGCTCATTGTATCCACAACTCCAAGATTGGATCCCTACCATCCACTAGCATGTATGACTACTGTCAAATGACATCCACCATATCCCAAAAGCATACATGCCAACATCAAGCATACATGCCAATACCAAGCATCCAAACATACAAGCCAAAGCCAAGCGTACAAGCCAAAATCAAGCGTACACGCCAATGCCAAGCATACAAGCCAAATACCAAGCATACATACCAACATCAAGCATACATGCCAATACTATATATGCATATCAAAACTGAGCGTGCGAGCCAATATCAAGCATACAAAACTAATATCAGACACACAAGTCAATGCAACTCTTGCAAACCACAACCATGCAAAATCAAGCCTCTCTAGTCACTCAAGCAAATAAATCATGCGAGCTAAGTTATTTTGAGCTAATCCACTAAGCATTTTCTTCTATGTCATGCCACAAAATAAGTCAACTCTTGGTAACTCTAGTGAGTGACCTCCAAAATTACAGTATCTAGGAAAGTTCTTTAAGCGGGACCATTGAGACCCCTCCAACCTTCCCGAAAAAAACCTAGCTGTAATTTCAGAGACACTTAACTAGTCATCCTTGAGTTGTTCCTAAACCCATGCCACTGCCATTTATTTTGGGCTGGAAATTGATTATTCAGACCATTTCAATACACATTCATGGCCCCAATAATCAAGGGTGGGCCCAAATATATTTCTAGCATAGTACGACACTTAACTTGGGAAGAAACCCAACTTGGGTACGCAAGAGTTCATCATATGTGCTTGCAAACGTGCCAGGCCAAGCAAATGAGCAACACGCCATGCTACAAGCTTAAGTGAGCCCAAGCCACGTGAATGTCTAGGGCTTGTTGAGCAAGTTGTGGTATGGATAGTTACGAGCATTCACGAGGCCCATTAATGGGCTAAGAAGTGGAAGTTTTGGGCTGCTTGGGAGTCCCCAAATTCAAGCCCATTTCTTGAGCCCAAATATGTGGGTAAGCATGAAAGAGAGAAAAGGGTAGCTCATTACCCTAGAAAATTGGCCCATCACCTTAGTAAAAATAGTCCATTGGCCCATCCCCTTAGTAACTAACCTATTACCTTAAAGAATGGCCCAAGTGACCAACAAAATATCTGAAAGTCTCCAACACATGGCTAGAGACAAAACAATGACAAAAGCCAAAGGTTACCTATGTATGCAGGCTACTGAGAATCTCCAGCACATGGCCAAAGACAAATCCCAACATAAGCCATCCAAAAAACCAAAGGATACTTGAGCAAAACACCCTTTAGACCAGCGCCATTACCCACTCATTTCTCCTACCAGCTCTTGCCATGAAATAAGGGAGGAAAGAAGGAGAGATGGTAGCCAAATATAGGAGATTTCTACAGGGATAGCTGCGAGAAGACTCTAGAGCTCTTAAAAATCTTGTTGTTGTGTATTTGGATTGAGGGAGATTTCATAAAAAGAGGTTGAATCAAATGAAGAGAAGAGAAATGAAGGAGAAGACTTGGCAAAATTGGAGAGAACCAACTAGGGTTTTCTTGGGAAGAATGAGCTTCTAGCGCTTATAAAAGGGAGGCACCTTCTACCCAGCAAAAAGACTCGAAAAGAGTAAGCAACCTACATCTAGAGAGCAAGCTTCATCTCTCATCCTTGGAACCCTTCAATTTCGAGTTCTATTCCTCCATCTCTTCTTATTTTCTCTTATGGCAAGCCATTCCAGAGTCTGACAAAGATTTTGTCAACCTACCAGAAAATTGCTCAAACCATCCACTTCTCCTCCCTCATCTTTCTCCCCCTTTCTCTCTCCTCAACGAATCCTTTTAAAATCTCTTCCCCCTTGCTTTAAACCTCTGTTTCTCATAGGAAATCACAGCTCTTTCTCTTTCATGCTAAACTCATGAGTGCTTAGCTTCCATACCACAAGCTTCTCAAGCCAAGCCAAAAGTTTATCTGTAAGCAATTGTTGGTTTCATTGGTGAAGGAGACCAAGTTGTTTCCTAAGGCTCAATTACCATTTCGAAACACTCTTTGGGTCTAATCTTTTAACTCAGACTCAGGGGGCAAATTTACAAATTTGGCTTTTTACAGCGGCCCAGGCCCATCAGTAGCTGTCGAAACGAAAAAGCCCCCACAATGGACACGTGACAAATGAAAATCTTATTCGAAAATTTAACCGAAAAATTCATTTGAATTATGAGATGTGAATTTTATAATAAATAACACGTGGCAACCGAAAATTTTATCCGAAAATCTTCTCCAAATTAATCGTTTAAGTTAAACAAAAAAGTTAAAGTGAATAATATTTTCCTTTTGCCATGACAATGGATGGAAACACAACAAACCTTTTACTGCCATTATTCATGTGAATAATAACAGCCCTTGCCTTGCCCTTACCCTTTACCATGACAAATGAGTAGAAGTGCTTTTAACCCCGAAGTTTGAAGGCTGATGTTGTTTTGTTTTATGTTTAATTTTTATTAATTTTGTATTTTATTGGGAGTTAACAGTGTTATTGTGGGAGTTAAGTGGGTGGACAAGTGGCAGACAGTTGGATAGGGAACACACACGGAGTAAACTTGGAGACAGCATATCGGCTCCCGCACTGCAGAGACTCGGGGTCCTTTTCTCGTTTCGTGCTTCGGCTTCTGGGCGTCTTTCTCGAACCGAAGAAGATAATGGAAATAGCCGTTAATTGTTCCCTCTTCCTGGGTTTAAATCCTAAGGTAACCTAACCCTAACCCGTCCTCTTTTTGTTTTGTTTTTTCCTTTCTTGTTCTACATATCAATTATATATGACATTGTCGATTCAATATTGCACAAGAAAAATTCAGATATCATCAGTACCCAACTATTGGCTGGTGGGCTTTTTGTTTTTTTGTTTTTGTAACTCTGGTTCCCATGAACTATGAAATTGTCTGTGTGCTTTTGTGTGCTGGATGTGTTAATAGTATGTTGTTTGGATTTCCTTAGAACTCTGTTCTTGGGTGTAATCCTGTTCAGATCCTATTGAACCCAAAAGCCAAGTATTTGTGTAATAATGTGTATTGTTGTTTCTTTCAGTGATGTTAAAGGAAAAGAAAAAAGGTTTTTGCTCTGCTCTACAGCAAATTTTAGCTTTACCAAACCTTTTTCTTGGGTCTTTCTTCATGTCTTGTACCATTTCTCTTCTGATTTTTATTAGTGGTTTCATAGTTTACTACAATAACCCATTTGATTGCTGGAACTGAGAGTAAGTATATACATTTTGGAATGAACACCCGGAGAATTATAAGTCACTTTACCCTGAAAATGTTATCCAACAAAACAAATGTAGCCTTCAACTGACCTAAGTTTTGTACAGATAATTAGAAACAATCGGAGGATCAGTGCATCTATTCCCAGCCTTACTTGCAGGAGAACAAAATTCTCCCATCAAATCATGTATTCTGCTCTAGCACTTAGCAGAAGGTAATCAATATATTCACTATTTACCCCTTTAGTTTTTGCGTGCAAATCTGAATGCTCATCACAGTTTGCATGTATTCACCAATGTTGTAGTGCAATGTTAGAACAATTGGAGATCCTATCTAGTTTATTTATATATTTTCAACAAAAATGTAAAATGTAATAGACTCATTTTGTTTTATTTCACTTGAGTAGACTCGGTTTAATATCAATGGACCATCTTTTTCTTTCGAGATTCTTGTTCAATAATGGAGAGTTAAATTGCAATATACCCTTGCATTCTTCTGATTGTTAACAGTTAACCTACTTTTGGTATGATTACTATTGACTAAACTAATCTTTCAGTTCTAGCTGCTTTGTTTCACCCTAATCTATCCATCTTTAGTAATATAAAGTCACATGCTATGCATGTGTGAAGTGAGAAGGTAGTTATTTCAATTTGCAGATGAGTGGAGAGCGAAGGTGGGTAATTTAAAACTAATGGCTAATTACTATTTACCCATATTCTTTAATATTAATATGAAAAGGGCACAAGGAGGGGCCTCTTACATATAGTATAGTATCTTAGGATTTTTGTTTAACATAATATGCTGTTATAATCATTGTGCTCTGTTTTTTTTGCTTTTCTGGGTACTTTCTATCTCTTTTGCTTGATTAAGTTCTAGGGGCAGACTAAGAGTAACAGTGTTTTATAAATGAGTGAACTTGATTTATCTTGATTCCATATTTGATTTTTTGAATTTCCATTTCATTTTACAGGGAAAGTAATAAGTATATTCCTGCAATTTGTGCTGTGTTATCAGGTGCAGTTGTTAAGTATTTTCTGTCAAGTTCTAACTTCTAATCAAACCTGTGCTAGTACTTTCTTATTCAATTGCTAAGTAATTTGTAAACTCTTGGTTTTATTAAACATAGGCACAGAAGACATTGGAGTATCGTCTTCTCAGTTTGAAGATGTTCCTATTACAGTTACTACTTCAGGTGCCAGTGTTGCCGGTGAACTAAAGGTATGTTTTTAAAAAAAATAAAAATCTTTTGGGAAGCTTTTATATTTAATATTTTCTGGAAGGTTAGTAAGAACATGACATTCTGCACTGCCCTTTGAAAAAAATTTACATTCTGCAGTGGACCGTCGAAGTGAAAAGTATGATAATGCAAAGATATTTAATGGCATAAACAGTGATCATGATGACCTTTGCTCTCTCTTCTTGTTTGATGATAAACAAAATTCTATGGTAGATGGTCGCAATTGTTTTATACTGTTACAAATTTTGACCACATAAATTCACACTTTTTTTCATCAGTTAAACGTAGAGGTATCTGGTGCTAAAACTCGAGCAATTTTTGACGAAGTTTTTGACAAAATGGTTACTGCAGCCCAACCAATACCTGGATTTCGAAGAGTGAAAGGAGGTAAGATTTTAAAAGTCTATTATGTTCAAATAGATTACTTTTGGGTCATCTTCATTCTTCAGATGACATCATAGTTAATTGAGTGGCTTTCATCATATTTTAGACTGATCTATGCTATGGTTTGGTAGTATGGATAATAATAATATCTCTGCATAACCTAAAGAGATCTGTATTTGCCTCCAGTTCAGAGTTTGACTCTGCATATATTGAGCGCGTGCTCTGTTGTAACAAATTTCCATAGTCGATGAGGATGTTAGATCTTTGCTCTCGCTGCCGTACATTTCCATTCTGACTGTTAACAAACATGTGACGGTAGTTCAATCTTGTGAGGGTAGGGATGTAACTGGTATAATAGTTACCAAATAAAAATTTCATAAACATCTTCTATGGATTAAAATTATAATACCCTGCTGACCTCTTCCAGTCCTCAACCATTCTATTAATTTCTTACTCCAGTTGCCACCCTAAATGATAAAGTTGATTTGCCGGGATCATTTATGTAATCCTTCTATTAGCAGTAAGAAGAAAATTTAGCACATATATTAAAAGGTATGTATGGAAATTACAATATCAGATTGAGAACAAATGTTTTGTTGTGTTGTAACTTTGAAATTAGGAAGCACTTTGTAATGAAGCTTCTTGCAATGAATTACTAAAGACATGATTTTCTATTGAATTTGATATCAATTTATATAATAGAACTGCTGTAGAAACACTGAACTCAGAAACAAGATATGACAAGACAAAAGAAGAGCAACAATAAAGTTGCCAGGTTCTTCCTTTTTGCTTTGCTTTAGTACAGCTAACTAATTTGACTTCTAGACTGAATTACCTCTTGTGTATGTTGTTTCTTCTACACATTCCTAACTTCTTTTTCTTCATTTCTTCCCCTGGCTATATGTCGCTGACAAATCAAATCTCAATTACCAGGGAAAACACCCAATGTAAGTTTTTAACTCGAAGCATTGGTTATGCAGTTGATATGCTGAGTTGGATATGATTAATATCTAATGGAACTTCAAGCGTAACTAAAGTTTTTTCTGCCACATGATTGCTTGCACCTCCTAGCTCAAAGGGCTTTGAGATTTTTCTGGGGAGGAACACCCCGCCTGCAATTTATATCTTACTTCTGTAAATTGTATATATACGTCTTCATATCATATACAATCTCGTTTTCTTATCTTGAGCCATGTTCTCAGGGCTTTAGCTGCAAAACTTCAGCATGCTGGGTGGATTTACCACATATCATATGTGCAAACACATGCACAGATTAGTTCCTTACGCTATCAAGGCCAATTGGTCAGCCAAAAGAACTTGTTTTTAACCTTGTCCATCCCAGACATGCTTTTCTTTGTTTATAAATTATTAACCCTGCAAATGTAACTCTGACTGTTGTCTCCCTTCTGCGGATGTGACCATTGCATATGCATCAGCAACTTTTTTTTTTTTTTTTTTTTTTGATTACACACTACACAAAAAGCTACTGGCTCCCTTCGGCTCCCTTCACAGAGAGAGAGAGAGAGAGAGAGTACACTGGCACACAATAAATTCTGTATCTTGTTAATTGTGAACGCAGATACATTTTTTTTAATTTGCCTTATTTTCTGTCTATCAGATACCCAGAGACATTTTGCTAGAAGTCCTTGGACCTTCTAAAGTTTATAAGCAAGTAATCAAGAAAGTGATCAATTCTGCGATAGCTGAATATGTAGAGAAGGTAGTTGTTTGGTATTCTGATTTTTATTTTATTTTTCCTTGTACATGCTTCATGCTCGCATATTGTTGTTAGGTTAACTATGAATAAGCATACTTGTTTAAAATGATTAATGTTTACTAAATTTGTCCTGTTCTTTGTATCAAAGATCTATTGCTATCAGCCTAACAGAAACTCCAAACGTCTTTGCAATTTGACCAGTGCATGACATCATATTTAGTATGCATAGAGTTGAATCCGGTTATAGTTGTACCACAAAGTGTGTTCTTTCAAAATAACTGCGAAACTATAGTTTTGACACTTTGTTTATAAATTTTTATATGATCCATTACTTGTTTTACTTACTAAAACCTCACTTCACTTTATAAGTAATTTATCGGATTGAAATTTTGTGCACCATATTTCAGTGACGATCCCAATTTCCTTTGTTTGATGGGCATCATAGTTTTTGAGTAGTTAGTTACCTTAGTTGAAAGAAGGTACCTTTGTATGAAAAGGTTGACGTTTTCTTATTTATAAATGTATGAAAGTATTCTTCATAAGCGTCTCAAAATGCTGCTCCTGGGAAATTTGTTCATCTCATTCTTTTATTCTCAAGGCATGTACGTGATCTGCATGTGTTTGTTTTTCCTCCAAGAAAATGGATCTCGATAAGCCCTGAGGTTGTATTGTTTTTATTTTTTAATTGGTGCAGGAAGGTTTAAAAGTTAGAAAGGACTTGAGAGTGGAGCAAAGCTTTGAAGATCTTGAAGTTGCTTTTGAACCAGGTGAAGATTTCAGCTTTGATGCTGTCATTCATCTTCCCTAGGGAACGAGACAATATGTATATTTTCCTTTACCATTCTTCAATTTTTGTACATACTTTGTTTAAATCTCAAGCAAAGTTATTACATATCCATGCCTAAACTGATAAGCGGATCAGACTGGAAAACAGAGAATGATAGAGCACCTTGCATTTGATTTGCCAATTTAGTGTCTTAATACTTGTATGTCTGTTTAGAAAGACATAATATTCAACGTTAAAATGCAATGCTCATGCCTATATAGAAAAACCCACAAATTTGCTATGTACAACCAAACGTGTTGAGCCAAAATCAAAGGCGAGGAGGTTGATGAGTTTTGAGATTTATTTACATCAACACAAGTAGCGAACTTAACGGAAAACGTGTGTTGGTTATGGATTTGGCACAAATTTATTGGAGGTGGGTACATTTGATCTACCACATCCAATGACCAAAATTGTTGAAGTTCGGAAATGTCTAATTTCCCATGTGGGAGGAAGTTCACAACCTCAGCATATCCTACCCTTTTTCTTTTTCTCCTAAGTTGGGAATTCTTTGATGGAGCTTCTCTTCTTATAGGACGGAACATTGATCGTTATTTTTCAATGACGATCAACAATTACTAATTTTCATAGATTTGAATGAAAGTTTGCATATCTGCATTGGTCTTATAACGATTTTCACGAATGTCGACTATAACATGTCCAAATTTGAGAGCATGCAGACTCGTGGTGTAGCCTTATCGGACACATCAATGATTAGACACATATTGATGTGGTAATGCTAACTTAAAACATAAATTCTGTCATTTCTTTCAAGCCATGGGAGCAGTCCATATCATGGAGGGCCTCACTCTCCATGGACTTACTGGAGCCTAGAATATTTTCCACATGCACGTACGTTATAAACAAAGAATCCTTCAGAAACGATATGAAACTGAACTCGTGTCCCAGATCCCTTCTGGCACCGGCAACTCCACAGCTGGTCTGAATGAGGGCGAGGTAAAGAGCTAAGATTGCTCCCAGAGATGAAACGCCCACCACCCAGCTGCTTAAATAGTGGCAAGGGCGGAACCAGGAATTTTTGGACTGGTGGGCTAGCTAAATTTTTTAACTAAAATAAAACTATGCATTAAATCATATAAACCATGCTAATAGTATACATTAAATCAAATAAAAGTATAAACCAAGCAAAGTATGCATTAAATAATATGTTCAACAACATAATTAAAAGTGTACTTATTGAAGTTGTGCCTTGCGATCCTTGAGAGAATTGAAATCTTTTGTTATTACATCTGAATTGATATTGTCAACAAGTTCTTTTTCAATGTAGACAACCATAGAATCTGCTAGAAAATCATTCTCCATCTTGTTGCGAAGAGCTGTTTTAACAAGTTTCATAGCTGAAAAAGCTCGTTCAGTAGTTGCCGTAGAAACAGGGAGAGTTAGCACAAGACGGATCAACCTATCAATCAAATGATATTTTTTTGACCTTTTTGTTTCAACTAATCCCCGACATAATTCAGAGAGTGTAGACACGTTTTGAAGTACAGGATGATGAGGTACGTCCACCTCATAAAGTTTCAGCTGGCATCCCAAAATATGTAACTCTATTTGACGTATCTTGTGATTCATCAACAAGGATACAAAAAGCAGCATGCCCAACTTCTTCACGAATTTTTTTTCTCACTTTGTTTGCAAGAATATTTAAAATCTCCTTTTGAATCTTGGGTGAGGTATATTTTGCATTTCCTGGGGCATTCTCTAAAACAACTCCAGCTACCTCATCATTAAACTTTGTTGTATGCTTGACCATTTCAATAAAATTTCCACGATTTTTAGAATCCAAAGATTCATCATGACCCCTAAAAGCACATGCCTGATATGTAAGCCATCGAACACACTCTATCGTTGTCTTGAGCCATAACCGGTTTTTCAAAATGTCTTCCTTTGATTGTTGATTAATAACTTTGTCGACATGTTGAGATGGGTTCATCAAATCCTCCATACGTCCTTCACAAGTATTATGTGATGAAGATGGACCTCCAACATGAGTCAAAAATACACAATTCTTTCCATCATTAACTCTTTTCCAATTGTTAAAACCCTCAGTAGTTAATGCAGGACGACCATTACCAAAAATAAAACAAGGAAAACAATAGACTTTATCTTCTGAAGGGGAATATTCTAACCATGGAAATTGAGAGAACCAATAATATTGAAATCGACGATATTGCGACCCAAACTGAGACCTTGGATATTCTAATAATTTTGGTTGGTAAGGCCCAACTTTGATATAAGCACATCGAACCTCATCACGTTGATTAATAGAGTATTCAGATATTTGAATACGTTTCCCAGGGTCTCGTTCCAAAAAAGCAACATCAAACTGGTTAGGTTCAACTAGGGGAGATGTGTGATGAGGTGACTCAATTGATGGTGAAGCCTTATCATTGAATGTAGAAGCCTTGTCATTGTCTAATTTATCACCATAATTTTTTTTCTTGAAGAATGAATCAATAGTTTTTGCTCTTTTACTTGCTTGGTTCTGATGTGACATTATAATCTAATAACACATATCAAAAACAGAACAATTTAATTTATACTAAACAAATCAATGAAAAAATAATAATAATTCGAGATTGTGGAGAGTTAGATACCTTTATTACGCTTGTTGACGATGAACTCGACTTTGGTAGCACAGAATACAAAACACTGCAAATATTCTTTTGGGACTGCTAGGGCTAGGGCTAAGTTTCATAAATATGAATATCGTCTTCTTCTTTTTTTATTAGACTGACTAAGATACTTATAAAGTTGCGTAGGACAAACTAGGCTAGGAATAGGATACTTCATCATATCAGACTAGGATACTTTATTCAATGGGAAACTAGAATACTTTATTGTATAGGAAATAGACTACACAACTTAAAATAATAATAAAATAATAAAAAGACAACAGCAGCCAGCCACCAATGGTCCAATGCATTAGCCACGTAACCCACGCTGGCCCTCATAAATTAAGCACAACCACTAATTTTTTTTTTTTTTTTTTTATTTAAAAAAAAAGTCCCTGGGCTAGAGCCCACTCTAGCCCATATGCTAGTTCCGCCCCTGAATAGTGGTGCACCAAAACTGCTCTTAATCTTCGGCCAGACTATAATGAGGGGTAAGTTATAAGGGGTAAGTTATAAGGGGTTCACTTTATAGTCATTGGATCAATCGAAGGGCTGGGGAGAATTGGGATAAAGTTGTGCAATCGGGTAGGTGAGGAACCCAAACCCGAATTTAATATCCAGCAATGAAGTTGGTCCCAACAAAAAAAAAAAGAGAGGCAAGTTCGAAGTTTGAACAGAAAAAAACCCACTGATCTCAAACTCATAGCTGAGAGAAACCGCTAAGCTCTGAGAAACGGTTGAAGGCAACGGGCAACGACGGTTGAAGGCAAAGGTTAACGACGGTTGAACGCAACTCCACTATCTAAACCGTGAAAAAGTATTTATTTTGAGTGGAAGGAGCAAAGGCGTGGATTCTGAAACAGTGAAGACGAAGCAGTGGAAGGGGAAGGAGAGAAGCCGTATTCGTTGGAAGTGATAGGTTCCATTTGTGGAGCAAAGCCGCACAAAGACCCAACACAGACACCTTGCGATTGTTCAATAACCAGCATTTGGTGAGTAATTTATGGAATTTGAGTTTAGGGTTAGAGTAACCGTTTTCCCCAATTTGTAGCATGAATGTTGTTAGATTTGGCATCTCTTCTTTGTGCTTCACTTGCATGTTAATTTTTGCTTGGGTATATGTTAAAAAACGAATGAATATAAAGTCAATAACATGTCAATAACATGTCAATAATGATATGAATAAGGTAATGGTGTTGAATTGGAGGAGGCCCTCAAAACCTTCCACATTTGAAGCAGTGCAGAGTGCAGATTATCTTTCTGGAGCTAGAATATATATAATTTTTGAAATAAATATTATTTCCGTTGTTACTAAATTTGCCTGTTAAAAATGAGAACAGATAATAATAAACTCATGAATAAAAGTGCAAAGCATTTGAAAAAAGGTTGATCTATGACGATTATGGCTGACTGAAGAAAAAGCTAGAAAGAAAGAAGGATGTGGCAATGGCTTAGCGAGCAGATAGCAGAGCAGATGCTTTGCTTTGCTTCCTTCCACCATCTTTCTCATTTATTTATTTATTTATTTTGTGTTGTGTATGAAATGACAATAATTGTCATGTGTGTGAAGTGCAGAACTTGCCTAGATTGCACTCACACTCACTCATGCATCAACCATTGATTGGAGTTTGGATCCATAAATAAAACACATGCTAGTGCTTGTAATTCACAGAATCATTGCATTAACAGGTATTTGCACAAAATATGTCATATTGCTTTGATGATGTTAAAGCCTGTGATCAGTAATCCCTATGCGCATGTACTTTGTAAAATTTGTAATGTGCTGGTTGACTAGTTGTGTAAATACCAATGTGATTGTGCAAATACGTGGTAGTATATGTGTTCACGTTATTTCATCTTGTATTTCAGGAAATGGGATCCAACGTTGAGCTGGTATGGCCAGAGTCAGAGGCATATTCCTCACGGGTGAACAACTGCTCACATGCAAATTCATCCCTAGCTGTAATTCGAGCGAAGTTGAGTGCCGAACAATTAGAACAATTCAAGACATCATGCTTTGGCCATCTTCTGAATATAGATAAGATTCAGTTTAGCGGGCAGATTGTGCATGGGGTTGTGTTGCGTAGAGTAGCGGGGCAGGGTGTGAAAGACTTGGATGGACTGAGTTTCTTAATAGGGTGCGACGTTGCTCAGTTCACTCGTCAGGATTTCTGTTTGATCTCAGGGCTTCGTTTTGGGGAAGTGCCTGAAGTTTCCAGTGGAGAAAGTGATGAAATTAGACTTCAGAAAAGATATTTTATAGACGAAGGAATTACATGTAATGCTTTAGAAGAAGCATTTGTGAGGTGCACAGAGGAAGATGACGTCTACAAGCTAGCTCTTGTTTACTTTGCTGAGTTAGTGGTTTTGGGAAGGGACAAACATTTGAACATCAATCTAAATTACCTGACCCTTGTAGAGGACTTGGATGCGTTCAACAGGTTTCCATGGGGTTCGGTGTCGTTTGACAAAACCCAAGACAGTCTGTTTTCTGCACCAACAAAGTATGTGAAAAGCTTTGAAAATGAAGAGGGAAGAGGGAAGGGGAAATGTAAGGTAACCGGAACAAGCCGGAGAAATGAGAAGGGCAAGAAGGATAACCATGGTGAAGTGCAAAGGGGTGGGTGGAGTTTTAAAGGTTTCACGTATGCTTTCCAGGTACATGGTAATAATGTTCATGTCGTTATGTTTTGTTGACTTTAAAACTTAAATAATAACTTGTGTCCTGTGAATTGTGTAGATTTGGGTATATGAATTAATTCCTAGAATGGTGGACCTGAATTACTGCAAGGTTGTTGATCCGACAGCTCTCCCGCGTATTTTGCGATGGAGAACTACTACGTCTGTTCCCGAGATGAGAAAGTTGAACAATTATTTTTTCCAGAGCAAAGAGGTTTGGTTTGCAGCCCTTGGAACTATTTATAAGATTCAATGAAATTATGAAGTAGAATGATTGCATATGACTCTTGTCTGTTTTCTGAAACAGTCAGTTCAGTTGCGGGCGCTATGTCCAAGTGAAGAGGAAATGAGACAACCATATTGGAGTTGGCCACAGGGTCGCCCTGCTGTTGTCTCGGCAGAGTCAATTCCTTCTTCATGTGCTGACCTTGATGAGTTGAACAAGGCGGTAAGCTTGTTGAGGTCCGAGTTGTTTCAAGTAAAGCGGGAAAAGGACGTCCTTGAGTTAAAGGTCATACGGATGGAAAAAAATTTGGGCCACTGTTTAGGTCCTCATTTTGAGCAGGAAGTGAGAAGGGACATAGCTTTACTGAAAGAGAGGACGAATCGTTGTGTCGTGTCACATCTATTTAAGGGATATAAGGAAGTGGATGGCATGCAATGGGATGAAGGGCCAAGTAATAGAAATGAAGGAGAGGCAAATGAAGAGGAGGACATTGAAGGGGGTGAAGGGCCAAATAACAGAAATGAGGGAGAGGACAAGGAAGAGGAGGGGATTGAAAGGGGTGAAGGGGCAAGTAAGACAAATGAGGGAGAGGAAAAGGAAGAGGAGGGGATTGAAGGGGGTGAAGTGCCAAGTAAGAGAAATGAGGGAGAGGAAAAGGAAGAGAAGGGGATTGAAGGGGGCCAAGTGCAAAGAAAACCAAGGGAGGTAGAGGAAGCTCAAAGGAAAAGAAGTGAGGGAGAGCAAGTGAAAATAAAAAGCAGCAAAGGAGAGGAAGCGCAAAGAAAGAGCATTGAGGGAGAGGAAGAACTGCAAAGAAAAAGCAGTGAGGGAGAGGATCCAAAAAAAAAAAAAAGGGCAAGGAAGTGAAAAGACAGAGAAGTGAGGAAAAGGAAGTGCAAAGAAACCAATGTGAGGAAGAGAATGATGAAGTTATGTTGGTTGGCGATGACATTGGCGAGAGCACGGAGGGGACAAAGGTTGAGGTTACTGTCGGGGACATTGATTTGGATCAACCTAGAGCTGTGTTATCTCAGTTGAACGTTTGGTTGAATGATGAAGGTCAAGGTGTGGAACGAGGGGTCCAATTACGGAAGAGGAAGAGGATTATTCCTATGTGGAAGATCGTTGAAGCTAGTGAAGTGGTTAAAAAAAATTTGCCAAAGACAACCGGACTTCGGACGTTAGACCCAATGAAGGCGATTCCGCATGATGATATGGTGAAATTGCTGAAACTTTGTTCGGAATGGCGCCATAACCCAAAGTAAGTCCTTTGTTTTTTGAGATAGAAGGCATGAGTGTATATATTTTGTAATTGTTGTGTTCTAAAACTTTTTTATATTCATAGTTTGGTGATGCAATTTGGCAACGTGGAAGCTGAGATTGAATTCTTCGCTTCCCTCGTCAAAGCTGACGGTTGGCTGAAAGGAGATGTAAGTTTAATTGATTATGCATTTGTTTGAATGTGCATAGATAATGAGATTGACAAGGAAAACATGTGCAGCACATTGATTTGGGCTTGTATCTCATCCGGAAGCGACAACAACAGTTGGAGGAAGTAGAAATATCGGATTGGACAACGACCGATGTATTTTTTATGGTATGTGATGCAGGATGCATAGGACCTAAATTGTTTAGTTTCCTAATTGATTGGTTAGTTTCCTATATTCTTTAGTTTTCCAAATCCTAGTAGGATTTCTAAGTTAGTTTTCCAAATCCTATTAGGATTTCTAAGTTTCCTATTTTATTAGGAATAGGATTTCTGTTTTACCTGGGGATTTTAATTCTATTCTCTCTAGGTTTTAGTTTGCTATAAATACCCCTGTGTAGTTCTTTACAATTCAGATTTGAATATTGATTAAACATTCCTTTAAACTCTCTGATTTCTGCCTGCCTTCTACCTTTTCTTCCCTTCAGCTTTTCTTATCTGTTATGTCTTATTGCTCTAAGTGTTTAAACTAACACACCCAGGGCTGTGCTACATCAGTATGGCATAGGCCTTGACCAAGTGCAGTTAATAATTACAAATTATCCATACTTGCTTTGTGGAGTTGTTTAACCATTGATTGTTTTCTATTTCACAGAATCACATCCATACTTGCTTTGCGGATAATAAAAGGAAAAAAAGAGCAAGTTGGGTGGAAAATTAGAACCAGTTTAGTGAACGTTGTAAATGGCAAGGTTCCGGCTTGTGGATTGGATTGGCAGAACACGTATAAGGTGTATGTACCTTGTATGTTGCAAAAATATAAGCATTGGGTGGCTCTAGAGATTGATCTGATTCAGTGTGAAATCAAAGTCTACGATTCAATGGTTTCACTCATTCCAGATCAGAGCTTAAAGGAAGAACTCGGCCCCCTGTCAATTACGATTCCAAATCTTCTGCACACCCTCGACTTTTATGAAGAAGGTGTTTACGCGAACGAGTGCACCCGAGATTGGTGGTGTCCATGGCCAATACATCGTGTGGATGTTCCACAACAGGCTAATCAGTGAGCACAACTTTTTATTTAATTTATTACTTTAATTTGTCAATTATGTTAGAATGTCATTAGTTGAATTGATCGAGTTCTTGTTTTGCTTCAGAGGCGATTGTGGTATGTTCGTGTTGAAGTACATTGAGCTGTTGAGTGCTGAGATTTCCTTAGCTACTTGCACCTCGCAGAACATGCCATTTTTTCGGTTGAAGTTGGCTGCAGAAATTGCACGGGGAGATGCTTACATGCCATGATATCGGTTGAACTTGGTTTAGGCACATGATGATGAAATAGGTTTTGGGAATGTCAAATTTCAAAGTCATGTAAATACACAATAGAGACCCATGGGTCCTTTTCGAATTCCACCTCTGCTCCTGAATTCTTCTTCGTCTTTCTCAATCTTAGTGTATTTGTGTACAGAAATTTAGATTTAAGTTACTGGACAATAACAATTAGAACCAAAATAGTGGCAAATATTATAGCGGATGCATGCTTTCATTTTGATTAGTGTGATATTACGCTATGTGTATTCTCATATTGTGCAAAATGTATATGGAGCTGGTTGCAGAGCATAGAAAAATGAAGACTCTGAAATGGAGATGCTGAGGGTTGGAGAGGAGAAAAGTAACTGGATCTGTAAATCTATTGCACGTGGGCAATCTAAATGGATAGGCAGATGCGTTTTTGAAGTTAGACACATGCCATTCCCATACATAGAATGTGCATATGGAGTGTAAAGTTTTTTTTGATGTAATGAAACAAACATCGGTGTAATATTGGCCTAACTCCTTCACGACATTTACCTAACCTCAACCAAACTGCATTGAATTGGGATTTGAAGACTGCATATGTGAATTTGGATTTGAAGAATGCATATTCACATACGGACTGATGGCTTTTTAAGTGTATTACATCATTGCAAAGTGATATGTCATCATTTATCCAAGCCACCATTCCAAATATCAGATCCCAATCTTTAAGCCGTTCAACATGCCTTGACTTAATCGCAATGGGTTGCATCTTAAGGTAATTCTGTAAGGGGAATAGGCTGCTATGGCCTCGCCTCCAATATTTTATTCAACCATGCCCTCCTTATAGAAACACATGAAAAATGTCCCCAGGTGCAATGCTCTAAAAACTCCCTATTGGTTCCGCACTGCCCCTCGGGTTTGAATCCCTCTCTCCTTTATAATCGGTTTATAAATTGGTTGATTTTCTTTATTTTATTGGTTTTGGGCAGCTGAGTAACATAACAGTAATGTATATTGGTGCGTCTATATTGCATGTCTGTTGGGTCTATATTGCTTGTCTATTGCGTGCATATCTTTACATTTATTGCGTCTGTATTGATTTGTATTGCTTACGACGGAAATAAATAACAATACACAGGCAACAGACAAGCAATATACACGCAATAGATATGAAATATACACGCAATAGACATGCAATATACATCAGTCCCCAATTACATCAACCATAAGGAAGTCGTATTGAATAGGAAATTCTACTTAAGTTGTTCTTCCTACGAAAACAAAGAATAAGGACCGTTTCCCCCCTTAAATCTAACTGGAGTCCTACTTTTGCCCCCAATAAACTTGCAATATTGGAGCAATAACATGCGATATACATGCAGTAAACACTCAATCAACTTTCAATAAACCTTCAATATCGGTTCAATAACATGTGAAATACATGCAGTTAACAATCATGAAACCTTCACAAAACATGTAAACAATCAATAAACCTTCAATAAACACTCAATATCGGAGTAATAACATGCGAAATACATGCAGTTAATGAACCTTCAATAAACAGTCAATATCATGCGATTTACATGCAGTAAACAATCAATAAACAATCTATATACACTGAATAATTATGCAATCTTAAAAAAAAGGTATTGTCTTATTATTGCATCGTATTGGCCCTGTATTGTCATTTTATCGTCTTCGTATGACTTTATTTTTGTAAAGTAACTGTAGGAAAGTTTTTACTGGGTTTCTGACAAGTAAATGCTTTTGTTTCAAACAATAATTTAAACTCAATGCTAATCCACCTATTTCAATAACAAAAATTACAAATTGGGTTTGAAAAGTCATTGGTGGTGCGTGCAACATGTGTTTTTGGGGAGAACTTTTACAATCCTTGAAACCGTGCACTTAATTGGTCATTAAAAGAACAAATAATATGACAATTGATACAACTAATAAAACTAATACCAAGTCCTTAATGGACTTCAGCATATTAAGCACTGTAGCATCATACGTGTCAGCTTGCTGATCTGCTTCAGCGGAGGTTACATCAACCCATTCGAATCCATTGCAACTGGTGGCTCCCTAATTGCAGGCATCATATATGCAAAATAATTCTGTCAGAGTTAGACCTAGGATTTTTTTTCACCCACATACATATTCTGGAAATGAGAACTTACATAGGAGGTTAGACACTTCCAAAATGCCTTCCCGCGATTTTTATCTGATTTTGAAACCCGAAGCACCATTGCAGCTCCACAATACTGACACCTCTTTGTTTGAGCGGGAGATGAAGACGAAGACATGTTGAATCTTATCACTTGTACCTCTTCTCACTCAGATCTTCTCACTAAAACCTCTTCGGACTCATACCTTCTGAGTTATACCCCTTCACTCATAAGTCATAACCCTAAACTTCTCACTCAGCTCTCTCTCATCTCTGCCCAAATCGAATTATATCCTTCTTTTCTGTGTGTGGGTGGGTTGGTCACGATCTGGACACCTGTACCGTCAGAATTGTGACACATTTTACTCCGATAAGCGATATACTATTTCACAAACAATAATTAATCTTACAATTGAGGGGACACTGCTTTAAATATATTATTTTCTTTATATTGCATTAAGGCAACTAGTTGGATAAGAATCCGTCATTTAATAGGGGTAGTGTGGTGTGGGAAAATGAAAAAGTATCTGATGGGACCTTCTGTCACTAGTCAGTAATCCATCACATTTGTATCAATGAATTTAATGGCGGGAAAAAGCCTAACAATGGCTATGGAAATAGGTTATTAATTGACTTTTGGACGGTCTGACTCCCTTTGCATTTTGATGACGTTTTCCCTTCGCCTGTCTTATGTTTTGGGTGTTGAGTTCAGTTTCTTTAAAAAGTGTCAACTTGGTAAAACCCCAAGGAAACACCTTTTCAGAACAGTGCAACCAGAGGCTAAAACAAACCCAAAACCCCGTATATTCTCATTTCTCCCCTCTTGCAGTCCTCAAATCGTTCCATTCCAAAAATATTTCAATGAATTCCAAACATTACACTACAGTCGGAGGAAAGAGAAGGAAGCATCTCGATCCGGATGTGCCCTCAAGCCTTCATCCCGGAATTAGCTTGGTTTAAAGTGATGTTATACGTGGCAACCAACTCCTCGGAAGATCTCTTTCGTATGGCATGTGTGTGCCGATTGTTCAATACGTTGGCAAACACTCCACAAGTGTGGAACACAATTTCAATGGAAAAGTACCAAGACCATCCTAACTGGTACTATGCGCAGCGCAGGTCCGGCATTTCGTGGACCAATGCAGGGCTTGCCAGAACCCTGAGGCGATATTTAGAGAAGCGTTCGACATGTTTTCAGGCAGGGTAATGTGGAAGCATTGTCTGGGATGCGCGTTGCAGCCACGGCAGGCCATATGGAAGCGTCATATCTAGTTGGACTACTTGGCATGTCCGGAATTGGTCAGTCAAAAGAGGATGCATTAGAATTCTTGTGTTCTTTGAATCAACGTAACAACATTGATATGAAAGGAACCAGGGATGCTTTGAGACGACGATTAAGCGGAATTTTCTCTGTTGGAAGACATATCGTAGATATGTTTCACTATGGGAAGATTAAGTTCAATCAGTGCAGCGCTTGTAACAACAACGACTGGTGTTTTGTTATTCCAGGCTGGCCTAGTGAAGAAAAGATCAATCCTGCCTTCTGGACTTGTTGCAATCGATGCAAATGGCACCGTGAGAGTGTTTTTTGGTTCAAGGTGATGCGTGTCTATGTTGTGCCAGGGAATCCATACCCTTATAATTAGTTGGAGTATGTTTCTACGGTTTTTATGCGTGTCTATGTTCTACACATGTTGTTTTCTATTTCATGTTTTAATCTATTTTGTCTGGTGTTTGTGCTGTCCTAGCCCGTTTTATATATAAATGTATAATATTTGCTATATAGTGGAATTATTACTGACATAATTGACGGCTAAGAATGACATTTTACTGACACAGATATTTTGCACAACTGCAATCTTAATATTTGGTAAACGAAAACGCATGCATGAAGTGAGTATGTGTCTTTTCACCGGTTCTTGGGAATGACATTTTCCCACTTAGCATATCCCAAATGATTGGGTTACACGTTTCTTAAGCAAAACTTGAACAGTTAAAGACTTTGAATAATTATTTCCTGATGTTGTAGAATGGATGGCTTGTATATTTCCATTTTATGTTTGAAAACATCCCTTACACCTAAAAAGAAAAAACATTAACAAATTGAAGAAGAGAGAAACTGATTAGCACCAGAAATGGTCTATTCACACGGAAAATAAAAATAAAATTAAAATTTGGAGTAAATATAATTAACAAATGTACAAGCTAACAAGTAATACAACAATAATAATAAAAATAATTTTGGATAAATAATAATAAAATACTAATGTAGCGTAACCATGAAACAGGGAATTGAGGAGGAAGATGAAGTGTCAATGAGGTCGTAGCAATTTTCGGAACATTATTGTGATTTTTGTGTATTTAGTTATGAATTTTCTAAGAAAAAGTCATAAAATAATAATTTAGGGTAAAAGGTAAGGATGTGGCCATGTTGACTGACGCACACTTGTCAAGGGGTGAAAGGTGAGGGGCTGAGATCGCGCCAGGTGTCCATTGGCAATTATTTTGGCTTTTTTAGTGCAAAATCTTTGAAAAAATGCAATAAATAGTAGAAAAATCCTAAAAATGCCCCGAAAAATACTCCGGCCTCCGTGTGACGTTATAAAACGAGGGGAACCCATAGATCATCCATTTCGCAATTAAAAATTCAAAAATGATTTACATAACTCACTTTCCTCTTAACCCTAAGTATATATGTTGTTCACTTTAACAAGTATATTTCCTTAATATTCGTTATATAATTTGTACTAATACAAGAATTAGTTTCCTTTCATATATAAGGATGTAAAATTATCTGTTTTGGTTATAATAATGTACATATATAATAAATGCACCACTACTTGGAAGCCATAATTGGAACTGCGCATGCGCCTAGAGCTTTGAAGACGTCAGATATAGTCAATAAGTTGTCCATATGCACCTGCACCTAGAGTTTTCAACACGTCGGCGGTATTCAATAAGTTGTCCTTATGACGCCGCATTGGGAATCAGTAATATATTTTCTATCATGTCCAATCGCATAAACATATAATATAAAGAAATAAAGCAATAGTAGGAGATGAACCAGTACAAAAAACAATATATAACTGGTACAAAATAATGCCATAACCTTGTCACAAAACCAGTCACACATGCTTTTCCATAAACCTTACCCTAACATATAATACATAAAGGCAACATTGCATATGATGCAACCATGTCCAAATCTGATACGTGATCACAAAAAAATGGACATGGCAGCAACATATGACTGAAGTAGATGGGCACTTTGCATCGTGTTATCGTAATTAAAGACATGAAAATATGAAGGTTGAAATCTTCTATAGTAGTAAGCATCAAAATAGGTTTGAAGCAGAGCTTAACGAAAATTCCAGTTCCTCTGATTTGCCTCTACTCAAACACGATAACCAAAATGGTCACTTCCCTTGCTGAGTATATTTGTTAACGTCGGAAACGGTAATAGATGACCAATCAAACCCGGGTACGACGAGTTTTGCATAGGACCGGAAGTAGTCGAATCCAGCTTGCATCACACGCTTCTTTGACTCCTTTGCATTAGATGAGTTCTTGTATTTTTGAACAGCTACACTCCGAAGTCGTTTGTGTCTACGCTTCATGCGCTGCAACTTCGCCCTATCCAGATTGGCCTGCCTTTTGTCATCTTCAATTTGGCCTTCAACAAATTCCAAACGTACCCTTGCCCTTTGGATTTCATCACCAAGTTGAAGATGCCTCTCCTTCCAGAAAGCAAGAACTCTTTCAGACTCAAAACTTCCAACAAAATGGTCATTCTGTCTAGGAAAGTGACATTGCTTGTCTGGTGACTCACTTGCGTTTCGAAGGCGGTCTTTGTTTGGAGGGGTGTTTATTACGCTCACATCAAACTTGGTTAGTAAATCCATTAAATGGGGGGAGAGAGTTTCTGTGGAGGAGAGAGTTTCAGTAGATGGAGACACATTCGGTGGAGGAGTGAGTTTTTTGTGGAGGGAGAATTTTTATGAAGGGGGTGATAGTAATACCAATAAAAAAGGGTTCCCGCCAAAAAAAACATTTGGTTGACAATGTATAAATGAAAAAAGGTCTCATACAAGCTAAGTTTAATCCTAACTAGTTTGTTTAGTTTGGTTGGGTTCACTAACTAGATGTCACTTCCATTGAGTTTCTTTCAACCACTAACAGTGGTGTAAGGAGAGTGTGAGGTTGACATGCTTGAAAAGCAAAACCTGACACCTGTTTTTTTAAAATTGAAATAAAGTAGATATGTTGACTACACGCAAGCTTTGGTCTGTTGGTCTATAAAGCTATGTTCCATTTCTCAAACGAAATTGCATCTGCAATCCTCATCCTCCAAAACAAATAGGATTATTCAAGTATGTCAACCTCTTCAGGCGCCAACAACACAATCGAAGATGAAAAATTGGAGTCGCAGGTTCCGTTTCCACGTTGTACTCGCCGACCCCTTCCATTTTCAACATCATTTGGGAGTGAGGGGGACTCCGATGATCCATTAGAGGCAATAGATGCAGTCAGTACCAAGCTGGATTATAATTCCAGACTGATCAATTCATGGCACGAGAAATGTGTTGAAGACGAGGCCATTTTGGCTGATCTTAACATTAGAGTGAACAAAGCGTTCTCCCAAAAGAACAAGTACTTGAAGCTGAGTCATAAAAGGAAGCTGAAAGCTGAGGAGTTGGATGCAGTAATGAATGATGAAATTAAAGGTTGTTTGATGAACCATATGCAATGCGAAGAGCACCACAGTGAACTGGAGTTGGCATTCAACGAAGGATTCGAAAAATTCCGAGCATTCGCGGCAACAACTCATACAAGTTATAATTGGGACTATGTGTCCCCTGATGCTGTGAGAGAGATACTAGACGATGGTGGTGACATGAATGAGCATAAGCACGTCAAAGCTGCTCAGAAGAAGCCGACCGATACGGCTAAGTGATTGCGGCTACAGCTGTTCTGTTGGTTGGGGGTGATCGTGGTATTGCACAAATTAGAACTATGTTCCCTTAATGTCATTATCTAATATAAAATAATACAAATATCAGTTTCATTTGCTTCATATATAATTATTGGGACTATGTCTTGCAAGTCATCATGTGTTCCTTCTGTCTAACATTATATTTTGCAACTATGGAAATATTATTCAATAAGCAGTCAATATCACAGCACCTTGGTAATCAGTAAAGCCCCATTATCATGACACGTGAGTCATAAGTAAAATGCCATGTGCTATACATTGTGTAGTGAATGGTTTATGGTTTATGTATATATAATAAAATTCCAAATATTGCTGAATATTTATTTTGTCTAAATCACTGGGGACATGAGTGACCATAAGCACGCGAGACCTGCTAAGAAGAAGCTGACCAATACGACCTAGTGATTGTGGCTACCGTTGTTCAGTTTATTGGGGAGATCGTGCTATTGCTAAGAGGGAGCACATAAAATGCTTTGCAATCAAATTTTCTTTTGTGTGTGGAATTATGAGTAGTTCAAATGTTAGTGTACCCTTTAATATTACCCAACCATTCGAAATGTGATTAGCTGCAATGTACTTTTTTACACGTTGCTTTCTAATCTTTCTGTTCCAACAAAGTGCTTCAAGTATCCTTCAGCTACGAATGTTTGCAAAATCGTGCACCTAATAACCAGTCCAGCTCAGATCTTAATCACCAGTAAAACACTAGAACATAACATTCGCAAAAAGTGGGTGCTGCTACAAATGATGCGTGCTGCTGGAAATCATTACTGGTAATGGAAACAATAGCTGGCTGCTGGAAATGCTGCATTAGCCTGTCATATAATCAATAAATCTCTATTCAAACATAATTCACCATAAACTACCCATTTTACAAGGTAAAAGTCATTGCTTGTTCACATAAATCAAAATTTGATGCTTTATCTAATGTCTATGAAAATTTCTAAATAGGGAGAAGACGTAAAATTAACATGTGTCCAAATTTCATGCAAGAATGAAACCAAGCAAATTTTCATTTCAATTATCAATGGACATAGTCAGAGCTCATCGGTGGACATGAACAAAAAATTAATAATAATAAAACTGCATCTAGAAAACTTCACCTGATCATTAGTCTTCATAATAACCGGGCTTCGTATAATAGAAACCTAAATCATTGAGTTGGTCCGTGCATCCTGTAAAATTCGTCAAATAATGGGTCACTAAGATCTATTGGAGTTGATTCGTCATTGTTCGACGGTGATGTCCTGCATAAACATCAAACAGAAGCACATAAGAACTTTACCTATTCAAATTTTAGGTCTTATTATAAATAGTGTTAACATCTTACGGTGTGTTCAAATTTCTTGGGCATTGTCTTCTATCATGACCAATGTGTCCACACTCCCGACAGTGTCTAATCCCTCGCTTCATTGCCTTTTCCTTTGCTCCCGTTACTCGTTTCGACCCTCCATTGCACCTTACTCTCTTAGGGTCTTTCATATATTGTGTTTGAGAGCTGGACCCTCCAACTTCGTTATTACTTGGTCCATCCTTCAACAACTTCAACTTCACCTGCAAACTTTTTAGAGTCTCTGACAGTAGCTCACATCCTTCTTCACACATTAATGCATCCTCAACCACATCTGAAGCAAATCGGGACATTGTACTCCGCTTTATTAAAAGACCAGGATCTGCAGAGTCTTTAATTTCGTTGCCATTTGCATCTGACACCAATCCAAATTTCGCAGTTTTCTTCCACCTCTTCAAAATGTATTTATCGGGCATATATTCAATCTGGTCCCTTCTGAACAATGCTAGGATGTGCTTGCAAATAATTCCAACAAATTCAAATCTTTTGCAGCTACACGATGCGTGGTCAGAATCTTTGACATATACGACTTCTGCCACTCTTGTTTCCCAATTTTTCCTTTCGCTCACATTAAAGACAACTTTAGAAGCATCCTCTGTTTTCAGCTCTAGGAAACATGCTGTACTTTGTATTAGTTCTTGCTCAAACTTTTGAAACATTGTCCTTGTGTACAAGGTAGCCATTTGTTTGTTCATTGGCATCGGTAGAATACATTGAGCCACTTCAAATGCATCTACGTGATCAGCAACTAACTCTTTTTGACGTTGATGAGAAAGTGCCCTCTCAAATCTTATTATGAAATCCATCAACGAATTTTTCCTTGATATGTATTGCTTGAAGAAACCATGAGAACATTCAGCTCTTTGGCTGCTTGACATTCCAGCGGCAAAAAAGTGTCGTGCGTAGGCTGGAACCCAAGATTCCCTTAAATCAAACATTGAACTTACCCATGGATGGTCAGTCAAACCAGCCTTTGTAACCACAATATTCCATTTTGCATCAAACTCATCCTTATTGTCAGTATCCCATATGGCTTTCTGGAATTCACCCCAATACTCCTTATAAGCAGAATGTGGTAACTTAACAGAGAACTTTGATGTGATGTGCCATATGCAAAGTCGATGAAATGTAGTCGGGAAGGCTATTGAAATCGCTCTGCTCATTGCCGCATCTTGATCTGTGATGATCGTTTTAGGTTCGCCACCTGGCATGGCTTTCTTAAACTCCTCAAACATCCAAATAAACGACTCAGTCGTTTCCTTGCTCAAAAATGCGCATGCTAGGACAATTGTTTGACCATGGTTATTAACTCCCAACATTGGTGCAAATGTCAAGTCGTATCTATTCGTGTTGAATGTGGTATCGAATACAACAACATCTCCATAAAACCCGTACGCCCGTCTAGAAGTTGCATCTGCCCAAAAACATCGACTAAACCTGTTATCGCCATCTCCCTCAATCTTGAAATAAAAAGCCTCATTTTTTTTCTGTTCAGCCATAAAATACTCGGTCACTAGTTCAACATCGTGGTTCCTCAGCTTCTCATTCACACTACATTCAAGATTGTACATATCCTTTTTGATAAAACCAATTTTATCCATTCCTCCGGATTGCACCTCGAAAATACTTACCTTCTGATTAATGGGAATATTAACCGAACCCAACTGTTTTGTAAGTACTTTTGTAGAATCTGAAATACGACGGTGTGATCTCAGTAAATGCATTCTTCCTGAGGGTGTCATCTTATGATTGTGTCCCTCTGCAAAAAGAGAGATGGTATACTTCTTGCTCCCATGTGTCTTCACAACCACAATCTTAGCTTTGCAATTGCATCTACTTATTCCCCGCTGTCTTTTTCTCTCCCGAGTTTCATCATTCCGGTATGCACCTTGTTTGCAACATACAAATTCTTTTCTCAGAATCTCTTTCTTATTTTTCCCCCAAAAGCTGGAATGAAGTCGAATACCAAAGCCAGCCAAGAATGCATATCTATTATAGAAATTATAAACGAGGTCAAGCGAGTCGAACTTCATCCCAACTGCTGGTGTTTCCTCATTTCTTACTTCAGGAATGTAAACCCTCCCATTAGCTATTACAGAGTCATCACTCTCTGAGCCCCCAGACATTTTATCCACGTATATTATTGATCTACTTCTATATTACTGCATAGCAAATGTTAATTCATTAATCAATCATTACTGCATCACAACTTATCAATGCATTCCACTTACACAAAACATTGCCCAAATTGACACAATACACGCATAGCTTAGCTTGTTGGATTCTGATTACACAAAACACAAGCAAAATTTAATAATAGTTACGTCATCTCTTGTGAAATAATCTGGAAAAAATAACATTAGAACCAACATGTTCAACTAAGAACTCAAATGTAATTCAAACCAGCAATTACAGAACTTCACCCAATATCCTCTCCAAATGCTTACTTCTAATGCCATTAAGCCTAAGTTTAGGATCTTTTACCTACATTTCATAATTTTCCAATCCCCCTCCAAACAAAAATAATCAACTAAGTATATTGAATATTCATAAGGAAATGACGCATTATTGATAGCAGAGCAAATGACGCATTATTGATGCCGCAAATGACAAATTTCTCACCCTCATAAAAAACAAATCAAACCCAGCAAAATCAATCCAGCAAGAGTGAACTTACCTCTCAAAGTCAAATGACGCATTATTGATAGCAGAGCAAATGACGCATTATTGATGCCACAAATGACAAATTTCTCACCCTCACAAAAAACAAATCAAACCCAACAAAATCAATCCAGCAACAGTGAACTTACCTCTCAAAGTCAATCGGGAGTTCCGAACTCAGTCAGCTTCAAAGAATGTGGTGGACATTAGAGAGGATTCTTTCGTAGTGGAGACTCCATCTCTACCAAAATCCAGGAACAACTGCAGCAGCACGAAAAAGAGATATGCTACTTTGCTTTCATCTGGAATCTCTTCTGCTGAACGAAAAAGAGAAGGGGTTTTCACTTCAATCATAGAATCAAAACAGGGCAATAGCTAGGTAAAAGCCATTAATCATCATACCGAGGATACCATAGATCGCAGGCCTCCCAAGGAGCTGATGACAATGGAGCGATTATAGAGTTTGGGAGCTTTGGATCTTTCTAATTGTGGATTTGCATTACATTAAAAAAGAGAGGATTGTGTTCTTGAGTTTTTCACAGAGAGGGAAAAATCTTCAGCTGAAGTTGGGTTTCCAAACGGGTCAGATTTCAACCCGGTTCTACATGCACCCTCTTTTAAAAACTCACCGTTGGATGAAATCCAACGGCTCTTACATACCCCTCAAAAAAACCCCTTATAACTTTCCACTCACTATAGAAGCAACAGTTGGCATCGCCAACCACCCTGTATAAGTATGACAGGGACGCGTCCAGCCCAACTTCCTTGCCTCTTGTTGACAAGTTTAGCCACCATTCTGTTGCTGCCTAGAGAATGCAGGAGGACCCCGTGGTAGTAGAGAAGCCCTACATCCTTGGATGAGTTAATCACATCGTCTAGAAAGACAAATAGCTTGTAACATCTTGGTGGCAATGCTGCTGACATGTTGAGTGCTAGCAGATTGCGAAACGAAGTGCCTCTGTGATCATCTATGTGTATTGGCGGGATTGTCAGAACCTTCCCACTCAATGTGCTACTGAAACTTATATCTAATGGCTGACGATTTGTATCGGCCTTGAGCTTGACACCAGCCTCCTTTAGCTCTTGTATGGACAAGACCAGCTGGGTTTGCTTACCTCGTGGCTGTTGCCATGGAAGAGTAGAGAAGCAATTTTCATGATCAGGACGGATACAGTGGTAGACCTACTCTCTTCATGAATGGCAATCTCCATTTCTTCAGGTGAAGCTTTCCTATTTGATGAGCCGCATGCTTCATGAAAGCCTCTTGTTTACAAAATGGGAACTTATAAATAAACCCAAAATGGGTGAAGTATTTATAAAGGACAAAATTAAAGTGTTTGGACAATAATGCCCTTACTTATTTTTATATTGCCTAAGGAGTTTTTCTATTTCTTCTTTTCAAATGATGCCGTATGGAGCCAAAGAGTTTGGATTCTCTTGCTTTGGACTTGTGGGAGCAAATATTTTCGTCTCCAATCACGGCACGCCGCGTGGAAAAGAAGATTATCTCTTAAATTAATTAATTGAACCAATTTATTTGGCCAATTAATTAATAGGGATAATATCTGAATTAATGATATTATCTTATCTTTATTAGGATAATATCATATTAATTAAGATATTATCCTAATAAAAAGAGATAATATAATTAATTCAGATATTATTTTCAATAAAGAGATATAATCAAGTCCGACTTGATTCTTACGAATTTGGGTAAAGAATAAACTCATCATAATAAGAGTTTATTCTCTACAAAACCCTAGCCCCGAGGCTCCTATAAATAGATGACTTCATTCATCATTCAAGATACATCTAAACCTACTCCTAATACCTGAAAAAAATACCCGAAGCTCGCTCTCCCTCTCCACTCTCCATATTTTCTACACACGGCTTTGGCCACCACACACGGTTCCGGCCGCCCTGTTCACACCATACATATAACTCCGTATCCTTTGCTTAGCTATTGTTTTCCTATAAACACTCGAACTGACTTAGGCATTAGAGGGCCTTTGGTCAACACCCCTCGGGTGTGGTCTATTTACTCCAATCTTTTTTGCAGGAATCGAGGAAGAGAGAGAAGGAAGATCAAAGGTTGAAGGATCTAGAAGTGAATATTCTCCCGTAAGACCAGCCATGTGCGCAGAAGACGTTGAGACGCTTGTAAGTAATCAACTTCGAGACTTTAGGATTCGTGGAAATTTCAAAGATGCACTATGCATTGAGGTGGACTGAGCAAACTCTTCACCTTTCACCACCGAAATCGAGCAAGTTGCTCCCCCGAAACGATTCTCAACGCCCTCTTTCACATGTTTAAAAGGAGATTCTGATCCCGAAAGCCATCTGAAGCATTTCAAGAGCCTTATGATCCTCTACAAAGTCAAAGACGCGCTAATGTGTAAGGTGTTTGCAATGACTTTGCGAGGAGTAGCTTAGGACTGGTTCTATACCTTGCCATCCGAGTCGATCAGCAGCTTTAAGGAGCTTACTTACGTCTTCACTAAATAATAAACTTCTTATCGGACGATCAAGAAGAACCTTGACCATTTGTTAAATCTACACAAGAAGTTCGATGAATCCCTCCGAGACTACATTAAGAGGTTCAAAGTGGAGAGGGCAAACATTGTAGGATGTGAATACCAAATTGTGTCCTCTGCCTTCAAGAGGGGGTTGACAACTGAATGTGAGCTATATCGCTAGCTGACCATCTCTCCTTGCCAAACACTAGTAGAAGTCTTCGCTACAGCAAAGCGCTACGCATTGTGGGACAACGACCGGATCGCCGCAAAGAAGGCTGATTAAGCAGATGAGCAGGCAAGCCAAGAGAACGGCAAGCGCAGATCACAGCCTCAGGAAGGTGATCCAGCAGCAGAGAGCTACACCAAGTTCAGCCTCTCGATACACCAAATCTTGGCCCAAGTAAAGGACATGCCTTGGTTGAAGAAACCATCGCCTTTAAAGGGAAACCCAACCAAGAAGGATACCAGTAGATATTGCACATTCCATGAAGGGCACAGTCATTACACAAACGACTGCTTTGCCTGGAAAAGGCACCTCGAAGATCTAGTCAGAGACGGCCATTGCACGGAATTCATCACAAGGGGGGTTATCCAGCAAATCAAGGATTGTGACCTAGCTAACAATGAGCCTCCATGAAAAAATCATATGGATCAACATGATCCTAGCTGACTCCAAGAGCCTGACCACCAGGGGGCAGAAGAGAAAGATCAAGTAGGCGACTTTCGTCTCCCAAGCCGTTACTAGATACCAAGTTATGGAAGACGAACCTTTCATCATCTTTCAATGGAAGGAAGTTCCAAGACAATGGAATGCCCATCACCTTCAAGGGTACTATCCATGAAGCTCCTCACATATCAACTCGGCTTTGAGCAGGCGGCCAAGCCTCCCTCACCTTCATTGAAGACAAGTTACTTTTGATGTTACTCATGCAACTCATCTTTTTTGTTCAATAAAGCATGTAGTCACATAGACATCAATACAAGTTCAAGCTTTTCCTTTCAATGGAGTGTTCACAAAAGCAATCAACACGTCTCCTGGCATAGGCCAATCGAGTCACTCTCAACCACACGTCTTCGGACGTAGGCCAAATGGGCCACTCTCACCGACACGTCTCAGGACGTAGGTCAAACAGGCCACTCTCATCGACACGTCTCCTAATGTAGGCCAAATGGGCCACTCACATCGACACGTCTCCAGACGTAGGCCAAACGGGCCACACTCATCAACACGTCTCCGGACGTAGGCCAAACAGGCCACACTTATCAACATGTCTCCGGACATAGGCCAAACGGGCCACTATCATCGACACGTCTCCGGACATAGTCCAAATGGGCCACTCTCATCGATATGTCTCCGGACGTAGGACAAACGAGCCACTTTCATCGATACGTCTTCGGACGTAGGCCAAACGGGTCACACACATCGACATGTCTCCGAGCGTAGGCCAAACAGGCCATTCTCATCGATACGTCCCCAGACGTAGGCCAAACGGGTCACGCTCATCAACACGTCTCTGGACGTAGGCCAAACGGGCCACTATCATCTCCAGACGTAGGCCAAATGGACCACTATCATCGATACGTCTATGGACGTAGGCCAAACAGGTCACACTCATCGACACATCCCCGGACGTAGGCCAAACGGGCTACTCTCATCAACACGTCTCTAGACGTAGGCCAAACGGGTTACTCTCATTGACACGTCTCTGGACGTAGACATGCCACAACCCAGAAACACTCAAGCAATTCACAAGACACTATGCGAATTGAAGTTTAAAAAAAAAAAGCAACTGAAATTTCCATAGCAAAGTGACCAACCGGCCGAGTTCAACAAAAAGATGGTCAAGCATGACCAATTATTCTAAAAAAGAAAGCACACTACGAAAACTGAAAAGAAATAAATGAGTCTTCATCTACTCCAGGACTCTAGTAGGAGATCCATAATCTACAGCCTCTTCGGCATCCGCCTAATCAGCCACGCTTTTAGCAGCTCCACCTGCCTGATCAACGAAGTCTGTCCATATCTCATCAGCCTCATCCTCATCTGCTCCACCTTCTTCAGTTACTGCCTCTTCGGCAGTCTGCTCTTCAACTCCTTCCATATTCGCAGCATTGACCTGCTCACTTCGAACATGGAGCAAATCAGGGCAGAACTCCTCAATGTCTTCATCTCCAATGGCATAGAGGGGAGCAAACCCATTTTTGCAGTCCAAACAGCACAGCTTGTACGCATCCATGGTAGCTTCAAACTTGGATTCTCCAGGAGACTTTAATAAGCGCGAAATCCAGCTAGGAGCTTATCATAGCTAAGAGAGATGTCATCATTCTTGTGCTTAAGACAAAAGTATGCATCTTTTCGACTAATCAAGTTAGCAGCAGAAGAGGGGGCAACAACAAACGAGTTCCCGATAATTTTAGCAACAAAAACTACTCATTTTTAAAGCAGATGAAATATTGCTTCCTTTTGTTTTTCCAAGGTAAAAGTTGAGAAAGTACCAAGATCGCTAGCCTGACGGATTTGATCAACTAGCTGAGCACAAGTGGATGGACTTGACAGAAAGTTCTTCTTGAGCAGATTAGATACACCTGCATCCTTTGCAGGGCTGGGCTTGTCCACCTTGGGATCCTTTGCAGAAGAACCTTTCGCCCGGGCAGATGACCCTCTCCTCTTCTTAACCGCCGTCATCCTCACCTCCAATGAAGTCAACGACGCTGAATCAACTCCACGCTTGACTACTCATGACTCAATATCTAGACCTTGATGATTGGGTAGATGAGTAGACGTCCAAGTTCGATCTCCATCCTTTCACTAGTATAGACAACTTGAACCACAGAGAGGAATATCAACACCTCTTTGCCTCTCAGCAGGTGAACCAGTTCGTCAACGAACCACTTCACAGAGTAGATCATGATCTCCGAGCTTGTCTGCATGAGGCTTGAGTGGAACATCACGAATATTGCCCCTACCGCCAATCTTCTTGCTATCTGCACAAACGAGATGTTTAACCCTAACTGATGATGGGGAACAGCTCCTACTTGAGTCTTCTCAATAGAAGGGATCCTTGGTTTCTTCCTCAACGGAAACACATCCTTCGCCAGCGAAGTCGTAGCTTCATATCTTGAAGACTTGACGTCGACCTTCCTTTTTTAAGGGGGGTCCAGTAGAACACTCCTCCTGCCCAGCCAACAGGTCATCAGAGTCTGGACCATTCTGTTTCCATCTCGCAACATCCTGGGCAAGGGGTAGACCACCAACTTCTTCTGGATACTCACTCAGCAGCAACCAGCGGCCACCATTGCTCCAACCGTATTCGACCGCCAGTCAAGACATCAACCAGCCTGGTCCCACCCAACTGGTCCTCGCCTCGAAAAAGAGAAGACGAAGAAGAAATATATGTGCTCAACTTACTTTGGATGCACGACAACTCCTCTCTTTGACAAGCAGTGCAAATTCTCCAAGATCTTTCTCAAGCTAGAAGGTAGAGCAGTTAAGAAAAGCCCTATATTTATACAAGTTGGACAACTCGGGTCAACAAAGAATCTCAAGCTCATTCTTATTGGGAGTCCAACTCCAAGAATAGTCAGAAGCCTACTCCAATTGGGAATCCAATCTGCAAAGGAGTCCAACTCACAGAAGAAAGCCCAGGCACAGTTGGAGAGCCGGAAAAATAATTTCATCTCCTACATGCCACACAAGTGCCATGCAGAAGCTGGGGGACATTTGTGGGAGCAAATATTTTCATTTCCAATCACGGCACGCCAAGTGGAAAAGAAGATTATCTCTTAAATTAATTAATTGAACCAATTTATTTGGCCAATTAATTAATATATGGATAATATCTGAATTAATATGATATTATCTCTATTTAATAAGATAATATCATTAATTCAGATATTATCCTAATAAAGAGAAGATAATTCATTAATTCAGATATTATCCTAATAAAAAGAGATAATATCATTAATTCAGATATTATCTTCAATAAAGAGATATAATCAAGTCCAACTCGATCCCTATGAATTTGGGTAAAGAATAAACTCATCATAATAAGAGTTTATTCTCTACAAAACCCTAGCCCCGAGGCTCCTATAAATAGATGACTTCATTCATCATTCAAGATACATCTAAACCTTATCCTAATACCTGAGAAAAATACCTGAAGCTCTCTCTCCCTCTCCACTCTCCATATTTTCTCCACACGGCTCTGGCCACTACATACGACTCTGGCCACCCGGTTCACACCATACATACAACTCCATATCCTTTACTTAGCTATTGTTTTCCTATAAACACTCAAACTGACTTAGGCATCAGAGGGCCTTTGGCCAACAATCCCCAGGCATGGTCTATTTACTCCAATCTTTTTTGCAGGAATCGAGGAAGAGAGAGAAGGAAGATCGAAGGTTGAAGGATCTAGAAGCGAATATTCTCCCTTGAGATTATTTGCACAAATAGGACTGGTGTTGCATCTTTTTGCTTGAGATGGTTTCTTCATGTGAGATGATGATGCTGATGCTTTTTATCATGAGGGCTTCACATGGAGTTTATGCTTCAAACATGTTATCTATATTGTGTAACTCTTCTTCTCCTAAGCTATTCCAGTATGCGTTGTTGTTGTCTTCTGCTGCAATTTGTTTTGCTATCTGGTTTTAGATTCATCAAAAACTTTTGCTCCTGTTGTGCTTATCTTGAATTCATATGTGTCATATGGTATCCTGGAAATAGTCTCTGAATAAATCTTGATAAAGTTGGATTGATGAAGGAGGTTCAGACGATCATCATTGAATAATTGTTGCTCAGCTATTATTGCTCCTCTGTGTTTTTGAATTTCTTGCTTGGTAGGGATCTCTGTCTTTGTTGATTCTGTCGAACTAAGTAGTTCATTATAAGAAATAATAATACTATGTTGTGCTTTGTCTGGGCAAATACTATCCTTAAACCACTCTGGGGCTATGCTAGTGAAATCTAATTTTACGCTCTTCCATAGAGGAATATAAAAAATTATGACTTCTTTTAGTTTTGAGGAAAAGGAATCTAAATGATCACTATTTTCAATATAAAGTTGACCTAAATAACCATACTCTGCTAAAAATGTTGGAGTAACTGTGATACTTTTCTGTTTATGCTCTAAATGCAGTTCTCTATATTCAACCATGTTAATACTAGCTAAGTAAATAGTATAATGAGAACAACTTTTGGTAATAATTTTTATACCAGGATTTGGATTATTCTTTAAATTAAAAAGAAAAGCCTGAATTTATAACTGAATTGATGTATTTTGTTCATACTATAATCTAATCATATGACTATTAACTGTTATGTTTTCCTATTTAGATCGGTGCACTAGATTCTAATTATATCAGGTTTTGATAAGAGTTTAAATTAAGTTATACCTTGAGGCCCAAAACCTTGTGGAATAAGGAAAGGTTTTGGAACCTATTAAGGGGTCCTATTTATTTCCTTTTTGCATGAATCAATTAAGTGGGCTTGGAAGATAAGTCAAGTCGGCCCTCGGTGATGAGTAGAGACGACTTGACCTAGCCCTACATAAGGTTAAGACCCTGCTCTTATCATACACGTTCTCTAACTCTATTCTCATCATAAAGAGAGAGCTGAAACATATTCTAAGAGAGAGCAGAAGTCTTGAGCCGTTCCTGTTCTTGCTAGGATTGCTGCTGCTACGGATTGGATGAGTTCAGAGGTCGTGTACTCTAGGAAGATGGCTCCAGGTATGTGTTCATATGTTTACGTATTGTAGATTGTGTGAAAGATCTAGAACATGTATATTATAGAAATCTAACAATTAGTATAAGAGCTTAAGGTTATTCACACACACTGAAATCGTTGTTCAAGTATGCCTACCATGATTTCATATATGTTTATGTCATGTTGAGTTATTTGGTTACGTTTAATTTTTTGAAGATGGATTAAACATGTTTATGAAAGTATCAAGAATATTAAAGAATCTGAAAAAGCATGTTTTGATTTGGTTTTCCATATTTTCAAAACTTTAAACATGTTTTTGACTTACTGGATGATCTTAAAACCCTAAAAATGCCTATATGTCATAGCAAATTTGTGAGTTGTGTTAATTAGGTCATTCCCTATTCAGAAAGGTATTTTGCGTAAAAAACGGACACCAAAAACCCCTAAAACATTGTTCACGGCAATTTTTACTATTCACCGCAAAAGGGTTTTCCTTCTTGAACTGTGTTTTGTTTGGTTATTTTTCTAAGCTAGATAGGTTTTTGTCTTTGTTCTGAGAATCAACAAACTTTCCATAACAAAACCAAACCTAAATACTCAAACCCTAAAGAAATAAACAAAATTGCATCATATCTAAATTACCTGATAAGTTTCTTCAACAAATAGAATATGTCATGTAATTTGTTTGTGATGGCACAAGATAACATGTAATTTTGTATAAGCTATGAGTAATATCTTGCCACAAAGGTATGATACTTAATTAAGGAGGCTTGCATATATATTATTTGTTAGTTTGTGAATATAGTTAAATGGAAAACTGTTTCTCTTAACAAATTGAGAATCGGTTTCTTGGAAAGTATTCATGGTTTTTCTTTTGCAAATCCTTACAGCTTTGAACACTCCCTCAAATTGAAAGATTCACTAGATCAAACTTCAAAATATGGACCTTTGATTTTAAAGTTATTGTCGGAATGAATGAGATCGTTTATGATCTCACTCATTACTATATTTAATTTAAGTTAGCCTTTTTGCTTATGTGTCTTGTAGTACAACTCCTAGAGCCTAGGGAAAAGGAAAAGCATCTGGCATTCAATAGGTGTCACTCGTGTCAACTTGTCACAAATGACAATCTAATAAAGAATATAGAGGAGCTAATTAAGAAGCAGATCGAAGATGAGCTGGAGCGAAAAAGGGTTAAGGCGCAGCGAAGTCGTCAACCATATGGAAGACCCATAAGGATATACAAGGCTATGAAGGACAGTCTTAGAAGTCTCAGGATTGCTGCAAAGCTCGGTGTATGCGTTTATGTGAGAGGACGAAACATCAATAAGTTACTTCGATACAAGAATCTCCTAGTGCAATCACCTATTGAGATTTTTGATGGGACCACTAATAGGGAGATAGCGGTACTTGACCCATTCCCTACTAAGGAGAACAACACTTTCATGGCGGCGGCGGCATGTTGTGACAAGGAGGTTTAGATAGCTACCTGGTGTTTTTCATTAAATATTATTGGAGTAATTGATTTTAAGTTGGATTTAGGATTTATTTTTTATGTAGTTTTAAGTACCCTAAATAAAGAGAAATTTAATTTCTGTTTCAAGATTATTAAGACTTGGATTTATTTTGGATTCAATAAAGATGTTTTTGTACCTCAGAATTGAAAGACAATAAAGATGGATTATATTGTCTAAATTATAATAAAGATGGTGAAGTTTTTAATAGCTGAATCGAGTGAGAAAAAGATTAGAAGTGAAGGAACATCCACTAGGTTATGGCATAGACGTTTAGGGCACATTTCAAAAGAAAGAATGAAAATTCTTGTTAAGGAACAAATCTTGCCATCACTGACTTTTAGTTATGACGACATTTGTATTGAATGTGTTAAAGGAAAACTCACTAAGACTATGAAGAAATGTGCTGTTTGTGCCTAATAAATCACAGTCGTCAGAAGGAACCTCTTCTCGGCCGTAAAACCTGTTCATGGACTGAAACGGCCACGTTTCGTTAAACATTTAGCCTTTTCGAAAACAGAAGAAAAATACGAAGGCAGGATCTTCTCGGCCTCACAACCACGGCATTATGGGCCGAGGCCGAGATCCATGAGAGACACGGCCAGAGATACTATGATCAAATCGCCACGTGGCCTCAGGGTCCCACGCCCCATTTAATGAAGTAGTGCCTCTGACCGCCACAGCAAAACCACTGGGTGCAAGAAGCATTTAATGCACGAGGGCAGAAGGGAAGTGATTGAAGTCAGGATTTGGTAACAGGACTCAGAGTAGTTAGGCGCAAACATTCTCACAAAGCATTCTCACAGCTTGAGGTCAGATCACCAACCACTGGACCAGAGCATTAAATGCGTTCCCACGGCCAAGAGTGCAGAGCCCACGATCAGGGCGGTGGCCGAGATTTGCCGAGATTTATGGGGGTCACACCACCATGCTTCACGATCCCAAATGCCGATTTGACTACCCACTTGCCCCGATCAGACTCCACCATGCAGATATTTTCAAGCCATCATGCAGATCTTTTTTTAGCCTCGATTGGCCCTCCAAGACTCCTCCTATAAATACTAAGCTCAAGACCACGTTCAAGGGGTTTAAACACCAAACCAAAAGCCTCCCACGGAGCAACTTATATTTTCTGTAATGCACTTTCAATACCTTTATTTGCTTTCTTAGGAGTAGTGGTAGACTATAAGGAAAATCCATTCATCAATATATCATACGACCCTTGATTTTCAAGGCGCCAGAGCACCACCTCTGTTATCGCCTCACTCACCCCATATATCATATGACTGTCGCTCTCCGAGCAACGCGCCGGAGCACCGCCTAAAAACCCACCACCAACACCACCACTAAACGGCCTTGTAGCTCAGGCCATGAACCTGACGGCCGAGATTCGTTCCTCACTCAGTCACAATAGTTTGATTAGGAGTCAAACGCAAAACAGGCGCAACATTTGAACCATCTTCTACCCGAACCTCATCATCACCTCGACGCACAGTAGACCGTGCTGGCACGCCCGCGCACAACCGCACCGCATCCAAAAGGAGGACGTCACGTGTTGACGCACCAGACCGTGAGATTTGCGACAGACCAACACTTTTGGCACGCCCGGTGAGATACTTGTCAAAAGACCTCATGGTGGATCTAATGGACAGGCAGGCCTTCACGCTTTTCCAGGAGGGGATGCCGGTAACGCCTACCCACACCCAGGCGTCAGGCTACGGTCCGCACTCTCAACCAAAAAGCTGGGGGCAATCCCAGCCGACGCAGGTAAATCTTGGACCCACCTGCCCAGAAAAAACGAAGCGCGGCCCACTCCATGCTTTGGCCGTATCATTGGGGCGGAACAGCCCCAAGTATCCCGCGGCCCAGAAATTCGGCCCCGTACGCGCCTCAGCCGTCCACGTTCATCCTTGCCCAGGCGACGCGACCGCAACTTCGTCACAACGACACGGTCAGAACGATCCGACTGTTTCACCATCACAAGCGTCGTTGTTTCCGTTAGGATCCCACCCTCAGTACGGTTTGGCCGTTCCAACGACACATACGCATCCCGGCCAAACCTACGGTGCTTACCTAAAGCCGCCCGACTCGGTCGCAACGGTTGAACCCCTTGTTCAAATGACCCAGCAGATTGAGCCACAGAATAATGTACAGTAGGTCCTGCGGCCACTTCCAATCCGGTTGGAGTTACGCCCTCAGGACTCTCGGACCAAAGAGATCCGGCGCATGACCGAGGACGGCTTAACCTAGAAGTGGTGGAAGATGCCAAGCTATATCGAGCCGTACCCGCTCGGAGAGACCAGGACTTAGCGCGACTTGTTCCCCAAGGCGTTTTGGGCACGTCGCGCGTCAAAAGATTCGGCCATGGGCACATCTCCATATGTCTTTGCCCACGGCCGTGACATTAATAAACTGATGAGGCTAAGGGTTCGGCCTCTTTGGGTTTTCAAGCAGCTCGGGCGAAAAACGAAGAACTACGGGCTGACCGTGCCCCAGGATTCAGAAAATTTTGGGCGACCAGGGCTCGACGCTTACACGGCGGCGCAAGTTCAAAAAGAAATGGCACCGAGGGCCTACGACCAAAAAGTCAAAAAGAAAAAAAAGGCGGAAGTAGCCAAGCAAACTAAACAAACGGCGCGGCCAGAATGAAAACAACGTACACTCATTCATAGAAAAAGGGCTTGTGCCTTATAATTAGATTAGAAATATTGTTTCTAGAAAGAAGAAAAAGAAAACGACCAGTCACGGCCGATCAAACGAGAATATATATATAGTCTGTAGGAAAAGAAAATACCTAACCATTACACAAATCATAAACAGCCATCCCCTCTAAACACCCTCGCTGAACATCCCCTAGATCAGGCAGGTTATCCTTCTCCAGGCAATGTCCCCACCATCTGTGTCCGCCTGCCACCTCGCCTGGATCAGCTTCCTCTCGGCCAGGGCCTTCTTTTTCTCGGTCGCTGCTTTGAGAATATGTCTGGCCGAAGACTTCAGTTCAGCTCCGGCTACGACCGCAAGATCTCAGGGTTGAAGGATAAAAGCCCGACTGACCTGGAGCTCGGCAATCTAAGCCTCAACTTGTGTAAGTTCCTCGTTCTCTCTCTGGACAACGAGGTCATTTTCCTTCAGGCTGGCCATGGTAGGCTGGACTAGCTCTTTTTTCGCCAGCAGCTCTTGCTCGAGCGAGCACTCCTCGGTCATCCTCATGTGGACCTCAACATATCGGCCGATCATCTCCTCACCCTTGGCCAGACGTGCCTGTAGCTCATCCAGTTGAGCCGAGTCCAGCAGACCCATAGCCATGGCCGTGTCCAAACACGACCTGAACTCCAGGAAAGCCTCGGCCGAGGTCATCTGGTGCACCCCAAAGAAAAGGAATTCTCGTAACTTCTCAGCAACGGCCTTGGAATCCTCGTCCAAAGGAGCCGGGGCCGAGCTGCCTCCTCGAGGTCATCAAAGGAGGGGGTATCCTGGAAATGAGAAGGAGAGTTAAGAAAAGAGAGAAACAAACAGCTAGGGCATAAGGAAGAAAAAGGTGAAAGTCTCACCTCAACGGCGGACGGAGCGCCAGGAACGTCTACGACCACAAGCTCGGTCAGGGCCGCCGAAGAGACAGGCTGTAGGCTCGGCGCACCAGTGGCTGCAGCCTCAACCACTGCAAGCTCGGTCACTACCGTCGAATCCTGGGACAACGATGCTGGGGCCAAACTCACAGCAATCGTGGATAACGGCAACGATGACCGAGGAGGCTGAAAGCAAGCAATCCGGTCAAAAGCGTGTGGCGAAAAAAAAATTGAAAACAGAACAAAGTATAAACAAGAACTAAACGCTTACCGAGCGAAACACAATGCCTCTCGGGCGAAGAGGGGCAGACGGCGGCGGCTTGGTAGGCGCGGTAACGACCAAGGTACACTCGGCAGAGGCGGCCGAAGAGACTTCCACCGAGGCAGCCTGCGGCAATCCCATGGCGGAGACCTCATCGTCTGAGATGTCCTCGGCGGCCTCCTCAGCGGCTGGCGCCTCTGTGGATGCTGCCTCGGCATCCAGTGCTTCCGTCACTTCGGCAGTGGCCTCTTCCTCGACCACCACCTCGGCAGCGGCCACCTTGATCATCGCCTCGGCGGCAGCTGCCTCCTCAGCGCCAGGCTCTCCGGCAGCCACCTCCTCCTCGACCGCTGCCTCGTCCTGAGGGAAGGACCAGACTGTCAAAATAGAGAAGGGGGAAGACGTCCCCTAGGAAAAAGAAAACAAAGAATAAAGGAAAAGTACTTACAGTCATGGGCGGGGTTTCACTCACAACCACTGAATGAGCTTCCTCCTCATCCTCGTCCTTCGAGAGATCCAGGAGGACCCTTTTTCTCGACCGCTGCCTCGACCGCCACGGCCGCAGTGCTTGAGGCCTCTCGGCCCCTCTTGCGGCCCGGGGCTACATAGGGAGAAGCAAAATAGTTAAGAGATAAAAATAGGCAAGGACAAAGGTAGCTCAGAAAGGCCAACGGAAAAAACATAAAGGTGCTTACCAGCGGCAGCAACCGGTCGAGCTGGCGAGGTAGAAGGCGCGGTCCTGTGCGCCAGAGTCTTTCGCGCCCTCGTCACGGCCGGTGCCCTGGGGGTTGGGGCCGCAGTTGAAGTCGCGATCACTGTTCTAGCCAAGGGAGGGGCCGCCACCCTGGGTACAGCCGCGGTCGGCGTACTTGGTCGAGAAGGCACGGCCGGGGCTTTCTTCCCTTTGCCAGCCTTGGGAAGGAGGGGTCCCAATCTGCATTCTTCAGGGCCCCCATCACGGCCTCTTCAGCGGGCCGGATGAATCTGGTCGAGATGCAGTCCTTGTACCAAAGCCTTCCATCTTCGTCAACCGCGTTTCGACGCATCCACGGCCTCAGCGTAATGAAGGACATCCCTTTCTGAAGATGGAAGGAAATCCCAGCCATGCAATGCTGCTGGGCAACGTCGGCCCTCCAGGACGAGAGCCGGTTGATCGACAGCGGCGGGAGCGGCGCCATTTGGATTAGGCCGAATTGCCGCGCCACGAAATGCGGCAAATAAACCTCAGCCCCGGCCTTGGACAGGCCACAGTGAAGGTCACACTTGACCAAAAAGGAGCCCCAGATCTCCCTCAAGTCGTTCTCCGTCTCGCCATCAGGAATTATGGAGAGGTCGTGTGCCAGGTACAAGGGATACGGTCGAGCGAGGGACACCCGGAACTGCGACCCGGTCCTCTCGGTCAGCTCATAGAAAAACTTGTAGCAGAAGGTCGAGGCATTGTGCTTCTTGGGGGCCCGGGCGAATGCGGTGGCCAACGGCTCGGTATCGGCGACGCTAACCGCACCCCTCAGCTCTGGGAAGTAGGCCTGCAACCAGAACTGGAAGGCCCACCGTGGACCACCGTGCTTCGGCTTCATCCCGTCGGTAACCACATCGTGAAGCGTGCGGTAGATGTGACCGAGGAGGAATGGGCCGAGTGCCAGCCTTCCGCCTTGCGCAAGATAGTCGGCCAGATGGGCGAACTCCAGGGTGACTTTGTTCGCCTGGGTGCAAAACACGAACTTGCACAGCCAATACAGCAAGAACGCGGCATGCTCGACCTCGCCCAAGGGAGCAATCGAATCATCATCGGCGATATCCTCCACACCGAAGTTGCCGTAGAAGCTGGAGTAGTTGAGCATGTTCTTCACCTTGCTCCCAGCAAGCTTGGCAACTGTGGGCCATGCGGCCTTAAAGCTCCCTTCGGCCTCAGGGGCGACCAAAGCGGCGTTCACCTCCATGCCGAGAGAGGAGAGGCTGAATAGAGCGGCCAGGTCTAGCACGGTCGGCGTCATCATGCCAAATCAAAGGTTCATGGTGTTGGTGGCTGACGACCAGAAGCATAGGGCCGCGGCCAAGAGCAACCGGTCCATAACAAGCGGCCGATCGAACAGCTTGATCAAGTGGTAGATACCTTGATCCTTCCATTGCTGGCCGAAGAAATGCTTCATCCTCGGCAGGCATTTTTCCCAGTCTGGGGTCGAGGTTGGCCATTGGGGCTGTGGCCTGGCGACATTCCAATCCTAGAAGTCCCCCCCATCAAAGGCCGAGAAATTCACCAAGTTGTCCCTCAAATGGACAGCTAGCCTCTCTGGCATTCCTCCTTCCACGGAGGGGCCGAGGATACAGGATTCAGTGACAGCGCCGTTATCGTCAGTCCAGGGCGCAATAATGTCAGAAAGGACCGAGCCCTGGATGTCTCGGCAGATGTCTTCAAACTGAGTCTGGAAGACTTGGGACAAGGCTTCAACGGAGGCAGAAGTACTGGAGGCCATTAAAACGGATCAAAAAGGGTGTTTTAAAGAAAAGTCGAGGAAAGGATGATAAACACGAAGAACACTGGGAAGCCAAGCGTTCAAACAAAAGGATAACTGGGCAGAGAGGTGGAGTGCTTGAGTGAGTTCGAAAGGGTTGAGAAATCGAGAGAAAAGTTTTGGCTGAGTTTGGGCGTCTGAAAATTCTGAAAGCATGAGGAGAGAATGAAGAAGGATAGGCTTTTATAGTGGCGCTCGAATTCGAAAACGAAAGGGCACGATCCTCTCGAGAGACGTAACGGTCTGATAGTGTACTCGAATACGCGATGACGTGTCAGAAGCCCGGAGGCCGTCATTTCAATTGACGAGGCGAAGCGACGGCTCGAGGGAATCAAGGCAATGATGGCATAAGGGACGTGCCTGCGCATTTAATACGTCGATTAACCTTCGCATTTAAGACGCCAACTGTTGATCACTTCGAAGGGAAGGCAGAGAGTCCATCCCTTGGAATCCATTCGGCCTCTGCCCAAGCCGCGACCGAAGAATCCAGGGATGTGGGGGCAATGTTTGTGCCTAATAAATCACAGTCGTTAGAAGGGACCTCTTCTCGGCCGTAGCACCTGTTCATGGACTTGAACGGCCACGTTTCATCAAACATATAGCCTTTTCAAAAACAGAAGAAAAATACGAAGGCAGGATCTTCTCGGCCTCACAACCACGGCATTATGGGCCGAGGCCAAGGTCCATGAGAGACACGGCCAGAGATACTATGGTCAAATCGCCATGTGGCCTCAGGGTCCCACACCCCATTTAATGAAGTAGTGCCTCTGACCGCCACAGCAAAACCACTGGGTGCAAGAAGCATTTAATGCACGAGGGCAGAAGGGAAGTGATTGAAATCAGGATTTGGTAATAGGACTCAAAGTGGTTAGGTGCAAACATTCTCACAAAGCATTCTCACAGCTTGAGGTCAGATCACCAACCACTGGACCAGAGCATTAAATGCGTTCCCACGGCCAAGAGTGCAGAGCCCACGATCAGGGCAGTGGCCGAGATTTGCCGAGATTTATGGGAGTCACACCACCATGCTTCACGATCCCAAATGCCGATTTGACTACCCACTTGCCCCGATCAGATTCCACCATGCAGATATATTCAAGCCATCAGGCAGATCTTTTTTCAGCCTCGATTGGCCCTCCAAGACTCCTCCTATAAATACTAAGCTGAAGACCACGTTCAAGGGGTTCAAACACCAAACCAAAAGCCTCCCACGGAGCAACTTATATTTTCTGTAATGCACTTTCAATACCTTTATTTGCTTTTTTAGGAGTAGTGGTAGACTTTAAGGAAAATCCATTCATCAATATATCATACGACCCTTGATTTTCAAGGCGCCGGAGCACCACCTCTGTTATCGCCTCACTCACCCCATATATCATACGACCGTCGCTCTCCGAGCAACGCGCCGGAGCACCGCCTAAAAACCCACCACCAACACCACCACTAAACGGCCTTGTGGATCATTCCCTCATCAAGCAATTGATGGAAATTTCTATTTCATCGCCTTTATAGATGACCATTCTCGTTTTGGTTATCTATATCTCTTAGCAGAAAAGTCTCAAGCTTTTGAAATGTTCAAGATTTTCAAACTGAAGTAGAAAGACAACTTGAGAAAAAGATCAAAATTGTGAGGTCAGACAGAAGGGGTGAATATTATGGACGTTTTAATGAAGGAGGACAATGAGCTGGACCTTTTGCTAGGTATCTACAAGATAATGGAATAGTTGCTTAGTACACAATGCCAGGAACTCCGCAACAGAATGGTGTGGTTGTGAGAAGAAATTGAACCTTGAAGGATATGGTTCGTGGCATGATTTTGAAAACTAATTTGCCTAAGAGTCTATGGGATGAAGCAATCAAAACAGCAAATTACATACTTAATAGAGTGCCCAGCAAGTCTGTGCCTAAGACACCTTTCGAAATTTGGACTGCAAGAAAGCCTAGCCTGCGACATCTTCATGTATGGGGTTGCAAGGCTGAAGCTAGAATCTATAACCCTCAAGAGAAAAAGCTCGATCCTAAAATGATTAGCTATCATTTTATAGGTTATCCCGCAAGGTCAAGGGGTTTTAGATTTTACTGTCCAAATTATGGTACTCGAATTATTGAGAGTGGTTGTACAAAGTTTATAGAGAATGAGGAGAATGCCACTGGGAATGAAGATTTTGTTTTTGAAGAAAAAAGTGATGTAGCTGTGATTGAGAATGCTGAGCAAGATGTTACACCATTGATTCCTTTAAGTGAAATTGTATTGGAAAATCCTCAGTTTGAAGAACCATTTGAACCACATGAACAAGCTGTTGAGAATCCTGAGCTAGATAATCCACAGGAACCAGTACAAGCAAGGAGATCTGACAGACCAAGAAGATCCATAACAAATTCAGATTATATGTACTTACAAAAAGCAGATTTTGACATTGGAGATGAGGCTGACCCACAAGTTTTAAAGAGGCAATGGAGAGTCATAATGCAAACAAATGGAGGAAAGCGATGTTGAACGAACTTGAAAGCATGAAGAATAATCAAATATGGGAATTAGTTGAACCTCACAAGAGCTAGAAATTGGTAGGCTCAAAATGGGTAATTAACACAAAGAAGGATAAGGATGGAAGAATAGAAAGATTTAATGCTAGATTGGTAGCCAAAGGATTTACCCAAGAGGGGGGGGGGGGGGGGGGGAGAGTGACTACATTGAGATGTTTTCTCCAATTTGCACCAAAGATTCTTTCCACATCATTATGGGTTAGGTTGCGCATTATGACCTACTTTGCATCAAATGGATGTCAAAACTGCCTTCCTAAATGGTGAGCTCGAAGAAGAAAATTACATGAGGCAACCTGAAGGGTTTGCAAACGAGGGAAAAGAGCATATGGTTTGCAAACTTGGCAAGGCAATTTATGGACTGAAGCAAGCAAGTAGGAGGTGGTATTTTAAATTTCACCAAACTATTTCATCTTATGGTTTTGAAAAGAACATAGCTGATCAATGCATTTATCTGAAGAAGTGTGGGAGTCGATTTATTTTTCTGGTGCTGTATGTCGACGACATACTTTTGACTGCAAATGACCACAATTTACTGAAGAACACCAAGGAGCTACTTTCAAATAATTTTGAGGTGAAGGATTTGGGAGAAGCTGCTTTTGTGTTGGGTATTGAAATTCAGAGAGACCGAGCTCGAGGATTCCTAGGCCTATCACAGAAAACATACATTGAGAGGATACGCAAGCGTTTTGCATGAGTATGTGTTCTGGATAGAAAGTTCCATTAGCTAAAGGAGATTTAAAGAAGGAGCGTTGCCCCAAGAACAAAGATTCTTTCCACATCATTATGGGTTAGGTTGCGCATTATGACCTACTTTGCATCAAATGGATGTCAAAACTGCCTTCCTAAATGGTGAGCTCGAAGAAGAAAATTACATGAGGCAACCTGAAGGGTTTGCAAACGAGGGAAAAGAGCATATGGTTTGCAAACTTGGCAAGGCAATTTATGGACTGAAGCAAGCAAGTAGGAGGTGGTATTTTAAATTTCACCAAACTATTTCATCTTATGGTTTTGAAAAGAACATAGCTGATCAATGCATTTATCTGAAGAAGTGTGGGAGTCGATTTATTTTTCTGGTGCTGTATGTCGACGACATACTTTTGACTGCAAATGACCACAATTTACTGAAGAACACCAAGGAGCTACTTTCAAATAATTTTGAGGTGAAGGATTTGGGAGAAGCTGCTTTTGTGTTGGGTATTGAAATTCAGAGAGACCGAGCTCGAGGATTCCTAGGCCTATCACAGAAAACATACATTGAGAGGATACGCAAGCGTTTTGCATGAGTATGTGTTCTGGATAGAAAGTTCCATTAGCTAAAGGAGATTTAAAGAAGGAGCGTTGCCCCAAGAATAAAGAAGAAGAAGAAGAGATGAGGAACAAGCCGTACGCTTCTCTAGTTGGAAGTATTATGTATGCACAAGTGTGTACAAGGCCAGACCTAGCCTTGTGCATTAGCAACATTGGATACCTAGAAAGAAGATTCTAAGGTACCTACAGACAACAAAGGCTTATATGTTGATTTACATACGCACAAAGAATTTAGAGCTTATTGATTATGTTGATGCGAATCTTGGAAAAGCAGAGGATGATTACATCTCTACTTCATGTTTTATCTTCAAGATGGCAGGAGTAGCTGTTGCTTGGAAGAGTGCTAAATAAACTGGTGTTTCTAGTTCAACCATGTTTTCAGAATACATAGCTTGCTATGAAGCCACTTCTCATATAGTATGGCTAAGGGATTTTATTAAAGACATTAAGGTGGTGGACTTGATTTCTAGACTAATACAGATATATAATGACAACATTGCGGCTGTTTTTCACTGCATAAACAACAAGATGTTGTCTGGACTTCAACATATTGACAAAAAGTATTTAATAGTGAGGGAGAAGGTAGCGGACAAACTAGTCAGATTTGATCATATCAAAACTCAAGATATGATTGCAAATCCGTTCACAAAGTTTTTGCCTTCAAAAGCTTTTCTGAGACATTTTGAGAGCATGAGATTATTTCCTATCTTTGATGCTGCAATATAGTGGGAGTCTTGTTCCCATTATGATATTTTACTAGTTTGTTTATTTTGTTTATTTTGTTTATTTTGCTATTTTTTGGATTAAGGGATTTGCATTTAAGGATGTTAATTTGGTTGACAGTTTTATTTATTATTAAATAAATTCTACCATTTTTGACTATTTAGTTGTTTAAACTTATTATGCAACTTTGTTTATGCATGTGAGTTTATGGTCTCTTTTGAGATACTATTTTTTTAATAACATTGTGGATCGACTCTTGCTAAGTCGTAAAGGGGCACTTGTACTGAAAAGCAAAAAGATTCACATTAAGGAACAATAAATATTAAGGTTCGCTTTGAAGGTGCTTCATGTGTTTTGAGATTGCATTATGTGATTATAGATGGCCTGGTTTTAATCAAGAGAGTAGTGTTTGTCTATAGTTCGTTTTGTTTAATCGATTTTCATTGTAGCTTGAGGGGAATGACTTAACTGTTTTAAACTCATGGCCAATAAAGATTATCAAACCTTTCGGAATACAGAAGCTTAGTGCTCTACTGCTTGATCTAGTGGGAGAATGTTATGTTTTCCTATTTAGATTGGTGCACTAAATACTAAGTTATATCAAGTTTTGATAAGAGTTTAAATTAAGTTATACCTTGAGGCCCAAAACCTTGTGGAATAAGAAAGGGTTTTGAAGCATATTAAGGGGTCCTATTTATTTCCTTTTTGCGTGAATCGATTAAGTGGGCTTGGAAGATAAGTCAAGTTGGCCCTCGGTAAAGAGTAGAGATGACTTGATCTAGCCCTATATAAGCTTAAGGCCTTGCTCTCATCAGATTCTGAGAAAGAGCAGAAGTCTTGAGACGTTCCTGTTCTTGCTAGGATTGTCGCTGCTACGGATTGGATGAGTTCAGAGGTCGTGTACTCTAGGAAGATGGCTCCAGGTATGTGTTCATATCTTTACGTATTTCAGATTGTGTGAAAGATCTAGAACATGTATATTATAGAAATCTAACATTAACATCTTTTGGTAAAAATCTATACCTTTCTCTAGCTAGAGTTTGAAGGAAATATGGAATTTTAGTTTTTTACTCAAGGGAAAATTCTCTATTATGCTCAAGTAAGTTGGGCTCATTAGCCTCTTTTTCTTGTAAAACCATACTTAAATTTTGACATCTTAAATTAATCATTCTAAAATTTCTTACTATTGTATTATACTCCTTCTTTTGCTCTTCATGTTTTTCTTGCAAAAAAGAAAGTTGTTGTTTTGCTCTTTTATAATCATAATTATATGCTAAAGACTCTTGCTCAAGGGCTTTAATAAGTTTTTCATGCCCTCTTCTCAGGCTTTCAGTATTAGTTCTAATGTTCCAAAAGTTGTCTAAAAGAACTTTTTGTTTATCTGCTAATGATGCTTGAGTACGATATTTTAAAATAGGATTTCTAACTTCTTGTACTGGAATTCCATTATAAAAATAAGTATTCACTATTGGTCTAGCTTGACTAATCATGCTTAATGGATTACCACCTTGTGATGACGTACCACTATTTTTGCTGCCAGAGGATGATGGTCCAAAATATTGCATACTCGTTAATGAAATAATACGGGATAAGATGTTTGCTAAAGTATTGTCCATACCTTTAATATGCTCAAATATTGGTCTAAATCCATTTCCTGTAATAGAATCAACAAAATTGACCCATCTTCGGGGTGCTTGCTTATTAGTAGTAATTTTATTATAATGTGAAATAATATTCTGATAATCTGTTCTAATAGTAAATATCTCATTATGTAAAAATAATGAAAATGCTTCAAGGTAGTTAATGACTCCTAAAATTTCTAAGTCAGTAACTGGAAGTCTAGCCTGTATATCACTAAATTTTCTTGATGCATATCTACAAACTTTTTCTTCAGATTTTGGTTCTTCCTTATGTTTCTTTTTATATAAAATTCATGTCCATCCTATTGATGATGCGTTTGTCTCAACTAATTTGTAATTATTATCTAATGGTAATGCTAAAGGTTTAAGTTGAATTATATCTTGTTTGATGCTTTGAGCTAATTTAATGTCTTCACGATTAAAATATTTTTTACCTCTTTTACTAGTTTTACTATGCAATGCTGTGATTTTTCTTCCTAAATTAGGGATAAAACTTATAGCATAATTTAGTAAACCTAAAAATGCTTGTAATTGCTTTTTATCCTCTAGTTTATCTGGAAATTCTAACACTTTTTTAGTTATGTGCTTTTGTAATTGTATAGTTCTTGACTTAATATACATACCTAAGAATTCTATATCTTGTTTTTCAAGTTGTACTTTGTTCCTACTTATGACTATACCATTATCAATAAATTCTTTCAAAATAATTTATAAATGTTTTCTATGTTCATTTTTACTTTTACTATGAACAAGGATATAATCTACATATACACTATAAAAATTATCATACTTCTTAAAAATTTGGTGCATTATTTAGCCCAAATGGCATTACAAGCCATTCAAAATGTTCTTTTGGACAAGTAAATGTTGTCTATTGGATTGATTCTTCTGCTAATCTAATTTGCCAAAATCCTGATTTATAATCAAATTTACTAAAATACTTACTTTCTTGAATTTTATTCATAAGTTCATCTTTAATTGGAAGTTTATAACTATCTTCATAAGTATTATCATGTAATCTTATATAATTATACACTATTCTAGCTTTATCCCTTTTAAGTTTTTAGTGTTTTTTAACTACGAAGGCTGCTGATCAATGTCTAGACTTTGAAGGTCTAATTACTTTTAAGTTTAAAACTTCTTTTATTTATTGTTCAATTCTTGCTTATCTAACAAATTACAAGGCATATATGTTGTTTTAATTGTTAAGTCTGGATTAATAATGTCTAATTTTGCTAATATCTTATTCTTATTCCAATGTAATTGGGGATCCTCTCCTATAATTCTAGTTTGTTCAGCTAATTGTAACAATTCTTCTAAATTTTTTGTTTATCTATTTGCATAATCTCTAAAGGCTCTATTTCTCCTATCATTGGATACTCGTGGTTAAATATTATATCATCATACTCTAAATTATTTTGTTCATCTATTTTTTGTTCATTTATTTCTTCTAATTCTTCCATATTATTGTATTTAAATTTTTTTTCTTCTATGTTAAAATTATTGTAAGACTCTGATATATTACTGTGATGTATTGTGGTTATACCTTTCTTAAAAAATGTAATATCTGGAGGTGTATATAAAAATCCTCCTTGTAAACTTTTTAAGAAATTTAATCCTAAGATGTAAGGATATGATCCTACTGGGGATATAAAGGTTAAGGGTAAATTAAATTGTTGTCTTTCTATCCTAATTAATATATTATTAATACAGTGTGTTAAGTATATAGGTATTGTATCAGACTGTATAATTCTTACTGGTCTAGCTAATTTTTACCTAAATTGTTCTGGCACTAACTCTATTATTAAAACAAGGTATGTATTTATATTGATCTATTATTAAAACAAGGTGTACAATAAACTACTGTTTTAGTGTAATATTTTTCTACCACTATTTTCTTACATTGATTACATTCTTGAGGCCATCCTAAATTAACATATTTAAATTCCTCATGCTCTTTTTGTTCTTCAAACATACACATATATTCATCTAATTCACTATCAGAATTACTAGAGTAATCTGATTCTAATATGAGTCTAAGGCATTAACACTATAAATACTTTCATTATCACTTAAATTATCATCAAGACTATAAATTGATTCTAAGTCTTCATCATCTTCTAGTCGAAATTGTTCAATTAATTGTATTTTTTCTCTAGGTTGCTTTCCTAATTTGGGAGACGGTCTAATATGTCCTACTTCACCACAAAAATAACATTTCCATGTACTTTTATTAGGTACTTTATATTTTCTAATCCATGGTTTATTTGTTCTTTTCCTAAATTGTTTGGGGATATATTTTCTTCTTCTAAAAGTTTTTGAAGGTTGAGTTCTAAAATTTTTATATTGTTGTTTATAAGGTCTATATTTTCTATAACTCTTTTATATGGCTTTTTCTGCTTAAATTTTCTATGACATCCATTTTGTTTAGGTAAATCTATAGTTTTACAGCTCATGTAAAACTATTTTCTAATTTGTCTTTTTGCTTTTATTTGACTACATTCTGATCGTAATATATCATATACATGTTGTATTCTTGCTCCTATGAATACATCTAGTTTCCTAGGGTGTTTTTTCCATTCATTCCAAATTATTTCTCCTATTGGGCCTTTAATTTTTGTCATATAAGTATCTAATAAATTAAGATCATCAATTCTGCCAGTTCTTCCTAAATACTTGAAAAAGTCTGAAGTATATTCACTAATATATTGTAAATCACAAATTTGTAATTGTTCTAAATTTCTTGTTGCTCTAATTTGTTCTTATTCATTTCTACCATCTAATCTATTATAATCTAAAAATTCATATTTAATTA